TGCCTTAATTCAAATGAGTGGACATGTTGAAGGAGGTTGGGTTGAAGTTCAGCAATGATCTATAATAAGAATAATAATCAATAATCATAAAATCATTTTAAAATACAATTTATATATATATTAGCATTTTCATTTTATTTGGGATAATAATCCAAATTATTCAAATAATTGATCACAATAATAAAATTGATGACTGAATAATTCTTATAAAAATTAATCTATTGCTTTCATTTATTTTTTCACTGTTTCATGATCTTAAAGGGAAACCCTCAGATTTCTTTCTTGTTAAATAATTCTTGTAGCCTCTTTTATCTCTTCTATTGTTTTCTAGCATTCTGAAATAAACTATCTTTTTTCAGTCTAAATTGTAAATCTTAAACTATAATAAATTATTCCTGCATAAGCTTAAGATGCCTCTGAATTATAGCAATCCACCTTAATTTATTTTATCTATAAGAAATATTCCTTTTACGATGAATTCATGAACTTATTGCTATGTCTTTAAACTCTAGTCTCTTCTTCAATCTTTTTAACTAATCCATATTTATTTATGATTGATTCAGGCACATTAAAATATTCTAGTATTTCCATTCTCATCAAAATAGGATTTTAACTCATTCCATCCAACCACTGTTGAATATAAAACAATTTCTTTTCAATTTCTGCCTCACTAAATGATGGCTTCGGTAGATGTCCATTTGCTAATTAATATAGTTCTCCATATTAACAATTTTAAACCCATTCACTATTCTTCACTTTAATTGTTATTGGAATCAAAGAAATATGTTGATATTTTATTACTTTTTTTAAAACTTATTAACCAACTACGAATTTAACCTTTTCCATTTTCTATTATACATATACTCCACTCTCACTTTCATCTTCAGATAAATTTGCAGAGCAAACTTCCTCTTTGTATCTTTCATAATCACTTTTTTTATCATCATGCAAGTCACTATTTTAGGATTTATTATCATCGTTTTTATCTTAAAACTCTTCAAAGCTTTTAATTCTTTTCATCATTCTATTTCTTTTAGCAATTAAACCTTCATCCTTTTATTTCTTTTTCTTTTCCTATTTTTTCTTATTTAACTCCTATTGAATTTGTTGAGGTATTACAATAAGCTTATCTGGATATTCATTATCATCTACATAAGGAAATGGTTATTAGCTTTGGGGTATTGGTTCATATTTTATTGGACTTTCAGCTCCTCCTAATTTATCAATGTCAACTATTTTTATTACATTTTATTGTTAATTTTCAGTTTAAACTTCATTAGATGATTGATGATCATAAAGTTTCAATTCTTCTAACTTATCCTATTATATATTTGTAATTTCTGCTTTATTTGTTTTATCCATTTCATTATCAGAATGAATAATTTATGATTAGTCTTCTATTTATTAATAATATAGTTCTTATTTAATTTCTTTTTGAGATAGAGATCGTTTATCAGAGGGTTGATTAATAATAATAGGTTTAGGTATTTCTTCTTTAGATGAGGGATAAGAGATTTCTTCAGATTAAGAATTTTCTTCAATAATAACTTAGGAGTATCGTACTTTTCTTTTGTTCTAAAATAATGGTGAATCGACAACTTCAATTTTTTTATCCCAAATATCTTCATCATCCTTAGAGAATACAATATCGATAATAGCAGGTTCAGAATGTTTAATATCTAATTTATTGGACTGTCTGGTTTAATTGATTAAGAATTAAGCAACTTAAGAAGTGGGATGTTGTTATTAAGGATTTTAGATTTATTAATTTACAAGTAGAGGAGCATTAGTAGTTGATTCATTTAGTTCATGTAATTCAATTTCTTCTTAATAGGTATTTGGTTAAAATTTCAATAAGATCAAATGTTATGCAATAAAACTATCTTATTGTTCAAATAATTCACAAAAAGGATCTATAATATGCAATTATAAATATGATTACTATATTCTAATGGATCATCACCTCTTTCTCTTTAGTAGATCACTAACAGAGATGATAAAACTAAACTTAAGAGATCGAATAGTTTGAGAATAGTTTCATTGCAAATTAAATTGAATAGAAAAATGAAAGGCAAAAAGTTTAAGAGTGGTTCATTATGAAAGATAACTGTGATTCCAAAAGAGTAAAACAATCCAATAATTAAGAAGAGACAACACAAAGCAGATAGTAAATCTTTATTGAATAGTGCAACAATTAATTCAATTATTTGCATAATGGCAATTTAAAGTTGAAATCCAATTTTAACTTTTAATGCAATAGTTTCTGGTTTATTTTTTACTTATTTGTAACCTTTGATTTTCATTTATGCATAACCAGCATAAACAAGAGGAAAGAGGCCTATAGCAAATTAATCCATAATAATTAATTAAGTAATATATATATCACTAAGCAAATGTTACCAATTTATCAGGTTAACTAGGTTGTGGTTCAGAATGTGTAATTTCAATAGATTGACCATCTAAAGTGGTATTGCTTTCTTTTTTTGTATGAGCCATTTCAGAATATCGTATACGCTGATGTAATCTTCTATTTTCTCTTTGAATGAGCATGATGATTGCAATTACCAATAACACAATTATAACAAAGACTCCAATAAAGACATATATAGCTGATGATTTTGATTGATGAGAGGTTTATCTGGTAGTATTAGTTGAATTCATTTGAAAATGTTAATTTTTTTTATTAATTTAATCATATTTTCTAATTATCAAAATGATTCATTCAATTTCCATCTCTCAAAATAGTAAGATGTCATCATCATATTATTTATTTTTATAAAATAAATTATTTTTATGCATAAGAAATCTGTAATTTAGACTGAAAGAGCAAATAGTGCAGCATTTACTAAGACTTAAATTAGCACATAATAAAAATTAACATTTATGACATAGGCATAAAAAACAGAGAATTTGTATAATAAATTTGATTAATATTTTTAAGATTAAATGAAATTGTTGAATAGGAATGTCCACTCTATACATAATATAAGTAGAAAAACAATAAAAATCCAATAATGAAAATTAGAGAATTTAAAAAGCCGTAGATTGATCCAGTTGATCATACAGATTATAATAACTTTTAAAAAATGAAAAACAACTTTGTAAAAGAATATAAAGAGAAATTAGATAATTATTTTGATAAAAATATAAGATATGATCGAAGATTTTTTAAAATATATCACAGAAAAGATTAAATTTACTTTAAACATAAAAATCCTTCTTAAAAATAAATTGAAAATCCAGAGGTTACGGATATGATGAATTACAATTAAATTCTTTAGATGAATTAATAATAAACTTAGCGTGCTAATTTTAATAAATAATAAGAGAAAAGAAGAAGAGAGCTAAAATTAGAAGAAAAAGAAGAAAAAGAATATATTAAATTAATAATGGATAAATTTTTAAAGGAAGAATAAAAGTATTTTAATTAATTGAGTAATTTGGAAGAATAAGGATAATAAATGTTTTACGAAAAAGTATAATTAAGAAATAAGTATACACATGATTATATAAAAAATCCACAAAGAGAATTTGTTGAGGGAAAGGACCTTATAATAAATAAAGGTATTTAAGTACCAGAATATATGAATTCTTCAGTTGTTAGTGATGCTGGATCATAATTTTAATCTTAACCTACTATAGGTTAAGCAAATATGCCTTTTTCTAGTGCATTTTCGAGTTTTCAATAACTCCCATCTTTTAAGAATGTATTACATAGAATGAATTCAAATGTGTTATATTAATTGCCTATTCCATAGATTTAGGAATATGATCTATAACCAGGAGAATAAATAAAGAAACCATCAACATATTAAACATAATAGATTTTAGATTTTTAAAGATTAATTACTTTAAATGAGAAAATTGAATTTACATTTAGAATAGTTAGTGAGCCTTAATTATTGAATTTAGTAGATTCAAATGGTAATACATTGTTACATTTCGCAGCTTTAAAAGAGAGAAATGGAATAGCAAAGTTTTTATTATTAAAAGGTATTGATTATAAAAGGAGAGATAATAAAGGAAGAACAGCTTTAGATATAGCAATTAAATAAAAGAATTAAAGTTTAATTGATTATATAAATCGAATAAACAAGAGAGGTTTAAAAGAACTGAATTGATTAATAAATATATATATTCTCAACTTTCTCTAAATTAATAATTGAATTTCTTTTAAAAATTTAATAAAAAATGTAAGCTGATTAACCTCTTCATACTCCAGCAAAAAAGAACTGTACATTTAAAGTTGATGGTAGATAAGATGGAGAAGGGTATTATATAATAATTGATAATAGATATTTAAATAAGAATGATTCAAAATTTGGTGTGATCGTCATATAAGAATGGTGGGGATTAAATGAATCAATGGTTAAAACAACAGATAGAATTGCTTAAAAAGGTTTTTAATGCATCTCACCAGATATTTATAGAGGAAAAGTTGCATAAAATAGAGAAGTATCATTTCTTTTCTAGAATAATTTAAGGAAGCTGGACATTTACTTGGTGGTTTAGATTGGGAAGGGGCAGTCAAAGATATTGAAGGAGCAGCAAAACATCTTAAAGAATTAGGATGTACTAAAGTTGGTGTTACAGGTTTCTGTATGGGAGGTGCACTTGCTATTGCTTCTATATCATTTTCTAATTAAATTGATGCATCAGCTCCTTTCTATGGAGTATGTGATTTAAATACTTTCAAATTAGAAAATATTCATGGACCTATTTATGGACATTTTGGAGAAAAGGATGAAATGAAAGGATTTTCATCACCAGATGATGCTTAAAGATTAGTTGATGCTGGAACAAAAGCTGGCAAAGATGTCACTGTTAAGTATTATATTTGTTAATAAATTAGAGTATGGCCAGGTGTTGGACATGCTTTCATGAATCAAGATAGACCAGAAGCATATAATCCTGAAATATCATAACAGGCTTTAGATGAAGTAACCAATTGGTTTAGAAAGATATTCACATCATGATATATTTATTATTAAAAAAAAAAGATTCATTTATTTTATGACATCTCTCTCTTATTACTTGTTATAATGAAATATCTTTCTAACTACTTTATTATATTATTTATTCCCAAAAAATTTTATTTTATAATTATTATATATATTTATCAATCAGAGACTATAAACTACTCATATTCTTCAATCAACTAATGTACATAATTCAAAACTTTGTATTCTTCTAAAGCTATCTTAAAACATTATTAAAAGTCATAATATTATGAAGAAGTTATTTTAAATCTTTTATGAATTATTTGCAAGTCTTACTTCTTAAAGAACCTTACTCCATATAAAAGTAGATTCAATTTACAAAGTATACTTTAACTCATTTCTGCTTCTTCTGTTTCATATATTTTATTTAAATGTCTTTAAAAAAATTCATATTCCAATATTGAAATTAATTTCGGTATCACATACTCTTAACCTAAACTTAAAATTTATTATTCTCTTGTTTCACCTAAAATTATTGGCTTTATCTCATCCCAATCTTCAATAAAATCTTAAATCACTATACTATCATCAGTCAATTATTTTACTGACTCAACTGCCTTTTATTTAAATTTTTCAAATATCTTCTCATTTATAATTGCTTTTTTCTAATGAATTAAATGTAAATCTTCTCTTGTAATTGCTTTTATATTATATCGAAAAAAATAGTGAAAAATATTACAGCAATGAGATACAAAACGTTATCTTCCTCTTCTTTAAATAAGTTCAGATAACATTGCATCTTATGCACAACTATTCACAAAGTTTTCAATAAATTAATTAAACCCTAATTAATTAACATAATGTTAGAGATCGTTTTTATTTATGATTGCATATTTATAAATGTCCATTCTTCTTAATAATTATCTGATATTTCTCCAAGGAATGCCAGTTTATTATAAGGTTAATGATAAATAGTATTTGAAATTTGTTAGCTATACATTAGTTAAGGCATACTTTACATGCCTTTCTCTAAGTACTTCACATGAATAATTTGGAGAATCCAAATGATAAATTAATTAAAAAAACAATCTAGCGAATTTCATTTCCTGTGTTGCAACATCAATTTTCTCAAAATAAGGAGCTAATGTGACATCTGACAAAATCTTTTTGTACATTAATTTTGTTATAGCTTTAATGCCTTCTTCACCTCCATAAATTTCAAATTCTAATATTTCATTGAGTATATAGGGACGCATATTTTCAATCCTTTCACAGCAATTAAACATTTTTTCTGTAGTAATGTTTAAATGCATGTACTTATTGAGAAAATGATATTTGAACTTAAAGAAATGAGCATGAGTTAATTGCATTCCAAAATGAACTACTCTTAACCTAGGTAAGTCTAAAAACATTTATTGATCATAAGCAGTAGCTAAGAGATTTCTAAATACTAATTTCACTCCAGGTTAATTCTTATTTGGAAACTTTAAACTTAGCATATTATCTCTTCTTGTTACATCAATATATATTTAATCAGCTTCATAATTTAATAGTTCATCCATTCCTTAAGGTTTTGGTGCTACTTTTCTCTTTCGAGATAATTCCATCAAATATCCTTTTATCATTTAATTTTGGGATTAGATGGGTACTAATTATTATTAGCTGTGAAACCTGGTCGATTTTTGAATAACATCATTGAATAATTCTGAATTTCTAATTAAGCATTAATTTTTTTCCTTTTGTTTCCATCTGTTTTTACGAAATGAAAGTAGACCTGATGCATTACTTTTTTCACTCTCTAAAGTTTTAAATCTTAAACTCAATGGAGGATCAATATTATTCACTTTGGTGTTAGTAATAGCATAACTAAAATTTTATTCAATTTAAATGGAATTGTTTTGAGGTTGAAAATTAGATAAAAGAAACATAGGATTCAATTTAGGTTGTCTTCTTTTTTCAGGTTGTTTTTTTCTGATTGTATATGTTTCTAAAAAATCTTTAAATGATTTCTAAGTATCAGATATCATAAAAAAAATAAAAAATTTAAATCAATCAAAAACAATATGTTTCTTGTAATCATCAATAACATCAAGAACCCATTATAATTTGGATGGTTCATCATACATAACAGATCTCATAGCCTAAAAGTAGATATATATAAATTAGAACTTATTAAAATTCAAAATATGGTTATTCACGAATATGTAATCTTTTGTGAAGAACTTCAATATCTGTACGCTTGTAGAAATGTAATCCATATAGAATCAAATTTAATTTGCATTTTAAATTGGGGCCAACTTAAGATTCATTATCCTTTGATAAAATGATAATCATGTTACTTCAAATACTTTGTAAAGAAGTGGTCGTTACATGATTTCATTTTCTAATTTAGATGCAATTCTATTTACTACAGTTTATCCTCCCAGTAATTTAATAGTGGTTTTCTTAGGTTTGTTCATTAAAATAGGTGTAATTTCTTCCCAATCTTCTTCAAAATCACTTAATAAAATTGGATCATTAGTTACTTTACTCACAGATTGCATAGCTTTTTCTTTAAATTTTCTGTATACTTTTTCTGAAATAATAGTTTTATTTTTATGAATAGATTCAATATCATCATCTGTAATGGATTTAACATTGTCTCTAAAAAAATAATGGAAAACATTTTCACAATGGGCAGTGAATCTTTATTTACCTCTTTTTTAAACTAAATCATATAGTATAGGTTCACTAGAGCATAAACGTACAAAGTTCTCTATAAATTCTCTATATCCACCTGGAGCATTATTAATACATTCTTAAAGTGAAGGTTTATTTAAAATAGCAAACTTATAAGTATCCATTTTTCTTAAAAGTATTCTAATATGCTTATATCCAATTCCTAATTTTTATAAGGCAGTAGATAGATAGAATTTAAAATTAGCTAATTAAACGTGTGTTAATTTATATTTAACATGCCTTTCTCTTAAAACTTCTAATGTATAATTAGGAGATTCAGTATGATCTATTAGTTATGCAAAAAGTTTAGCAAATTTAATTGCTTATTCTTCTAATTCTATAGCTTTAAAATAAGGACTCAATGTATAATCTTTAAATATTTTTTCATACATATTTTTAGCTACTTCATTAATACCATATTCTCCACCAAATATTTCAAAATCACTTCTTTAATTAAGAATCAAAGGTTTAAAATTTTCCAATTTATAACATCCTTTAAAAAGTAATTCTACTGGAGTTTCCATTTCCATATATTAATTTATAAATAGATATTTAAATCTAATAAATTATTCTTTTTTTATGAAAAGTGTAGCATGAATACTTCTCATTCTAAATGGATCAAGTAATATTTCTTATGTGTATCCTATACCTAAAATACTTTTATAAATATCTTTCAAATATTTGAGATGTTTTCCAAGGTATTTATTTTTAAGTTAACGATCTTGAATAACTCTACAAAACAGACTTTCAGAATGTTAATCAAGTAATTCATTGCTTCCATATTATTTGATTTATGTCTTAATAATCTTTTGGAATTTAGTCTCAAAAAATTTACTTATAATTTCTGTTTATGTTTTAGGTTATTATTTTAATTCACGATGTTATTATTAAGCTTAAGATCTTCTAAGTTATTGAAGTTATTCATGAACGTTTCTTAGACTATTGCTATTTGGATTTCTTATTTTATGTTAAAATGGAATGAATTTGAAATGAACTGGAGTGTTAGGTAGAACAATATCACAAATCTATGAATCACTAATCATTGGAAGATGATAGAGTGTTTAAGTAGGTAATTGTTCATGATTTCTCAATAACTTTAATTTATTTCCAAATTCATTAATGGTTACTTGACTCTATGAGCCATGTTTTATTATAAACTGATTCTATGGTTCTTGATGTAAGAGTGTACTTAACTATTTTTCCCATCTTTATTTCTTAGACATTAGTGGAGATATTTAAAGAGTAGAAAATTATCCTGTGCATTACAACTTTTATTCTTCTTTGATTTATTATTATTGCATAAAATCTCTAAATGTCATACATTTATTATCATTTTTCATATGTTCAGTTGGATATTTGAAAGGACACCTAGAGGATGAGCTTAAATTACTCATAATATTATAATAAATTATATTTATCCATAATTTTAGAGAGAGACACATAGATAATCATTTTAAGATCTCTTGATATCTATTGATTAATATTAGAAGCATTTTGCATTATTAAATTCCTTATTTAATACATAGATTTATATATATTCAATGATTATAATTATTTTTGGAGTCCTTCTCAATATTTGCTATGCTCAACTTAAATGCAAAGACTCACATAATTTGACAGTTTAAATGGAACTCTCAATATTAATTCCAAATTATAATTGTTATCTCGATACATCTTAAGAAACATTAATCAATATGACATCCTAAAATGCGACCTTAATTATTACAGGTTAAAAGATCTAACTTAATTAAAATATCAATTTCTAAGGCTTCAATAGTATTCAATTCTTAGACTTAGAAATTGATACAAATACATATTCAATAATTTCTGAATCCTAAATAATATTCTCAAATGTCACACTTCACAAACATTGTCGTTTTATTGCATCCAAAATAATTATTGACAATGTATCACTTATATAGAATGTGTTTAGAAGTAGATAAATTTTCACTTCACCTGTAGAGATTAACGGGTTATTTATTAAAGACACTTCATTTTTTCAAAGTTCAATCACTAATCAATTACTTACTCTATAGAACCTCTATTTAGAATCAGTCCATTTTATCAATTCTACATTAGGCACTGTAGACTTTGTTAATTAAATTCTTATATCTAATTCTTTTATTGCATCAAGTGAATTCTTAAAATGTAATATCACATAATAAATTACATTATCTAATTCATTCATTATATTGTCATCCTTAGTTAGAGCATCAGGAACTGTCCATATTTAAGTTAGAAATGTTTCACTCAGTAAAGCAATTTTATTTATTTTGGATAATGAAAATTAAGTGTAGATGAAAAATATTAACTTTTCATTAATCAAATCTGATTCCCCATTAATCATTGTCAACAGTCCCTATATCAATATTACTGATATGATAAATTATTAATTATAAATTTAATCAATCTTTTAAATCAGCAGTACTGATATGTTTATTAAGAACATTACATGTTAAGAAATTGAAGGTAGTATTTTACTCTCCAATCAATCTTAAGATTTGATACTCTTAATCAATCAATTTAATTTGATTTAAAGTACTTCAAGAAAACTATTTGATATGAATGGATCATTCTCTATTCGCACTGGAATTTTTAAATAAAATAATTGTTCTTTAATTAATAGTAAGAAAATTCGAGAAATTGAGATAGATTCATTAGTATTCTCAGACTTAAACAGTTAACTAATATTTTCTATTTCTAATTCAAATACTCTTCATTTAACCAATTTAACTATTATTTAATGTGAACAAATTATTTTAGCTAAATTAAATACTATTATCAGTGTTGTCCTAAATAATATTAAATTAAACAATTGTAAAGAATGCAATTTTATAGTATTAAATTAAAGTAATATTTTTATGAAAGATATTATCATATTTGATCTTTAAAACTTTTTTAGTACTTTAATATACTCATTAAATTCAAATGTAGTATTGAAAAAATTAAGCTTAAAAAATATTCAATCTAATGCTGAATAAATAATCAATTTTTAAGAGGGTGAAGTAATAGAGTTAAATAGTTTAACAATTAGTAATATAGATTGTTAATTTTGTGAGGGAATAATAAAAATTTCAAATTTTCATTCAGTCTAAATTTCAAAATCAAATTTTACAAATTTATAAACTCTTTAAGGTACTTTTAGAATTGAAAATACAACAAATTTGACTGCAATAAATAATCAATTTATTAATATAACAGCAATAGATGGGAGTAGTTTTTATATATTGAATTCCTCAATAAAAATTCATTAGAATGAATTCATAAATTTAACAGTGAAATAAAAAGGAGGAGCAATTTATCATATTTAAACTTTCAATACAACATATTACATAAAAAACAATAGTGTATAAAATATCACATCAGGAAAAGGTTAATATGTTTATTTAGTAACAGAATCTATAACAGCATAGAATTCTGATTTCTATATAGATGGTCCAGTATTCTTGGATATTTTTAATTAAATCTACAGTCTTAATAGTATAATAAGAAAATAAATTATTTTATCATTTAATAATTTTAAGAGTGGAAAGGAGATAAAATTTAATATAAGTTTTTTAGATAGTGAGAAGAATAAATTATGTTCATTTTAAGATAACATATATTTAAATAATTATTCATACAGATTTGATTAGCATATGTGTAATTATGAAATAGCATTTATATATTATTAATAGGAACCAAAAGATGAATAATTGGCTATAATGATTTTATTGGAATAATTAAAATTGTATAATAACAATCCATTTTCTTTTTAAGTGTTATTGAAATTTTCGAAATGTGAATTAGGAGAATAATGGTTAAGAAATTCATGTTAAACATGTATATAGGGAACTTATAGTTTTGATACAAAAGCTCCTTGTTAATAATGTTTACCAAATGCGAATTCTTGTCCAGGTGGAGCATCAATAGATATTAAGTAAGGTTATTGGAGACCACATAATTTAACAGATAAAGTTGAATAATGTAAATCATAATTATCAGTTTGCTTGGGGGGTACAGCAAACTTTACTTGTGGTGAAGGATTTTTAGGAGGAATATGTTAGGATTGTGATTATTATTCAATTAGATGGGAATAATAATATGCAAGAAGTCTTTCTAATTTTTGTGTTTAATGTTAATTCAATTTAATTGATTAAATTAAACCAGTTTTAGCATTTTTATGGATTTTAGTAATTTATTAAAATAATTTATTTTAGATTGTTTTATATTTATCTGTTTATGGAGCTTTAAAAATGGCTAGAGCATAATTGATTGGACATTATCTTAGACTTACTGGATTACATTTTGGAACAAGATCAACTATGACTATAGATTAAACTGAAGTGTTATTTAAAATGATATCTACTTATTTTCAATTACTATCAATACTCTTGGTATTGAATATCAAGATACCTTAACCATTTTAATTTTTATCATAAATTATTGGAAATCCACTTTAAACTTTTGGATTGTAAATTGAATGTTTGTTAATTAAAATGCAATTCTAAATTGAAATTGTATATTTGAAATAAATATGGAATTTAATTGCTTCTCTTATTTTTGTATCACTTTTTATTTTCACCTATTTTATACAATCCCTTTGTAAACATCTTGAAAACTCTATATCCACTATATTCATTAATAGTTTAATTTAAGTTCTATTTTATTTTTAGGGAGATTTAATAGAAGGATTATTTGAAATTCTATTCTGCCTAAAAGCATCAGAATAATATTATATTTAAGCCTCGACTTAATATTTTTGTTATTCCCCAGAACACTAAACATATATAATTGCATATATCATACCTGTTCTCTTAATTGTGGGATTATTTAAACCTATGTTTTACTTCATTAAACTTTATAAAAATAAGAAAAAACTTTGGACATGTCAAATAAGATTGCCTTATGGTTACCTATTTATAGAATATAAAAATCAATACTATTATTGGGAATTTGTTAGATTTGTAGTCAAATCAATGTTTTATATCCTTTCTACGTTACTTGTTTAAGAATTCAAATTGCTATTTTTATTTGTCATCTTAGTTTTATTGGCATATTTAGAATTATTAAACAAAACCCTACCATATTTAGATTATAAGTTTAATGTTTTAGACAAAGTTTCAACTTAGTTAGAAATAGTAAGTTTAATCTTAGCATTTATTTAAGATGATAACAATAATTAATATATTGTAACAATTGCAAATATTTTAATATCTCTTATCAATTTAATTTTCATTCTCTATTTCATTTATAAAATTCTTATTGAATTGAGTTTAGAATATAAGAAGAAGTTTTAGGATAAATTAATTATTATTATTAATAGATTTCCTTGGTTAGGTAAATGTATATCAAAACCAGTTCCTTCTACGATGCCTACTCGTATTAATTATCTTTGGAAAAAAGCAAGAATGCATGTTTGTAAATTTATAAATTAAATCGGAAAAAATATAGAAACTAGAAGCCAAGCATCAACTGCATAAAGAGCTTTTGATAATAAAGAACCAACATTGCTACTTACACTTAAACCATAATTAGTGAAATACTTGTAAGATTTTTTAATTAAATATTTCAGGTAATGTTCTCAATCACAAACTAGAATGTATTAACCTGTATAATTACAAAGTTCTAATTAATGCAGCCAAATTATCTCTGTAAATTAAAGTTAGATTATTGAATAACAATCTTCCATTAATGAATCATCACTTATTTAGCATTAACAAATCTAAAATATTAATTCAAATGAGTTATAGTAATTATAAAATTCAGTACCTGAAGAGAAAATTTAAAAATGTACATCCGTTATAATTTAGCCAAATAAAAACGTTAAAAAAATAAAAAAACAAAGGATTTGATAATAAATTTTGTATATATTATCTATATAAATATAATTTATTGAATGAGAATGTAAAGACTATGATGTAAATGAGAAGAACCTTATTAAATAATGAAATTAAAAATTATTAATTATTTTTAATAACAATTAATTTGATTATAATTTAATCTAGAAAACTTTTTTTAATTTATTTGAAGTGTTTGATTTAGTAATTAAATATGAATATGAGTAATAAAATGTATGTGTAGATGGTAAGAGATTAAAAATAATAAATAAATTAAATATATACAATAAAGTCAATTAAGTTTAAAGGGGAAAATATTCTGATTAGAAATAAAATCTGTAGCTGGAGTCTAGACTTACAGCTTTACTTGTTTAGGAGATAGATACTAATACAATTAAGTTCTAAATTAAAATTATAAAATACTTCGAAGAAAGAGAATCTGATTCATCTGTAAAGAAGGGATGTGCTATACAATCTTAAGCACTATATCTTAATTTTGGATCAAAGTTGAGCATTTAATGCAAAAGATCAAGTGCATTTTTATTTTGTATATGTGAACTGATTCGAATATTACCAATTTGATTTTAACCAAGATCTTCATAAATGGGTTTACCAACAAGTAATTTATGAAAAACAGCTCCGGCACTAAAGATATCAATTTTATCTGTAATTTTAGTTGATAAAAAAATCTCTGGTGCAATGTATCCCCCAGTTCCAGCTCTGGAATTAGAGGGTTAATTGATCACACAGAGTCCTAAATCGATAATTTTGATCTGAATTGGATTAAATGAGGTAATCATGATATTATCATATTTAATATCTCTGTGTATGATTTTTAATTAATGCAAATGATTTAAACCTAATTTTGTTAATAAAATATAATACCCTCCAAAAGCTATTACATCACATCTTAGATGATCTCAATTGGAATTTTATAGTTATACATCTTTTAAAGATCATATAGAGTACCATAAGGTAGGTAATCCATGACAAGGTAACACTTCATTTCATCAATGTAATACGAATTGAATCCATGTACATTTGAATGAGGGTACTTCTATATAAGCTTAAGAGCCTGTAATTCTTCTGTAGTTTATATTGTATTGTATGGGTTATTCACATATTCGAAATCGATTATTTTTAGAACTTAATACTAATTTTCATGTTTGGCAAGGATTATCTTAAAAAATAATTGTAAAAAAAGTATACCTAACATTTCTAGTTGTTTCTGATATGCTTTACATACTTAAAATCTTTTTCCCAATTTTAGAAAGCTATTAAACCTCCTAAAATATTTTTTAACTAGCTGAGCTGGTCACTGCTTCCACCGAAGGTGTACTTTCTAGTATTTTACTTACAGAGACTGAAACCTTCAATAGCTTTAGAATGGCTATAATGAATTAAGTTTAATCTTACTTAGAGTATTCCCAATTTAGAACATAATGTGTAGTTTAAAAGTTGATTTCTTTCTCAATTTTTTCACTTCTACTTGATTTCTTCAGTCCACTTAAGGAAAGTTTATCTTAATAGACAGTTAAAGTAACTGTGCATCCGTTTCGAATGATTTAAGATAACTTTGTAGTAAATAAAAAAGACTGAGAACAATTTTTCATTAGTTTAAAATTACATGCAGTTTTACTCTCTAGATAATTTTCAATATTTGAAACATATAAAAAAAATAAATGCATATAAACCATGTTCATTAAGATTCAATAATGAATACATCTTTAGCAATTGTGGTAATAAATGATATAATTTAGAACCAACATCACAATAATTTTGACATTTTGATTGATGATGAGTCAGAACATAAATTCTGGACTAATAAAAGGAAATATTAATTCAAATGTTTTTGTCGAAGAGTTGTTCTTATGCTTTATAACTCTGGTCCTGTTTATTTTAGTTACATGGTTGTGAGTCTCTATATTTTTAAATTGTTAAGAAAGGTTGATACTGATAAGGCATATCGATAATAATATATGAAGTAATGTATTTGAATTTATAATATAATCAAGGCAATATGTATATGATTACATGCTTTGTATTTGTATAGCTTGTATTTACACAATCTTTCTTTATGGACTATTTCATCATTCTGGTAATTCAAATTATTTAACATTGAAGAAATGTCAGAAGTTAATAGAGAATATTTTCATTGGGCAGTTAATTGTGTTTTATTCATTATGTTGTATGCAATATTCATAACTCAAAAAGAATTGGTGAAAATAGAAGAAGTGGAAATAGAAAAAGCTGTAAGCAACCTCATATTATAAAGTTTAGCAATAAATTAGAACTCAAAAAGATAAGGAATAGAGATATGTATTTTCTTTTAACATTTCCTTCTTATTCAGTTAATAAAATTTCTACAATATTGGTTTAGGTAGAGCACATATGGATTTCATTAAAGCTTAAGACTCTTAGGACAAAGACAATCTTAATACAATCTAATAGTTTTCTAAATAATGTGATCACATTATAGATAAAGAGAATCTTGATCCAACTATGATTTACTTTAGTATGTGCTCTGATTTTATTAATAATGAAATGCAATCATCACCTATGGCAAAGAAAAGGAAATCTAAAAATCTTAAAGAAGTTGAAAAGGCTAAATCTGTATTGGATTATCTTTAAGATTTAGGTTTTAATGGTAATCGAGGTGTTTTTTAACACTTTCTATTACCGCATTATATTTATACTAGAAAATTTTTAATTCCAGATCGAAATTTACAAATCATTGTAGTGATAACTCTAATAACTTTAAAAGTCTTAATACCAATATTCTTTTTATTTTGGCCCATTCATCCATATACTCTAATTTATTCAGTTATATTTATGGGATTTTATATGCATTTTTTATCAATTATATTCTAATTAGTATTGAATGATGATCTGAAGACTAGAAATTATATTCTATAAGCTTTGAATAAGATTATAACAATTGATATGGAGTAAGAAAATGCACTTCATGAATTAATTGATATTACTTGTTCACTTAGTTTATAGAGTTGGAATTTAATGAGAACAGTTGTTATATACATTGAAAAGAAAAAGAAAATTGAATATAATTATGTATATGGTTTTCTTGCACTTTATGGAGCTATGTGCTTTGGTGGATTTACTTTGTGCAATTTTGAATTACCATTTTTGTAAGCCATTAATTATTGTGATGATGATGTTCTATTATATAATATTCATGCGGATATTGTATTATCTTTTATAATTTGTATGGGTAGAATCTATTAAGGTTCTAATTTCAATCAGACATTCAATGAAATAGATTCAGTAAGATATGATATTAATATTAGAATATTCATAAATTGACTGCCATATATGAAGATTTATACACATTGTTTGATTATTATTTTAAGAATAAAGATTTAGTTGATAATAGAATATATAAGTAGGTCATTGAATTAATTTATACATATGCTAAAAAGAGAATGTCTATGCCTTTATAAAGGAATGTTAAGAACAAAGTAGATATTATTGAAACTGAAGAGATGGTCATTATGAGAGATAAAGTGGGTGAAATCAAAAGTTGTTTGGAAAAGATATAAAGTAATGTAGAAAGAGATGTAAAGAAATGTCATGATAAATTTATTGGTATTTTCGATGCTAATTTTAAAAAGCAAATGAGAATTATGATTTTTGTCATTATTACATTTGTACCCTCTTTATCAACAAAGTAATATTATACATTTATTTAATAGAGTGTACAAATATCTTAGTTAGATGATGTGATTAATATATATATATATAAATTAATATTAAATTGATCTATCTGAAAAAGAGAAATTAAATATATGCAAGTAATGTTTGAGAGAGAGTATGTAAGTTTCTGTTGATATGTTAGATTATATTTGAATTACATAAATTGTTATTCAAAAAAGGAACCATAATGTTCTTTTTAAGATAATAAATTTAGAGAGATATTAATTCTTCACACATTATAAATATTTCATATTTAAATATTCACAAATTTAGGATGTACTCTCTTATACAATTAGAGACTGACCACATCATTAGGCTTAACAAAGTTGTTGAACATACATTTCATTAGTCCATGCGTTCCTAATGGTTCTAAGATGTTACCCTATAAATTAATAAATTAAATACTCTTAATCCCAATTTGGTAGAGAGTTCGATAGGTTTGAAGAATTTAATATCATCTGGATTGAAAAACATCATTCTAATAACTGCTTTTCGTTTATTAATTTTAACAGGATATCCAGTAAGTACAATTCTCTTAAGGATTACTTAAAAAGTATCACATCTTTGAATATCTCCGACTCCCATAATTTCACTGTTTCTGAAATCAAAGTCATTTTACCAAAATATTACAGGTTATTATGGAAATGAATTATAAAAGTAAAAGGAAGCCAAATAAAATTAATCATCTTTTATTTCCTTAACATATTTTGTTTTATTACAATTCTATATATTATATTAAATTAAATACATTAAGAATACGAGAATATATTGGATTTATATGAGCTCTTCTAAATCCAATTTACACAAATACTTAATGTTTTGATTTCAATACATTATTATGCATTTAATGTCTATGAAATCTTACATGCATTTATGTCATCTTTCTTTCATGTTTCAGTAATCCAGATATCACATAAATCTTATTTGGTTAAGTAAGTCTCTATACTATCAATTCAGGTACATTCCTTAAAGTAATCTTTATTCTCTATCCAGGTTAGATTTATTCTTTCTCTTTCATTTCTTACAATACGTCTTACTTAATCTTTTTCAAAAATCGGAAATTATATATTTTCTCAGCCTCATCTGGTAAAAATGTCAGAGGATCAAATTCACTTGTCCTTATGTTTTTTAATCCTTAATATTTATCATATCTTTCTCTCAACTTAACCTCCACTCCATATTCAACTTCATCTTCATAATCTAAGTCTTCAGCATCTCTATGTTAAATCTCATATTATTCTCGCTTCTTTTGAGCCTCATCCTCAAACTCTTTATCAAGATCCTCATAACTAACATCACTTTCTTATTCAATCATTTATTCTTCCTCTTCTTATAATTACATTCCAGCAATATCTTTTAAAAGATCATCACAATCTCCTATATCATGTTATTTATCTCTACATATAGGATCTAATGATTCTGGACAGGTTGATTCATAAACTTACTCTATCATTCCTAGTAATTCAATCCGAGCTATTGAAAAATCATCAACTCCTGTTATATGTACTAATTAATCTGCACTTAATCCTTTTTACCCTCTCCATGTACCTGTTATACTTAACTCCCCATTTATATAACATAAATCATCGGGTAACATATATCCACGTACATCTCGCCATTCAATTGCTTACTCATGTAAAACAACAACACTTCTCATAAACGTTGAAAAATCATCAACTATATGTGCTCCAGGAAACTCACTCTCAAAATATCTTGTGAACAATTTCTTAACTATATTCCTTTTGTTCATAGATATTTCATCCAAATCCTAGATGTAACATACTTATTAGACCAATCCTTATGATCTTAAATTACTAAGCAATTTATAGCCTTATTCATCAAATGCATTAGCATTATTATGAGGATCCAAACTTATTGTATTAGTATTACAATCCCTACATGATAACACTGGACATATGATATCCGCTACTTTACATGCGTCTAGAATCTATTCAGGATTTCTATCCAAAAATATAAATCTTAATGGTTATTTAATTAATTTTCCATTGGCATCAACATTCAAAAAGCATTCTTAAGTACTATATGAACTTATTGGTATTGATTATATATTCAAATGCTACATTAATCGAAATCTTTTAATTATCACATCTAATACTTCACTCCTGCTATATTAGCTTATTAATTCATTGGAAACATGGCTATGATCTTAGTATTGACTCCTTTTACAACTTTCACTTTCTATTCTTGATTCTTCTCTTTCTTTTCTATCTGAATTTCTTATTAATTATCCTTTCCCATTCCTTTTTTGATCTCTTACTTCTTTATTTTCTTTTTTAATTTGCCTTCACTCTTCTACTTTGCTCTACGTTTTGATTCCCCTTTAAATGCCTTATTTCTCTATTATGTATGTCCCTTCGGCATAATTAAAATGATTTAAAAATAATTAAATATTTAAACAAACAAATTTTAAAATATATTTACAATTTATCAGATTACTAATTATAATTCAATACTAATTTATTTTCCATTCATATTTATTTTATTATATATCTATCCATTAAATTAAATACTGAATCAAAGTCTCTCTAAAATCCATCCTCAAATCATTCTCTATTCATTAAATGTAAACTTCCAAAAACTTCCCATTTTATTCATTTTATATTTAGATTTATTTCTTTTATAATATTTTATCTACATTATTTGTTTCATTCAACACTAAACTAAAATAAGGATATATATCAAAGAACTAAATTCTTAGAGTCCCTTTGTATTAAAAATAAAAGCAGCCCATATTATGTAATTTATGGATTATATATCCTTTTCAACTGAAACCAATATTTTTAGAGACAATGAAGAAATGCCATTACTACACTGCTGACCAAAACCTATTGAATCACCATCATCATTAGAGAAAATTGATAAATATGTATAAATTTGTTGAAGTATTTATATCAAGCAAAGCATCTTCATTCGAACTTAATGAGCAACCATTTTTGCTGTAAATAATCTAATTAAAAAAGTATAAAATAGTTATCAATGTCCTAAAGGTAATTTTTATAATTTAAAAATTTATTTAAAATTATGGATATAAAAGAATAATCAAATCGATCTGTTTGTAAATAAATCCAGGAATGAAAAAATTATTGATATAAATAAGAACCCAAAAAGTAATGTAGATAAAAACAAGGTTTTTAATAAGATTAATTTTTTACAAAAGTTTAATTTATTAAATATAAAAACGCACTTCTGATAAAATAAATAGAAATTATGTAGATTTTATTGAGAATTATAGAGGGAACATGATGAAGAAAATAGTTTGAAATAGCTCTAATTTGAAAAAAAATTCTAAGTGAATCAGGAAAGGTAATTATGAGAATATAGATGATTTTATATTTATTGGCTCTAAATTCTTAACTTTTCATTTTTTAATTTTATTTAAGATTAATATATAATAATAGTTTTTAGAGATAAATCTAACATTTGCTTGTCATTCAAAGATGAATTAGTGGTAATTTTAAATTATTTTCTTTTGTATATATTATTCTAAAAAATCATCCTGTTAATATTTTTATTTATAAAGTTAATTCACTATAAATTAAGATTGTATTAATATAAAAATATTTTAAAGAATGTATTTTTATAATTAGTAGAATTTCAGGAACTTGCTATCAAAAAAGAGGATGAATATCACACACCAAAGATATTCTATTCCTTTTAATCCCTTATGATTGATATAATAGATTTTAAAAGTCCTAAGGTTCTTTGTAAATTAAAAAGATAGGAATATAAACTGGAATAAAACTCTTTCTTCTTTTAGATTTTTTTGTTCGTTTCTGCTACTTTGTAAGCTTGTTCAAGAATTACTGATAATTAAACATCATTAATAACAATTGCTACAATTTCACATTACATTTTTGTGCATTAATTTAAACCAATAGCTAAATATAAGAATAATTAAACATGTCAGAAGCACAATTAGCTTCAAGAGTGCTTCTTTGATTCTAATGACTTGAATTCAATTTCATCACAACTCTAAAACTCCAAAAAGCAAAATTTTGATCTCAAATCCTAAATTGAAACTTGCATAAATTCGACATTTGGAACAAGTAATTTTATATCTTATATCCACCTTAAGAATTAATTGAAGAAAAAATTGTATATTATTTCAGATTCATTTTTGAATCTATAGAAAGCTCATAAACTTACCATTATTAAGTACATTGATCTATTTAAAATGTTGGGAAGCTTCAATTTTATTTTCAAAATATAATTAATTTCCTTAATATATTAATCACTCATTTTAAGCTAGCTTGTCTTATGCAATTCTAAAAAGTCTTGAGGCAAATTCAAAGTTTAATGCTTCCTCTTCAGGCAAGGTACGTAAACGCTACTCAAAATAAATAGAATCAGGTTCAAGATGTGGACGATCATAATATTCCATTTCTTTTTCACTTAATTTTCTATCTAATTCACTTTTCAAAACATATGGTAAATTATTAACTTCTTATTCTACATTTTTAACAACTTCTGCATGCTTTTCCAACCAATATTTTTCTTAAAGCATTCTCAAATACTTTAATGATAATCTCATCTTTTACATATATTTCTGCATAATTTTGCATTACTTCATTTAACTTTTTTTTATCTTCAGATGAAAGTTTAAATGTAAAACGATGTTTATTACGATGATCTTCATAAAATTTAGTCAATAATTTGATTCTCTTAGCATCAAGCCAAGGATGAATAGATCCTTCTCCTGTAAACTCAGGGACATAAACATTTAATCCTCTAAAACGTCTCTTTTCTTTTCTAGCTAATAACTTTTGTTTGAATGTTTTATGCACCACAAAAGAGAATTTAGGTGTAAAAAATTACATAATTAATTTTAATTAATATTAGAATTGTATTTTCTTTGTATATTGATATTAAATACAGAATTAAAATTATCATGATCATTATAATCTTTTTGATATTTATTCATTCATTCTTTACAATTATTCACTTCTTACATAGAATGTACTTACTTTTTTATCAAATTCTTGTTGTAATTATTTTATGTTAATACAATTTTCATTTCTTTCAATCTAAGTTAATCCTGTTATATAATCTGTTATATCTTTAAGCTATTTCTTTAGATTCTATCCAAACTATTTTCTAAATTATGAATCTACTATTTTTTCACTTTCTAAAAACACATTACAAACATTATTCACTTATGCAAATTTATTGCTTATTGAATTGAAGAATCCCTTCACTTATTATTCTGCATTATTTATAAATGTATTCACACCTGAATAATCTTATAATATTAGATCAAGTTTCTATCTCAAAAGAACTATTTCTGATTCTCTTATGATTGTAATCATTTTTTAAATTTCATATATATTCTTTATACTTTTTAACATCATTAATGCTTTTTTTACAATGATCATTTCATTTGATTAAACTAATGAACATAGATCACTTAATAATAATTCTAACATCTAATATTTTGAATCAAAATCATTTTAACTAAATATCTAATGTTAATATAAATAAGCATCCTTTTAACCAATTACATACATTTTATTTATTGTTTATAAATTATTATTTCCAATCATACTTGATAGACATACTAAACTTTCCAAAGATTTTCTTAATTAATCAGAAATCTTAGAAATTTAAGGTTTTTATAAGAATGACAATTCATTACAATCATTCTAAAATTTCCTTTACATTTCCATTAAACTATCCATTAATTGTAAAAGATCTTTTTCTAAATTTGATAACATATTCTAATCTAAATTAATAACTCTATGTTTTTCAGGTTCTGCTAAGAATTCATCAAATAATTATGGTTCTTCCAATATTTAGACAGGTAATTCTATACTTTATCTATAATCATTAGATTTAAAAAAGAATGGATTAGATTTGAATAACCAAAATGCATCCACTTTTTATAAGTCTCTTTAAATTTAGGAACTCATCCCTTCTAAAGAAATTAAAAAATGATCCAATCTTTCTCTATCTTTCATAGGAAATGCACTATAAATACTTTTAACAGGAAAGTATTAACCATATCTTTAAATAAGAGATCTCATTGGATGCTTATAAAATACCTTTCTATTCTTTCCTTATTATTATACTTCCAATAAATTTCTATAATCTTAATTAGCTCTCTCAAAATCAATAATCTTTTGATAGGCTTATTAAAATGTTTATATGAAATTTTCTCTATCTTCATTACTTTTGAATTATTATAATAAATTTTTTAATGAAATGTATTATTACTACTTTTCAGCTACTTCCATAAACTCTTTATCTTTAGTAATTCTTTATATTTTGCTTTGAGCTTATTATCTATCAAATGAATCATCCAAAGTAAATTACACTTTTTTTTATATCTATACTTTCTATTACTTTAATTCTTCATTTTAATTTGTCATATCCTTATTAGTTGGAGATTAAATAATTTATTATGATGTTATAGTCTCTTTTTGTTCAACAACAACATAGTAATCATTACCTTAAGCTGATTATCTCAAAACTGAAGAAAAGTATTACTAAAAATATAATACTATTTTTCATTACCATATATTCTCTAAGATCATCATAGAATTTTCTAGTTGTTTGTAAAATTGTCGTAAGTCTCTTTATATACCTTTATTATTTTTATAATTATGCTTTCATTATCTCTATTCTTCTTTAATGAAAATCATCATTACCTTCTTATGTCTCTAATTATAACTTCCCTTTCTTAACATCATTTGTACTAAAAAACAAAGCTCTTGTACTTTTCATTGGAGCCCTATCTAAAGATATTGCTATCTTAAATTCATCTATTTATGCTAAATCTGTTTGTAAATCCACTAATTTGTTTGTTAACTATTTATTTTTTTTTTCTAAATTTTTTATATGTTTATATCTAGAATCATTTATAGTAAATATATTCTTTGATTATTTTGTTTCAAATGGTCTTGAACTCAAGTATTCTTAACTACTACTTGTTTATAATTTCATTTTTATTTATATATATTTATATATATTTATATATATAATATCACTTCTTAATACTTGGAAGTTTAAATTATTTTTTTATATCACAAATACTCTTTGTTAAAGGAGTCTTTGATTTTAACACTGGTTTTTTCATAACTTAAGTGCATTCTAATAATGGACTTTTACCAAAATCAAAATCAAATGATTTTTTAATGATTAAGGCTGTAGCTCCATTTTAAATTTATTTTTTCTTTAATAAATTTGTTTAACTTTAATTCGTATTCTTTATTTTACTAAGTGGATACTTTTTTTTGTATTTATTCAAATAATCATTTAAATCAATTTTATTAATTTCTAAATCATCCCTTTCTTAATCTAATAACAATTATCTTTATTTTTAATCATTCTTAAATATAGATTCCTCTTTTTCCATCATTTCCTAATCTTTCTTATTTAATAAATTTTCATCATTTGGTTTTAATAATTCTTCTTTAGTTTACTAAATTATAAATTAAAAAGAGCGAGATCCACTCATTACACAATCTTAAACAGATTCATTAAACATGTTTAAAATAATTAGATCATCATTATCAATTTTTTTATATAATAATGGTAAAATCTAAGAATATATTAAAAAATTAATACCTTTATTAATCTCATTCTGACATTGATAATAGGATCTTTTGAAAATATTAGAATATCAAAAAACTCATATTGTTTGAATAATTTCTTAGAAATGAATTCTGTAAATGATTAAACAATGTCAATAAAAGTGATTCGATTATAGTATATATCAGATTTAAAATAAAGATCAAATAGTTATATTATCCAATCTTTTCTTTTTCGTAAGTCTCCAAAATCACTCAAAAATTACGCAATATTATCACAACATAATTTTTTAGTTTTTGGAATTCCTTTAGCTATTGTATGAATCATAGCATTCATAAAAATATTTACATCATTAAAGATTTATAGGCATTTTTTTAATTACAATAGTAATTCTATTTAAAAATCCCAAAGATTTTTTGAAATTAGATAATTCAATAATTCAATTGTTGGTTATCCAAATTGTGGTTGTTACTGACTAAGTATATAATAAATATAATACTTATTTTTAGAAAGAGTTAATAATAGAAGCAAATCTCATTAATAAGATTTCTAATATGATTATACTTTTTGTTTTAATAAAGTTAATAAAAACTTAAAACAATATATCAGTATTTTCTGAAAGAAGTACTATTTCATGAAAGGAATTAATTATGGTTGTTCCAAGAACTTCATTATTGTCATTGCAACATTGTAAATAAGATTCTTAAAAATATTCAAAATTTTTTGATGCAAGAGATAAGAGAGCAGGGAAATTGCTTATAAAATTAACTCTTATTTCAATGTTCTTACTTTTAGAGTAAGACATGTATATATTGAGAAAAAGTGTGAATTAACTTTAATTCATATAATCTTTAATCTATAAATAGATAAACATTTAAAAATACTAGATGAAAAACTCTTCCACACATTTTTGACAAAATTAATTTACTATCTTCATTTTGACTTTGAATAGAATCAACAAATTATTTAGTACATCTATTTTTAATTTCATCTATTGACAAATTATTTGAGATAGTAAAAAATAATTTCATTGCTGCAGTTTTTACAGTCTAATCAATGTCATAGTAAAGTTCCATTATTTTTTCCATTAAATAACATTCTATTAGATCACTTGAAATTGATTAACAAACTTTAATTAAAACATCATTAGCCATAATGAATCGAATTTCTTTATCATGATCTGAACATAAATTTCTAGCCCTATCTAATATTGGACCCTTAATTTCATCACCAAGTAGCTTTATATATTATATTTAAAGTAATTACTTATGCAAATGTACCTATAAGTTTAGCAACACTTTAACGAGATATTGTTGGTTAAGAACTATCAGTTAATAGTAATATCAATTATTGAACTGGAATAAGAATATTATTAAGGCCTATTGTTCTTAATAGAATGTCCATAGTTTAAATCCATTCATTTAAAACTGGTAATGACCAGATTTTTAATATTTGAGTAGTCAAATCATAAATTTATAGTAATTCATTAATTGATAAGGCATTTTCTTTTATTAACTTTTATAGTGATTTAGCAGCAATAATTTAGTTATCCTCTTCTTGTTATTAAATCTCTTCACTTATATTTGTAGAATAATATTAATTACATTATAACTTAGAAAAGAAATCCAAAAGAATTAGGTTCCCTCAAAATTTTATGTAAATTAGAATAAATCTATATATAAGACATAAAATACAGCTTTTTTTTGTAATTATTATCCTTTTGTCAAAATATAATAGGATCTTTAGCATTCACTCAAATCTTCTTCTAAAGTTAACTTCTTAAGTTCATCTTCACTCTAAAATATAAAGAGTATATATACTTTAGTACTGGTTTTATATTCCTATTCAGGAAAAAACATGTGTATTTAAATATAATAATAAAAAAAAGTGTAAGAAAGTTATAAATGTATATATATATTTATCGATATTCATTTAATTAATTATTCACCTTATAAATTATTTATTTCTTTAAGTATTTAAGCATTTAAATCAATTATTTCAATTCTTTCTTTACCAAGTAATCTTTATATTTCTTCAACTACATTATAAAATTTGACTGTTAATTCAGGTCTTTCAAATTTAAATATGATTTTAGGTTTTTCATAACATTTTCTAACAAAGTCTCCATTTTCATTCCATAATTAGAATTAGTTGATTTGTATTTTCCAAGATTCTGATTTTCTTAAGGGCATTTTCTCTAAATATCTTAGAGTTTATTAAACAGTCTGACTAAAATAGACAGTTTCACTTCCATATTATTTAATAATCCTCCATTCTCTATTATATTAAGCTAAATCAATTCTATGTTTTAATGGTCTATCTACTGGATGAACTTATTTTTAATATTATAAATTATACTTGTTTTTAAAGATTCCTGATTAATGATTTTAGTTAATAATGGTGCAAATTTAGAATCAGGTTAACCTTAATAAAGTAATCTTCCTAAATGATCAATAACTAAAATAGGAGAAATAGAATCTAATCCATATAAATTAGATAAGATTTAATAAAAATTAATTCCTAAAAATGATTATTCAAGTGGAAACCAAGCTTCAAAAATACCTCTCTTCATTTCATTCTCCAATCTATTCATTTATCTTTAAAACTATTCCTCAGATCTTTTTTTCTCTAATCCTATTACTCTTACATTTGCATTCGTCCATTATTTACGTTTAATAAAATCAAGTAATTGATGCAATAATTCTATATGTTTGTCTAAAGTGTAATCAATCAAAAATATAATTAGAACTTCATTGTTTAGTTAATGAATTGAATGAATTTAATCATAATTCAAATCCACTTTATTATCACCATCCCAACCTTCACTAAGTTCAATATGACTTTAATTGCTTTTAATTTATTCTGTTATTCCAAAATGTTAATTCTAATCATCAATAGATTAATTCACAGATTAAACTAATTTACTATCAAATATTCCTTTATTATTTGTTTAAATGATTGATTGCATAATTTAACTACTTCCAGAAAAATCATTATGTTGCATTTTATATGTATTTGGAATAGGTGAAAAAAGAGTGCCAATATTGAAAGAAGTTCTATATTATCATTTATTTATACTTAAGAGAATAAGGATTCCCAAAGAATTCTTTTAATAATTCCAATTCTTTATGTGTATAATTTTCAGATTAAGCAAATATCTATTTACCCAATTTCTAAAGAGATTCTTTCCTTGAATAAACACAACTTATAGATTATGGAGCATTATGCATAGATGTTATTTCTCTTTTCATCTCTAAACGTTTTGAATTTTCATCATAGTAAATTTCTATACTCTTCTCCAGAATAAACCTTATATCCTCATAACCTATATTTCTATATAAATATCATTAATACATTAATTTTCGACTTAATTTCTCAAAGAATTGTTTCTTATCTATAGAATGATGTTACTTAAAATCTGTCTCCATATGAGCTATTGGTGTAAAATCCTTCACAAATTATATTAAATCATCACAATTTTATTTATATTTCTTAGATCCAGAAGCTTTAAATATAGGATTAAAATAAGTAGCTCCTACTTTTGAATAATCTCTAAAGAAAGTATGTTTTTTTATTGATATACTAAATGTATCTCCAATTGGTGATTTATTTTTGTTTGGTAATTCTTCCAATATTAATTTCTTAACTTTCTAATAATCATCCTTTCTTATTCTTTATTTTATATTCAATATTTCATTTGTCTCTTATTACTTAATCTCTCCATCAATTAAATCATTTATTTCATGAATAAATGAATGATCACCAAAATTCTCTTTTAAACATCCTATAAAAACTCCCTTTGAATTTATTATATAAATTGATTATTCCAACTATCTTATTTAATTATTTGGATCCTCTGCAAATTTAAATACTTAAGCTGATTAATCATTCTCATTTATCCAAATATGAGTATCCTCATTTGATATCACTTATTCATATAATCCTTTCTTATCTTAATTATCTAAACAAATTCCTATTAAATTAAGTGGACGCTTTAATGACTTCTTTGCTCTTATATATGCACTTTCTAAATAAATTTAGGATTCATTATCATCTCTAAAACGATTATTAATATTCCTTGTTCTTATTAATGACATCTTTCCTATTTTCTTTTCTTCTTCCAATTTCCAAAACACAAATATTGTTACTACATTCTATTATATTTAATAAGTAGTAATTTAATTTGTCCCTAATCTTTCAGCTTTAAAACTTGGGAATTAATCACCTAAACTTAATAACATTCTAATATGCTTAATGAATTATAATTACCCTAAATTTTTAGGAAAATCCTTAAATTCCTCTGGGTATAATTATTTGAAATTTGTCATACCAATAATCAAATTATCAAAATTATCAGGTAAACAAGGAGATAATAGGACAGGATTTTATTCATTAAAAATTGATTTTGTATAATTAGATTTCCAACTCTTATTTCCTCTACAATATTGAAAATCATATTCTGTTATTTTCACCACCTTACATTCTTTATTTTTTTACTTGCGATTTACTAAAACCATAATATTGACACTAATCAAAAAAATTCTTAATTCTTGGATTCTTTATTGTGACATTTGTCATCTAAGTGCAACCCATTAGAATAATATTTAAATTATTATATAACAAAATTCATTAATTTAAAATAAATTTCTCTTTATTCATCATCTCTTCAAAAGCATCTTAAATTGTTTTAGAGTATCCTCCAAACCATTTTGAATTCTTTACATCTTCTAAATTGAATCTTTTATCAGGATTTGGATTTATCATACCCAAAAAGAGTTCCCTTATTAAAAATTAATAAATACTTGAAATCAAAAGAAAATTCAATTTTTTATGAATGAACTTCCCAAAATTATTTATAGTTTTCTTAAATTATCAAATTGTATAATGCATCTTATTAATTTGCTTTCAAAAATGGTGGTTGACCCTTATACATTATAAACAATATCACTCCTAATGAAAATACATCAGCTTTAACTCCATCATAAATTGCACCATACAAAACTTCTGGTGCTTAGTAATCTTAATATATAATATTTTTATTTTTATTACTTTTCGTTCCGACCTTTGTTTTTAATTTGCCATCTTTATATTTATTCGAATATTATGCACAAGCAAAATTACATAGTTTTAGATTAAATTTTCTGTCTAATAATATTGACTCTAATTTTAGATTCCTATGAACAAATCCCTTTCCATGAATAAAATCAACTGTTTAAGTTAATTACTTAAAATAGTAACGACATAGACTCTCTTCAAAAAAACCAGTCTTAGCTATAAATTCAAATAGATCTCCTTTATCCATATATTCCAAGATTAAACAATCCAATGTTACAATCTCACCTGATTCGTCTTCCTTTCAATATAATAACTTGAATTTTACTTTTAATTTTAATTGTTGATTCTTCTTTATCGCTATTATGTTAGGATGACTCAATTTTTCTAAGATCATTGCTTCATTGTGACTTCTTATATTACTACCAGGACAAGTATACACTTTAGCTGCATAATAAATTTATGTATTCATGTCCTAAACTTAATAGATACTTCCATAATTTAGATTGTTACTTTGCCATCGATCCAGTTCCCATAAGCTTTATGAATCGATATTCATTCACAACAGCATCAATTAATTGATCCATAAATATAAATATAAATTGTGCTTACACGATATATCATTTTTTAATTCTTAAAAAAAAGAAGAAATGTTATAACTTTTTTTATTATTATTAAAATATAAATGAATAATCAAAAATAAGATGATGAAAAATACAAAAAATTTTAATGCAAAATATGTTTAGATCTAGCTACAGAACCTGTTATCACACCATGTGGTCATCTTTATTGTTGGTAATGTCTTTATACTGTAAATTATACAATATATATTTAGTGGGCTTAAAAGAAGAATCCATTAGTATGTCCATATTGTTCAAATGTTTTTGAATTAAATAAAGTCACTACCATTTTTACAGGAGATTCAAAAGAATCTAAATAATCAGAAATTCCTAAAAGACCTTCAAATCCAAGACAAGAATAAAACAATTAATAATAACAAAATTAACAATTTGGAAACTTTTAATTTGGTTTCAGTTTTGGAATGCCATTTATGATGATGTCCAATTTTAATTTTGGATAAGGACAATAAGCTAACAATAGAAGTTTTATCTTTATATTCTTTCTTGGATTTTTCCTCATGAATTTCCTTCCTTTATTTAATTCTTATTTTCAAGAAGTACCATAATAAACATAAAGACAATCAAGAAGACATTAAGAATCATCTGAAGATTATTTTACAAGCATTGGAATAAGCTTTGCAATTATTCTTGGTTTTGCTGGCCTCAATTATGTGGCTAAAAAAATTGTGAATAATTGATAAACGTGTAATTTTTTCTGATGTAATCTCAATTTAAATTATATATATATCACGCATTAATAAATTTTCATTAATTTTTTTAACAATAATATTAAAATAGTTCAAAATCTATTTTTATTTTATAACAACTATCCATACATTCCTTTTTTTAAAAAAATTCAAATTTTTTCTATTTTTAAATCAACTCCAGCTGAATGAAATCCTATAACTTTTCTAAATTCAAAAATGAAATTTATTTATTTTGTAAAATAAAATTTATATACACATAATCATTAAATCCATTCGAATCATCGTTATTAAAATTAGTATATATTCTGTAAGAGTTTCTTCTCCAATACGATATCTAGTAATTTATTTACCCAGACTCCTTTGTTTTGCAGCCTAAAAAAATACCCAGCATATAATTTATAATATCTATATTATTCAAATTAGGAAGAAACATATAGATGTAGATTTCATAATTTAATTATATGAATATGATAATACATCTGTATAATATGAAGTCATATCTTAAAATGATTCTTGTAGATCTCCACCTCAAGTTCCCTTACTTGTCTCACTAGTTTCTTGTATTTTTTTACGTAGGTTTACACACTCAACTGTTTCTTCTTTTGTATTTTATTAATAATTGAAGAGATCATTGTTTATATCTCTCTTTGAAGTTCTTGTTTACTTTTCATCAAGATAAATTAATAAATTGTATATTAAAAATATTAAATTATATAAGAACTTAAATCTTTGTTAAATAATAATTTTCCCAGAATTAATTAAGATTAATTCACTACTATATTTTAATTTAATAGAGATTTTAAAGAATTAATTAAATAATGCAGATTCTTTTCACTTCAGGACCACTTTTCAAAACTATTACTGTAAAATAAGCTGCTTTAATTGATATGTGTTCAAGAGATCCAAAATTTATCTAAATTATTCAAAACATTAGATCAAGCATATTAAAATTATCTAATATAGATGAAAATATTATACAACAGTACTTTTCTAGGAAAATGGCACATATGCTATTGAAACCACATTTCATACTGTATTATATTGAGAAACAGATAAATATAATCATTAATTATTTAAAATTAAAGTACTTGTAGTGTCGAATAGAGCTTATGGTGAAAGATAAGCTAAAATATTATCTGCTATCAATTAACAATATGTAAATCTTTCTTATGACGGAAATCTAAAATGTGTAATTGAAGAAATCATAAAGCCATCTAAGATGATCAAGCAATTACTCATTTGAGTATAGTCCACTTGAGAACAACTTCAGGAATTATAAACGATTGATTTTGTATTGGATACTGTCATTTCTTTTGGAGCCTATGAAATACCAGTTTAAAAATTAAATATAGATTTCTTAGTATTGATAAGCAATCTGGATTTAACAAATTTTTAATGTATAATTAATTTAATTCAAGTTCAAAATAATTTATTGTAATAAACACTTTCAAACTCATAATCTTTAATTTTAATTGTTTAGAATAAGCTAAGTTGAAGTCTCTTTTTTTGAAAAGATTTTTTATAATTCTGTCTGACCTTTTTTCTAAAATATTAATAACTGTTCTAGGATTTCTTAATTTGAATAATATCTTGATATTGATTCTTAAAACTTAAATTTCTTTGCTTTTTACTTAGAAGTAAATCAGATATTTTCTAAAAAAAATGAAATACAAAATGGTTTTCTTTTTCAAATCTATTAAGAAAGGCTTAAAATAATATATTTGCATTTTTTTGATGTATTAATATCTATATTTACAAAAAATGAATAATTTATCAATTCATTTTAGTATCTGTAAAAGCATTTTTTTATATCTAGCTACGAAAGCAGGAATAAATTCTTTTTTTGAATGATTTGATCGTATATAAATTTATTATGCTTTGACAAATGGTTCTCTTTAGGTAGCAATAAATTAAAGAATGTTTAAGTTGACATTTTCTAATGAAAATTTTTATTTTATTCTATGGTTTACCTATTATTATATAGATAATTTATATTTTGGATTTTCATAGATTTTATGGTCAAACTCATATTATTCTTTATTTTAATGATATTTTTCTGTAATTTCAAGTATCTTTTTCGGTAATTTTGGTTGCCTCCTTAGAATTGAATTTATAATCTAAGTTTGTTCGTGATGGACTAAATTAAACTCTTAGAAATCTTTATTCGTCACAATTGTTGTAAGAATTTCAATTGGATTACAATTATTGTACTTAATAAATCTCTTATCATCAAAATTTTTTCCATTTGCAATATTTATAAAAGGGACGTTAATTGCTCCTTGAATTGAAGAAATAAAGTCAATAGCTTTAGTTGGAAGTGTTTTCTCGAACATTGAAATAAATTCTTATGCTGTAATCCTATAATATGATTTTGGGGGTTCTAAAAATCCACTGGTCCATTTTTAATGATAAAATTCAGCTTTTTAAATATTGCCTTAGTAGAAATAAGCTATTCCCATGGCATCATAACACTAAATTTCAAGATCATGATACTCAAAAGCCCATGTATACATCAATGCTTTTTATACAAGAACAATTTGTTAATCAAACAACTTGTACCTATAAATATATAATATATTACTGTTTAGAACATTAAGCTAACAATAAAAGACCCTTGACTTTCAATTATGGATTACGAATTAGATTTGACAATGTATAACAATCCTTAAGGAAGTAAGTAGCTTTTGAATATTCTTGACAATCTGAAAAAAAAGTAGCTAAAAAGAAGATCATTTCTAAAAAGGTTTCAGTCAACTATGTAGAATGTAATTTAATTGAATACATTTTCTTATTATGCTAAAACCATTGGAGTTTGAAATAAACTTACAATTTTTTCAACATCCTTTCTTTTAATTACCTCTTGAAATATAAGGGAATTTTCTTCAAAAAATAGAACCATATTATATTTTTTGTCATTCTTATTGTATCTCTATGTACTAATGAAAGAAGTCAATTTTTATTCCTAGGAAAGAATATCAGAAATTTTATACTTTACTCATCTGATTTTTTGAGTTAATTGGGGAATGTGGGGTCATATTGGATGTTTTGATTTCAAATTCATGTAGATGACTAATATCTAATTGTTTAACTGTCTGATCTTGAGTTCTTTCAAATGCTGACATATCTTTGGGAAGAGGTGAGTTTCGCTAAGAAAAGGATTAAAACTTTGTTTAAGGTCTTTACATAGTAGTTGGCCTGTTAGAAGGACTATTAAGGAGAATTCGTAAAACAGAAGACATTTAACTTTTTTTGTTATGTTAAAGTTTTTCAAAAACATTTGTATTTGTTGAAGGAGGTGAATAATTAGCTTACATAAATAATTATTAAAATAAATGGAACCAGATTTAAAATTATTGTCACTTTTAGAAAAAGTAAATAATCCAATAGAGATATTAAAAGTACATATAACTGTGAAAGTATAGTGGCAATATAATAATTATATTAGGGGGTGTATGGATTTACAGAAGATTGGAAATTGACAGATGAAACGAATCCAGGAATATTTGCAAATGTAGTTCGTTACTAAGGGGAAGATTTGTTTGGAAAGATTAAGGGTCGGGAATTGACAGAGAAAGAGAAATTTGAAGAGTATTAGAAAAATAGTAAAAAGAATAAAAAAGAAACTAAGAGTCCTGAAGAAGAAGAGTAAATGAGAAAAGTAGTGGCATTAGAGGAAGAGGAAGAATAAAAAAAATAATAGCATTTGGGGACTCTATAAGATAAAGATAAATTTTTTTTTATTTCTGAAGACAAATTCAAAACTACGAGTATTTAGTATGAAGAAACTCATACAATAGAAATATCGAATGTGCGTTAATTGGAGGAAGAAATTCTTGAATAAAGAAACATGATTTATTTTATAAGATAACCTGCAATAACTGAAGAAGAATTGGTAAAATTGAAGAAAGGTAAGACCAAAAATTTAAATAATGCTGAACTAACATAAATTATATTTAAAGGGGTTTTTGATTTGTCAGATTTGTTAGAACCTGGATGCACTCATACAACAGTGAGAGCATTTTTATAATAAGAAGAAAATGCAGATTGTCCAAAATATAATTGTGATAAGATGTATGTAAAAGTAGATATAGAGACAGAACCAGCACTTACACCACTTGTAGAAGATATTCCGGTTTTAAATATTGAACCAATTGTTATTTAAAAAATACCTAGCAAGTTTGAATGTGTTGGACAATTATAAAGTAAATATTCATGATAATTTTAAAGGAGATATAAAAGAGGCCATGAAAGCATTAGATGAAGAATATAGTAAACTTTATCCAAGTGATTAAAAGGCCAAAATAAGTGCAAATCTGACTATTTAAAAAAGATAGGAATTATAGAAGAAGAAAGAATCCTTTCTTAATGAAATTAATTAATCTGGAAAATATAAAATTCTTTAAGATAGATTGAGATCATCAATTATTAGAGTCTGCATTGATAAATTTGCCAAAGAAGGATTATTTGTAGGAGTGAATAAGGATGAATAAGATAGATTATTTGCAGAACTCTATGTGTTTATGATGGAAGAAATGCAAACTACACTTGGTGAATATGTTCTAAATAATAAAGAAGACATTCATGAAGATTTATATGCAACTTATGATTAAAATTAAAGAGATAGAGATGTAGTATTCTAATCATTGAAAGAATCTGCTTACAAAAAATTTAAGAGGTTTGCTGAACAATATGAAACTATCAATTAAGTCGATCAAGCTCTAAAATATTATACAAACATGGTATTAGTGGATCCTAAATCAGCAACTATTTTTGCTAAATATTGTTTCAAGATTCAGAGATTCAAAGCAGCTGAGCAATTGTTATAAATGGTTAGAGATATAGAATGGAATAAAGAAAATGAATTATTAATGGCTTGTCTCTATATTAGAAGAGAACGTTATAAAGAAGCCATCAATATTGTTTAAGCTTTACTATAAAAAGAACCAATAAATACACTTTTCAATCTACTTATGTCATTCATCTATAAGTAACAAGGAAATCAAAATTTGGCTGATAAATACTCGAGATGCACCCAAAGAATATTCATGAGAACAATGGGCTTGTTATCCAAAGGGTATGCTGTCTTAATTTTATAAAAGTTTTCCAAAATAGTAACCAGATCCCCATGTTTTACCCAATTTTAAACAATAAATGATTGAATAATAAGAAAAAGCAAAAAAGGCTCCAGTTTTAACTCAAGAACAGACTGATTAAATATAATTAGAACTAATTGAATATTTCGCATCTCGAAGCTTATATGATTTAGCTGAGAAAGCTCTTGTAAATATCAAAGATAAAACTACACAAAAAATTAACATAATCAAAGCTCAGATTTATATTTTCAATGAAAACTACGCAGAAGCATAAAGCTTAATTTAAAAAATATTAAATCAAAATCCAAAAAATTATGAAGTGTATTTAATTAAAGGTTCTTTATGTTATCAAACAGAACAGTTTTATGAAGCAGAAGAAACCTTTCTGAAAGCTTTATCCATCTAGCAAAGAAAGTCATTTGATATTCTATTAAGATTGGGGTATTTGTATTTAAAGCGTAAATCATGGTAAGATGCGAAAACTATTTTTGAACGAGCCTTAGATTAATAAAATCCTTCAAATAGTTCCTTAACCTGGTTAGGATTGGGTATATCAAATTTGAGATTGAAGGATCCTATAGCTGAAGAGTGTCTTTGTTAAGCAAGCATTCATGAACCTTTTAATGGTGAGGTTTGGGGTTATTAGGCGTTAAATTGTTTGTAATAAAAAAGAGGATAGTAGGCTAAACAATGTTTATAAAGAATGGAATAAACAGAAGTTAATGATTTAGATTTATTACTTGAATTAGCAGAGGAAATGTTTAAATGCTAAGATTTTGAAAGTTGTCGAAATATATTGATGAGGGTTTATAATTCTAAAGTCAAAATACCTAGCATGGGATTATTATTGAAGAATTTAGGATAAGTGCATGCAGAATTACAAAGAAAGGAAGAAGCTAAATAATATTACGAGGAATCTTTGTTATATTTAGAAAGTGCAAATGAAAAGGCAAAAGTTATTAACGAAATAAAGTTTTTATGAAGATTCTTTCCAATTTCACATATTTATCTATAATTATAAATGTAGATAATATTTAAGAATAAAATAACCAACCTATATATTTAATCTAGATTAATTCCAAGTTTCTATGAGTTTTAGCATTCTCCTCAAATCTGTCTCCAAGTTCTTAATTCAAGTTTTGGAAGATGTTTTAGATGAAAAGTAAGATCTTACAAAAAATATAAATTGTTCCATTATAATATATTCCTTAAACAACTTGAATTCAATGATTCCCTACTAATAGTTAAAATAGACATACTTTTGAGATTTCTGAACCGCTCTCAATAAAAAATTTGGATAAATCTTTTTAAATAGATAGAATAGATAAAATAAAAATTTAAGACATTCAAGAGAAATTTATAAAATAACTTTACAACAGATAAATTAAGTTAATTAAAAGATTGATAAACAAATTTTTGGAAATAATTAAATACTTTTGTTAAATATCAGACGAAAAGATGCCAAAAATAAAATATATAGAATTGAATTGAAATTAAAATTAACTAATAAAAAGAAGAATTTTACTTAAAAAATTCTTAAATCTTCAATAAGATATATTTTAAGGAGATAAGACAAAAAGTAGTCCAGAGAATTGGTTCAAAAAACAATATAGGGTTTGAGTCCAAAATATAAGATTTATATCTGTCTACTTACAAATTTATTACCTTTTTTATTCTTCCTATTCTCTAATTTTCTTTTATGAATTGTTTCCTTGGATTCTTCTTCAAAAACCGGTATCTTCATTTATTTTAGTATTTAGGAGTATAATATTTTGAGGACATTCTTTTGATTTAAAATGATTTGTAGAGTCATTGTAAAACAGAGATAAAAATATGAAAAATAGACTAATTAGTTATTTTTAAAAATTTATTAATTTTTCATTAATTGCAAATATGAAGCAATAAGAATAATTCATTGCATTCAACTTGATATTCTAAAGCATATCGCTGTAAATTCAAGCCTCCCTTTTTTTCTTGTAGTAATTTAACTAATAGTTAAGGACTTGTATTCGTGTTTTCCTTAAAAAACTATTCAATTTATGAAAAAATAGTTTTAATTTTAACGGATTTTTTCATGCTATTTAATCTTTGCTTAGCTTTCTCTAATTTTTCGTTGGTTACTTTTTTTTATTCATAATTCTAATAAGATTAGATATAAAATACATCTTGTCTTCTAGTATTCTTGGCTAAAATTGCTGCTTGCAACTTAGTAATAGATTCGGCCGCATCTTTAGCAGATAATAATTTTAATAATTACTATCCTTAAGCAAAAGCTTTGATTTTTGTAATTGTTTCTTAAATATCCTATTTATAATCATTTTAATCTTCTTGAGATACTCTTTACATTAAGGTGTTTATAATTTGAAGCTATTTGTTTGCTTCATCTTAAACCGATTTCAAACCTCTAGTGCTATCTTCCATCAATTTTAAGAAAATCTAATTCACAAATTAAAATAAATCGTGATTTGAGATTGAATATTGTTTGAGATTAATCTCTTCTCCATTTATTTTGATTATTGGATTTTCTGAAAAAATAGTTTAATTAGGCGCAAGTTTTGTCATTTTTTTTCCAAAAGGTACCAATTATACAGCTGGTTCAATTCTGACTAGTCTGTAGAATATTTCTTCTTTGATTTGTTGCAATTTATTTTAAAAATCAACCCTGGAATTTTAAATGTATTCCATCTAAGAACTAATTAATGTTGAATTATGAATTCTGTTTTTCAATTCAGCCACAATAGTATGGGAAAATGTATCCCCTATTGCCAAGGTGAAAAACTTAAATTAATATTCTTACTCATGAAAAATTGTAAAGTTTTCTGCTAAATTATTAATGTAGTTGTCTAATTTATCATCTCCTACTCCATCAGTTATAAAAACAACGATGACATTTTTTTTTAATCTACCACTTTTCACTAATTTGATAAGTTCTTGAAATCCTAATGATATATTTGTGCCTTCTCCTTTTTAATGGTCTAATTTAGGATTCAATTACAATTCAGCTGCATCATCAAATTGAATGCAAAAAGAACTCTAGATATCATATATAAAATTATTCCAGGCTTTGCATAGATCTGACCAACATTCACTCATACTTCCAGATCCATCGATAACTCCCACAACAGAGAAATCATGCTCTGGTTTTTAATCTACAATAGAGTATAAATAGAATTGCTTATCATAATTCATTTTTTAATTAATTATTAGTTATTTTTAATAAAAATAATAGATTTAAGAAAAGAATATTTATTATTTTTTTCTAATGATCTCCTGAATTATTATTTATTGCTTCATAGAATTATCATGAATATATACATTATTTTTCTTACTTATGAGTTATTATTCATAAGAAATTTTATTGATTAATTAAATCTTATAAATATTAATGATATAATTTACAGTCTCTTATGAAGGTTAGCTGTTAAAATCAGAATGTCAATCGTTTAAAAGGATTCAAGATTACATTGACAAATTAATTTCAACATTAAAATTACAAATCTAGAATAAATGTTATGGATTATTCATGAATGGTGTTGAACTTTAAAAAGATAAAACATTGACAGAAAATAAAATTAAAAATGGTGTTACTTTAGAATTGAAAGTCACTAAAACTTTTGAATATGTTTTTCTTAAAGTAAAAGGAAAAGAGAAATCCTTTTGGCCACATATCAGCTTAGCAGAGAAAGCTGAGATACTGTACTAACAATGTTAAAAAGAATTCAACCTTTAATATGGCTCTTTTACGCTTTTCTATCAAGGAGTCCAATTAGAAAAAGAAGTTTAATTAGGTTCATATAATATAATTTCTAATTCTATCATTAATTGTGAGAATAATGATGTAATAAAACAAGATAATTCGATGATGACAGTCTAAATTTAATATAATAATACATAATATTAAATCAGTATCAATCGATAAAGTCTTGTTTCGGATTTAGAGCAGAAAATAAAAGAATAATTTAAAAATATTCAACAATTTTTACTTTTGAAGGATGGAGTGCAGCTATTGTAATCGAATCAAAAAATTGAAACTTTAAATGCTAAATATATTGAGGTATCTTAATAAATAAATTAAAATCAAAAATCATAAGAAATTGTAATATTTTTAAATTATGTTGGTTAAAATACTCCAATCGAAATAAGTTTAGATACACTTATTTAAGAACTGTTAGAAACATCTGTATAATTATATTCAATAAAAGATAATGTAATTTTGAAACTCAATGATTAAATCTTACCTAATAATCAAACAATAGGTTAATTACAAATTCCAAAAGGCTCTATATTAACAGTTGAAGTCTAAAAATAAATTGCATAATCATAAGAAATTGTAATATTTTTAAATTATGTTGGTTAAAATACACCAATCGAAATAAGTTTAGATACACTTATTTAAGAACTGTTAGAAACATCTGTATAATTATATTCAATAAAAGATAATGTAATTTTGAAACTCAATGATTAAATCTTACCTAATAATCAAACAATAGGTTAATTACAAATTCCAAAAGGCTCTATATTAACAGTTGAAGTCTAAAAATAAATTGCATAATCATAAGAAATTGTAATATTTTTAAATTATGTTGGTTAAAATACACCAATCGAAATAAGTTTAGATACACTTATTTAAGAACTGATAGAAACATCTGTATAATTATATTCAATAAAAGATAATGTAATTTTGAAACTCAATGATTAAATCTTACCTAATAATCAAACAATAGGTTAATTACAAATTCCAAAAGGCTCTATATTAACAGTTGAAGTCTAAAAATAAATTGCATAATCATAAGAAATTGTAATATTTTTAAATTATGTTGGTTAAAATACACCAATCGAAATAAGTTTAGATACACTTATTTAAGAACTGATAGAAACATCTGTATAATTATATTCAATAAAAGATAATGTAATTTTGAAACTCAATGATTAAATCTTACCTAATAATCAAACAATAGGTTAATTACAAATTCCAAAAGGATCTATATTAACAGTTGAAGTCTAAAAATAAATTGCATAATCATAAGAAATTGTAATATTTTTAAATTATGTTGGTTAAAATACACCAATCGAAATAAGTTTAGATACACTTATTTAAGAACTGATAGAAACATCTGTATAATTATATTCAATAAAAGATAATGTAATTTTGAAACTCAATGATTAAATCTTACCTAATAATCAAACAATAGGTTAATTACAAATTCCAAAAGGCTCTATATTAACAGTTGAAGTCTAAAAATAAATTGCATAATCATAAGAAATTGTAATATTTTTAAATTATGTTGGTTAAAATACACCAATCGAAATAAGTTTAGATACACTTATTTAAGAACTGATAGAAACATCTGTATAATTATATTCAATAAAAGATAATGTAATTTTGAAACTCAATGATTAAATCTTACCTAATAATCAAACAATAGGTTAATTACAAATTCCAAAAGGCTCTATATTAACAGTTGAAGTCTAAAAATAAATTGCATAATCATAAGAAATTGTAATATTTTTAAATTATGTTGGTTAAAATACACCAATCGAAATAAGTTTAGATACACTTATTTAAGAACTGATAGAAACATCTGTATAATTATATTCAATAAAAGATAATGTAATTTTGAAACTCAATGATTAAATCTTACCTAATAATCAAACAATAGGTTAATTACAAATTCCAAAAGGCTCTATATTAACAGTTGAAGTCTAAAAATAAATTGCATAATCATAAGAAATTGTAATATTTTTAAATTATGTTGGTTAAAATACACCAATCGAAATAAGTTTAGATACACTTATTTAAGAACTGATAGAAACATCTGTATAATTATATTCAATAAAAGATAATGTAATTTTGAAACTCAATGATTAAATCTTACCTAATAATCAAACAATAGGTTAATTACAAATTCCAAAAGGCTCTATATTAACAGTTGAAGTCTAAAAATAAATTGCATAATCATAAGAAATTGTAATATTTTTAAATTATGTTGGTTAAAATACACCAATCGAAATAAGTTTAGATACACTTATTTAAGAACTGATAGAAACATCTGTATAATTATATTCAATAAAAGATAATGTAATTTTGAAACTCAATGATTAAATCTTACCTAATAATCAAACAATAGGTTAATTACAAATTCCAAAAGGCTCTATATTAACAGTTGAAGTCTAAAAATAAATTGCATAATCATAAGAAATTGTAATATTTTTAAATTATGTTGGTTAAAATACACCAATCGAAATAAGTTTAGATACACTTATTTAAGAACTGATAGAAACATCTGTATAATTATATTCAATAAAAGATAATGTAATTTTGAAACTCAATGATTAAATCTTACCTAATAATCAAACAATAGGTTAATTACAAATACCAAAAGGATCTATACTAACAGTTGAAATTTTAAAATAATCTAATCAATAAAATTTAATATCGTTAATTATTTAATTTGATCAAAATTAACCAAATAAAGTAGATGTAAATATTGATGCTTATGTTTCTGAATTAGCCTAAGAACTACAAAAACAGTATAATTTACCATAAATAAAGTTTTAATCGTAAAATGGGTAGATATTAAATCATAACTAAACATTTAGATAATAAAATGTTGTTAAAGGTTAGATATTGTATATCAATAAAATTTAATAAAATCCAATAGATTTGAATTTGACAATTTAATTAGGTGATAAAAAATTAGACATGTAAATATTATCTAATGTTTTGGTTTATTAACTTGAATAATAGTTTATTAGTGAATTGAAACTCGAAAGAGAGGTAAAGTTATTCTACAACAATCAAATGTTAAATTCAAATGAGACCTTATAAAAATTCTAAATTGTTCAAGGATCCAAATTAATCGCTAAATTTATAGATTCTAAACCAATTTATGAGTAAAAATAAGGAAAGCCTCTATAACTTATAATCTAATATTAAGGCGAGACATTTGATTTCTCTGCTCAAGAAGATACATCAACGTAGCAATTAATTGAAAGTGTTGCTAAAAAAATTAAAATTAACACTTCTTTCATTTTATAAACAGAAAGCGGAATTAAATTAAAGCTAAATTAAACTCTTGGGTAACAGGGAATAATAACTCGATCTGTATTATTTTTAATCAAAAATGAGGAAAAAAATGGAAAATAAATAAAAATTTTGATTGATTATCGTGGCTAAAAATTTCCACTTGATATTGATAACACAAAACTAGTTTAGGAAGTCATTACCTATAGTTAACAAAATTTATAAATTTAAGGACAAATATAATTAAAACTTGAAGGGAATTAAATTTTAAATTCAAATGATACTTTAGCCAACTAGAATGTTTAGAAGGGAAATGTTTTAATGGTTGAAATAATTCCATAAGCGCTTCAAAATACTATAATCAATTAAAACCAATAATCTCCATCTTCTATTGGTAATTAAAAAAAAATAATAATTATTCTTGATATTGATGGAGAGCGTAGATAGTTTCAATGTTTTCCTGATTCTTTAGTTTCTGATTTATTGATCGAGTTATAACGGGTCTATCAAATTTAACAAAAATTTAATTTGAGTCTTGAAGGTTTATAAATTTTGCAACCAAATTTAACCATTTCAGCTTAAAACGTTAAAAAAGGTTCTCTATTGTATTTAATCCCAAGTTAAAATTAAATAAATCCAAATTAAAATTAAGTAAATCCAATTTAAAATTAAATTAATCAAAACTAAAATTAAATAAATCCAAACTAAAATTAAGTAAATCCAATTTATAATTAAATTAATCAAAACTAAAATTAAATAAATCCAAACTAACATTAAGTAAATTCAATTTAAAATTAAATTTATCAAAACTAAAATTAAATAAATCCAAACTAAAATTAAGTAAATCCAATTTAAAATTAAATTAATCCAATCTAAATTTAAGCAATTCCAACTTAAATTTAAATAAATCCAACCTAAAATTAAGAAAATCTACCAAATTAAGGAAAAAATATAAAAATTAAGTTTAGTTTTAATAATAAAATAGAATCTATTAATGTTTAAGATGATTTTACAGTGAAAGAGTTTATAGATCATTTATAATGCACTTATGAGATACAAGAATAATTTTAATTAAGCTTAGAAGGTAATAAAATATTAGATGAAAAATTAACACTAGCTGAATAGAAGGTTTAAAACGGAAATAATTTAATAGCAGTTTTTAAGGAGAAACCATAACAATCAAATTTTATTTTGATTTTGAAGCATTAAAATTTTGCTCTATAAATTGAAGCAAATCCAGATTCCTTTGGTAGTCAATTATTTTAAATTATTTAATAAGAGCTTAAATAAAAGTTTAATATTCAATAGCCATTCCAAATATTTGTTGAAGGAAAGGTCCCTCTTGATTTTTAAAAGAGTTTGAGAGCCTAAAATTTCTAAAAAGGAACTAGTTTATAAATTTGTTTCGTTTCTAATATTTATGGTTAATAGTCTCTAATCAACAATTAATATTATTAATAGCCTTTTATGAATAATATGTTTAATTAATAGCCTTTTATGAATAATATTAATAATTAATAGCCTTTTATGAATAATATTAATAATTAATAGAATTTTATGAATAATATTTATTAATAACCCCCAATGAATTTTGGATGGAATCAAAATATACCTTAGCCTTTACCAAACCTACAGAATAATACAAAAAAGTAAAAATCACAAGATTTTGGAGTTTCACCAAATAGCTTTCTTAATGGATAACCATAATAGGATAACAGATAATCATTAATACAATAGCCAAGATTTTTATCTCAAACTTAATCAAATAAATTACAAATTTATCTTAAATACTTGAATAATTCAGCATCTTTTGAACTTGAATAAAATATAATAGTTGCTGATTTAGAGAGATTTTGTTAGGACCATTTTAAAATTTAATAACCAATATAAATTGTGCGTTAGGGATAGGTTTTAGACTCCTCATCATTTTTAAATTCATTTAATTTGTAGATCAATGAAATTTTGGATGTTGTAGTAAAGCAAACATCATTATGTCTGAGAATTTAAGTATTAGGGCAGATTGAAATTGATGTAGAGATAGATTATGAGACGAAGGTTTTTGAAATGATTGATTAATTAAAATAAAAATACAATATTATTTAGCCAACAGATTTAATGCAAAACCAAAAGTAGTTATCATTAGATAAAAGTTTTAAGGAATTAAATGTAGCAAATAATAGTTATTTGATTTTAAAAAATAGACTATAAACTCCAGTGGGAATATTCAAGATTATTAATATCAATAATACAGGTCTAAATTTGATATATGTGAATGTTAGAGATAGAACTAACATTATATAAATTGAAATAGCTCCCACAGCAGATGTTTTAGAGTTAGAGAGAAGATTTAAGGAAAAAACAGGATAGAATTCTTAGTGTAGTTTTTAATTCAATAATGGAATGATTTTGAAATCAGGATACTCTTTGGCTTAATATGGAATAGTCAATAATAGCGAAGTACTTTTGATAAGATGATGATTGAATTTAAAAATTATTTAATAATATTAATTCATAAATCTTTTGCATCTTCAAAACTCAATATAAAGACAGTGTGGGGATAATAGCTGACACCTCTTTCATCAGTCTTGAATTGATAAGAGACTTCACATGCAAATCCAGAGGCATTTAATACTCCCTAGTAATTTTATTGTTTATTCTTACTTTTAGAATTCCACACATAAATTATGCAGGGGATATATGTCCTTCTTCTGAGATGTACTTGAGAAGCAATGGATTTTCATCTCTAATAAGAAAATCATTGGGTCTATCTTTCAACTTTTCAATTGATTCTGCTTATCTGCCAAAGAGATGTTTCCAAAACTAAGAATGCAATTATAAAATACAATTCCCTATATGAATCTTAATTATTCAACTAATTTAGTTTCTCTTTTGTTTCTTTCTCTGAGACTGACTACTTCATATAATCTGATTCCCACTGAGATTCCTAATTGTTCCATTTTAGAATTCATTTCATTATAATCATTACCATGTTTCCTCTTTAAATAGCAAATGTATCTAGATATTGAATTGATATACTCAGCAAAAACATAATTGAATGTGCAGAAGTTCTATTCAGGTCTTTATTATCGAATATTTTTGTCGAAAAACTAAAATTTTTTCATTATTATATAAATTAACTAAAATTTTCATAATTACTTTAATGATTCAGCAAATAATTCAATAAGAGTCATAAGATTCTTGCCATTCATACAAGTTGCGTCAACTAAAGCACTACATACAAGATATGGATCCATATTAGCTGAAGGTCTTCTATCTTCTAAATATCTAAAATGAATATAAAGAATAAATAATTTACCCTTTTCCTAATTCTTTAGTAATAATAGGTACTCTAATGGAACATCCTCTAGATCCATCTCCCCAAGAGAATTAATTATATTCTCCAGTTTCATGTTTACCTGTTAATCTAGCTTCATTATTTAATCCATAAAGTAACATCATTTTTTAATGATTCTTTTCTAAAAGAGGTAATATGAATTCTTTAATATATTCATATCCTCCAACTTCTCTTGTTTTATTTGTTGAGAAATTACAATGAGCTCCTGTTCCATTCCAATCTCCTTAAATAGGTTTTGGATCATAATTGATATCTATTCCAAACTCTTCACCTAATCTTTCTAATATATATCTAGCCAACCATAAATGATCACCTGCTTCAATTCCATGAGCAATCCCAATTTAAAATTCCCATTAAGATGGAGCTACCTCTGAGTTTATTCCTGATAATTTTAATCCAGCTTATAAACAGGCTCTTTAATGTGCTTCAGATAATGCTCTACCGAAATTATTACGCTCTCCTATTGAACAATAATATCTTCCTTGTGGATATGGAAAACCACCAATTGGCCATCCTAAAGGCCATAAATGTGTTGTGCCTGTTCTCTTTAACATAAAATATTCCTATTCTACACCAAACCATGGATCACATTCATTTGCTTCTTACATTATTTTTTCAGCTATCCATCTAAAATTAAAACGTGCTGGCGTTTTACGATCTGGCTTATATGTTTCACATAATACAAATTTATGAGGATCTCCACGAAATGGATCTCTTACCATACATACAGGCTTTAAGAAAATTTCACTAAATTTTGTTATTGCTTGATCTGTAGATGAACCATCAAATGTCCACCATTCAACATCTTCCAAACTTTTAATTGCAGTATCATACACTTTTGTTTTAGATCTCAATCTCTCTCCAGTACCATCAATCCAAATATATTCAACTAATACATGTTTATTTGTATTCAATTTGTAATAGTTAAAGTCCCTTAAATTTTCAATAGTTTCTGTCATTGATTAAATTAATATTAAATATTAAATAATTTATTCATGTCTCCCATTAATTCATGCACCGTATTTAGGGAACTTGCCTACTTATGTAAGTAATTCTCTCCAAAGACATTACAATCTTATTATATTTCGCCTTATATAGGAAAATTCATTTATTTATTATAAAGATTGAATTTCATCAACTCTCATCTGATAATTTGAATAATGAATAAGAGCAATCTATTTACCTTTACTCTCTATTTATTAATATTTAAACTAATTTCTGGATTAGAGAGGGAATTCAATATCATTATCATATTATTTGATGTTGGATATAATGAAATATATGTGATATTGTTTCTACTTTTAGATTTCTTCCAAAACTCTTACTTAATCTTTAAATGCAATGACAATATCGAAATTATCAAACAATTATTCTTAGAATTCATCATAACTAATTAATTGAAATTATTAGTATTGTTTTCCAATAACAACTGTTTTGGCACCATAACTAATTTAAGAATAAGATTAAGCATTATTGATCAAATTAACTTCAAGTATTTCATCATCATTTTATTAATTTGGTAAAATGGTATTTTATACACCCTCTTTCATTCCCATTAATTCTAAGATAAAATCATCTTATTCTTAGATAACAATAGTAGTATTGCCTTTCTTGATGAATTCTTGACAATCAACATCAATTAATAATGCTACCTTACCCTTCATATATTTATAAATAATAAAATTAATTAGAGAATGAAGAGAAGCTAAGTTGCACCAATGCCAATAAAAGTAGAAATTATTTATACAATAGTAAGAAGTTGAAGACTTTGAAAATAGAGTGACTCTAAGATTATATTTAGAGAAACTGTTGAGTTAGAAATGGGGTAGATATTTAGACATAGTTTCTGGTTTTATAAGTTTAACATCTTGTATGATTTATTTGGGTACAACCTACTTTAATAATGTGAATTGGTTAAGTACTATCGATATTATAGTGTGTTCACTTTATTTATTTGAATATCTTCTTAAAACATTTGCAGCTTAACATCGATTGTAGTACATTTTGGAAGTAAATTCAGCAGTAGAATTATTTACACTAATGCCTTTATTTATATTGTAAGAATAAGAGAATTGGGATTATCTAACTAGATTGATCAATATATCAAGAGTTATAAGGTTCTTAAGAGTTGTTAAGACTATTTCTAAGTATTATCAAGTTGGTGATAATGAATTTGGTGGTGTTAATCGATAAATTTATACTATATCTTTAACAATTCTAACTTTGATAATTGTAACAGCTGGAGTATTGTAAGCATTTGAATCTCCAAAAAGAAAAGAATTAATTGCTCTTGATGAAGAGAATTAATGTGGGGCATCAATTGATGAATGTACCTTTCATGAAATGGTCTATTTTACAGTTGTTACATTAGCTACTGTAGGTTATGGGGATGTCACACCTTAAACAGAAGAAGGCAGAGTATGTGTTATTGTATTAATCATTATTGTCTTGGTTGTTATACCTAAACAAATGAATGAATTAATTAGACTTATGGGATTACAAAGTGTTTATGCAAGAGCTTTCTATAAATGGAATCCTGAAGTTCCACATATTATCATTTGTGGACATGTCAGTGTTGCAGCATTAAGAAATTTCTGTAGTGAACTCTTTCATTAAGATCATGGTAGTCAGGATAAAAATGCTATCATTATGAGACTTACTAAACCTAACACAGAAATGGAAATCTTCTTACATAATCCTAAATATGAATTATTCTTGACATATCTTTAGGGTAGTCCTATGGTTGATAGAGATCTTAAAAGAGCTGCAGCTACTTAAGCTAAAGCTTGTGTCATCTTAACTAATAAATAAATTGTTAATAGTTAATCATCAGATCATAAAAATATTTTAATTGGATTACAAATCAAAAAATATGTAAATCACATTACTGGTGGAAATATCCGTCTATGCATGCAATTAATTAAACCAGAAAGCAAACTCAATTATAGATAAGCCTTAGGTTTGAAAGTTATTACTGATTAAATTATCTCCGTTGAAGAATTTAAAATGAATCTATTGGCTAAATCGTGTTTCTGTCCTGGTATTATTGCATTGATTGGTAATCTTATTACTTCTGCAGGAGAACAAGAGGGAGATATGGAATATGAATGGTTAAATGAATACACAAAGGGAATGGGACATGAAATATATAGAACTGACTTAAGTTTTAAATTTCAAGGGAAAAGTTTTAGTGAAGTAGCAACTATAGTTTATAATGAGTTTAAAGGTATATTGTTTGGTATAGAATTTGATATTGGAAAATATACAATAATTCGATTAAATCCTGGTAGTTATATTATTCCTAATACAACTGAGGCTAATGTTCATGCTTATATTATTTGTGAAGATAAAAAAGTGGCAGATTAAGTTGCTACTTATGAAATGACAACCGAAGAGATTGCCAATTATCATTATTAATTATTGCAGAAATCGAAATAGAAAGAAAAGTTACCTGATGATGAAGAAGAGGAGAAATTTGATGATCCTCTTCTGTATGGTAAAGATTCAATAGAGGAGGCTGAAATGTTAGAATAAGATTATGTTTTAGATCCTGAACCTATTTCCTTAATGACTGTCACTCCTACTTCTTTACAAGATTCAACAGAAATAACTAATCATATTGTAGTTTGTGGCATTCATCCATCAATATATTACTTTCTATTAGCATTAAGAGCTAAGTATCTTAAGGAGCTTTAATTTGTTGTGATTTTAGCTCCTGAATAACCAACAAAATAATGGGAATATATTAATAGATTTCCTAAGGTTAGATTTATAAAGGGATCTCCACTTACTTCTGATGGTTTATTGAGAGCCAACATAAATTTTGCTGATAAAGCTGTAATATTTGCTTAAGGATCAGATTAATCGATTGATGAAGTAGGAGATGCAATAGATGAGATGCACGATGCAGAATCTATTTTTATTTACAAAGCTATTAAAAAACTGAATCCTTCGATATAAATAATGATTGAGCTAGTTTATAGTTCTAACATTGAATTTTTACTTGAAAAAGATTATTAATATTAGAATGAATTCAAATATGAGTTTGTAATATAAAATGTCTTTATATTATTATTAGACTCCACTCTAGGCATCTGGAGAAGTGTATATATCTGCAATAATTGATACTCTAACTTGTTAAGCATATTTTAACCCTCACATTGTAACTATTTTATAGCAAATTCTAACTGGTTAAAGATAATCAACTCAAGTAATTAGAGCTATTTGTGAACATGCTGATCTTAAGGATTCAAATCTATACTAAGTACCTGTTCCAGAAGATTATTTAGTATATATTTATATATTATACCACTTCTTAGAATAAAACATTTGGAGAACTCTTTAATTACTTATCAACAGAAAGACATCTAATTCCACTTGGACTATATAGAATGGCTGGAGCTGTTGATAATAAGCATCCCTATGTATATACTAATCCTCCATCTGAAACCAAATTAACACATAGAGATAAGGTTTTTGTATTGGCTCATTAATTACCAGCTGATTTAACAGGAGGTAGCAATCTTGATTTGAAAGCAATGCAAATGGAAGGTAAACAATAACTTGATATTGAAAATGAAAATAAAGGACTTATTCAAGATAAATTTAAGACTCAAATTTAAAATGGAATGTAAAAGACTTTAAGTAATTTTTAATATTTATTCAAGCAAAATAGAAAAATGATAAAATGGTTGTATTTTCAGGTGTTAGTAAAAGTCATAAAAATTTGGATCTTGATAATTTGAATCTTAGTATCTTATTTTCTTTATTCTTAGATTCTACTACTTTTACAATACTTGATTAAATTAATGAGACTATATCCTAAATCAAGGAATAAATATAATCTGTATAAAGCAATCTCTTATTGCAAGAAGATGAAATAGTGGAGAAATGTAGAACAGCAGTAAGATAAGAATTAACAACTTTGATTTAATGATATGTATTACTATTTAAGATAATTATGAATTCAAAGTTAATATAATAATTATATAAATAATAAAATTAGCATCTAAATTAATAATTAGAATAAAGCAAATTCATTTTATAAGCAATAGAGAAAATATTGATGGAAACTAAAAGAGACAGAAGAAGAAAGAATTTGAATTTTTGATGAGAAAATAGAAACTATGAAGGAATTGGAAAAGAAATAATATATTATTTGTGTAGTTAATAAAATTATAAAATATAAAAGAAAGTTGAATTAATGAGTAATTAAATGATGAGAGTTAGCAATAAGTATATAATGAATAGGATTAAGAGGAAAATAGATAACTTTAGCTAGTATGCTATTCAATTAAAATTAAAATTCTCAGATAATGAGAATATTTTGGATAGTATAGATAAATTAAGAAATTGATTGCAATAAAGAGTAATAAATTGAATTCAACTTGTCATGTTACTTACATTACCTAGAATAATGAACAAGAAGCATCCATATATATAAAAAATATAAAATAAAATCTATTGAATAAATTAACTTAGATCTATAAAGAAAATCATTTTTTGTATATTTCAAAGAATGAATTATGAATAATTATATTTTATAGAATTAAAATAAAAGAATTTAAAATTGAATTCATGTTATAACTTAATTAAGAAAATAGAACATCAATTTTATATTAGATTTCCTCCAAATGAATCTTCATCAACTTCTTCTTCTTATTTTGGTTTAATTTGTTAGTCAACCTCATTATAAGAATCACTCTCAAATTGTTCAACTTTAAGTTTTCTTTATAGATATTTGCTAAATTATTATTAAGTAATCACAGAATATTGTTTTTATTCCTAGTTATATCTTCTTCTATCTGCTTCTGAAAGTTTGACATAAGGCTACATTATTATTAATATTACTTCTTGTTCAGCAACACTTAATTCATTCCATTTTTTTGCAATCATTGAGGTTATTTCTTAAAATTATTTACCTTATATAATGATTAATTCTCTAACCTTTATGTTCTTATTGAAATCGATCCTTTACATGTTTAAAATAGAATATAAAGGCTGATTATGGCATTTTTGGGGCATGTGGGTCTTTAGGTCTTTTATTGTATTTTTTTGGTCTCTTTCTTATGGATTTAATTTGTGGCAACAAAGATTAATATTTATTGCAGATATCTTTCATTCCATCAAGAAATTCTTTAAAAATAAAGAACTCTTGTCGATAGATAGGGGGATTATTTTAAATATTCTCCATAAAAGTTTATAATCACTAGTAATAATTATATACAAACTCATATAAATTTTATCCTTTATCTGAAAAAAATGGTCTTTTTTCGGATTCATCCTTTAAAAAATTTAAATTTATCACTCTCCTTACTTTTGGTTATTTTCTATACATATAGGATGTAATATTTAATGCAGGAGGTGAATCATACGTTCTTTATATTGAACATAATCGAGGAATTGGTTAAAATACAGCCTTACCATTTTTTCTTTTTTTTAAAACTCTTGCCTCTGGAGTAAACAATCTTGTTTGATTATGATCATAACTATTATGTTGACTTTTACAAATGAATGTTTAGTTTATGTGAATATTTTCAAACAATTCACAGAGTATTCCTTATTCTTTGCTTTTTCTTTCATCTTATGTTGGATATTTATTGGAGTAAATAGTTTAATCCCTTTATTTCTTAGTTATAGGAGATGCTTTCCCCAAGATTTAAAAGTCTTATTATGTTTGATTCCAATTCCTAGATGTTCTATTAAGTTTCTTACTTGGAATTGTGTATAGATCCATTACAATATTATTATTAAATGAACTTTGCTTTACCTTCTTCCAAATTACCTCTTGTATATAGACATCCATTACAAGGGTTTGTCAATACTTTACCATATATTGATGGAGAAATAGATACCAAAACCAAAATTATAGTATTCATACTTTTTCTATATAGGTTGATCGTCTAATATAATAAGAAATGTAAAATATGGATCCATAAGAATATTTGCATGAATTACCAATTCCATAGACTAAATTAACAGATCTATTGAAATCAGAAATGGAAAGAGTTGAATTATAATAACCTATGTCCAAAATTGATTTCGAATAAAAACCAAATCTCAATCAGGAATTTCAATCAGCTCATGAAATTCAAGAAGTTAATTAACAATTAAATGTGCTAAATTAATATGCTTAAATTAAGTATATTTATATCATTGAACTCTATAGCATAATCAATTCAGAATTACTAAATAAATATGGTAAAGAATCATGGACATTATTGCTCAAATCTTAAGAAAATGAAAAGAATAGATTAACGAAAGAAGTTCTCAATCAATAATAAGAATTAAATCACATTAATGCTTAACGAAAATATGAATAGGTAATTTTTACCTAATATTAAGAATGAAGTTAAATACAAATTAGATAGTTTGAAGTCTAAAGTTTAAGAAGTCTTAACTAATAATGCTTAATTATAGATTGTATGTGCACAATTAGAATAAGAAATCTATCAAAAATAGAGAAAAAAATTAAAATTGAATTGATTTTAAATATATTATTTTATTCTTTGATGAATATCATATCTTTTTAAGTCTTATTATGAATTTCGATTGAAATCAAAAACAAACTATATTCTCTCATTCAATAAAATTATAAACATAAAACTCAAAAAATTAATTTAATCGAATTCTGATTTTTCTTCTTCATTATGTCTATAAATACTTATAAGTATAAGTATAAGTATAAGTATAAGTATAAGTATAAGTATAAGTATAAGTATAAGTATAAGTATAAGTATAAGTATAAGTATAAGTATAAGTATAAGTATAAGTATAAGTATAAGTATAAGTATAAGTATAAGTATAAGTATAAGTATAAGTATAAGTATAAGTATAAGTATAAGTATAAGTATAAGTATAAGTATAAGTATAAGTATAAGTATAAGTATAAGTATAAGTATAAGTATAAGTATAAGTATAAGTATAAGTATAAGTATAAGTATAAGTATAAGTATAAGTATAAGTATAAGTATAAGTATAAGTATAAGTATAAGTATAAGTATAAGTATAAGTATAAGTATAAGTATAAGTATAAGTATAAGTATAAGTATAAGTATAAGTATAAGTATAAGTATAAGTATAAGTATAAGTATAAGTATAAGTATAAGTATAAGTATAAGTATAAGTATAAGTATAAGTATAAGTATAAGTATAAGTATAAGTATAAGTATAAGTATAAGTATAAGTATAAGTATAAGTATAAGTATAAGTATAAGTATAAGTATAAGTATAAGTATAAGTATAAGTATAAGTATAAGTATAAGTATAAGTATAAGTATAAGTATAAGTATAAGTATAAGTATAAGTATAAGTATAAGTATAAGTATAAGTATAAGTATAAGTATAAGTATAAGTATAAGTATAAGTATAAGCTTCAATTTTATACAAAATGCAGATATTTAGAAAACAATCCAAATAATTTTTATTATACAAAAAGAAAAAATAATAATAATTACTTTATTAATTAAAAACCTATTTCAAAAACAACCATCAGAATAATTGATACTTATTTATCAATTTAGTTAATAAAAGATTATGATGGATGAACTTTTTCTCCTTTATTAATTTAAAATTGATTGGAAACAAGATCTTAAAATTAAACTAATTTAACTATTTCATAATTCCAAATTCATCCTAAATAAAATGATTTAAGAGCTAATCATTCTTTGATAATCATTAAATATAATTATTTTGGTTTTAATTTATTATGCTATATATATATTTAATAATTTGTTTGATATTTCATATTTCCTATTATTTTTATTCCTTTAATAACTATTTTTTCAAGTTCAAAGTGTTTTATAAATTTATTGATATTTGATTTATAATTTAATCTATTTCTGTTCCTTCAATAAAATTGAACAATTATAATAAATTCTCACTTGTATTAACTTAAATTTGGCATTCATTACTTTTATCAATTTGAATTTGCTTATATTAATCAATAAATGTATTAACCTTAATTATCAAGTCATCTATTCCTATTATTTTGCAATTTTCTTTGTTAATCAATTACAAACATTTAGAGGCTAACATGTTTTAATATTTAAGGATTTTTTAAATGCATTTATTATTAAAATCACTAAATTGGTCTAATTAAAAACTAATATTTTCTGGCACCAATTATTTAGTTAATTACTAATTTTTATTTTGGATTTTTATATACTCTAATAAATATTTTAAAAAAATTTCAAATCTTTTATATACATTTTAATTTAGTTATGTGAAAATTAAAAATTTTTAAATGTCGATCTACCTGTCGATCTTCATTTTCTCATAATTTTGAAGCAATTATTTAAATTTCTCACCTACTTTTATCAATTCATTCAAAGAGTTTATTATATTATTTATATCTTCTTCGAGTTTTGTTTAATCCTCATTGGTTTATTATTTCTAAATATTATCTATTACATTATTCAATTCTTAAGTTTTATAATTAATCTTATTTTAGTAATTGATTTATATGGATTATAACTCAAATTCTCGATTACTTTTTATTGTATAACTTTCTGTATTTAATATATCAGATATATAATTTTAATAATAGAATACTTACTTTCTGAATTTTTCTTATTCATTTTTTAAACTATTTATAATACATTATTGAGCCTCAATCATAGCTTTGAGATCTTCATAAAATTTTAAATTTCTAGTGAATAGTCCTTTATAATTTTAAAACAATTCATCATATTTCTGCTAGAATTTTTCATCATGTTTTTCATTATGTTTTGTATCAGGTTTTTCATCAGGTTTTTCATCAGGTTTTTCATTAGTTTTTGTATCAGATTTTTCATAAGGTTTTTCATCAAGTTTTTATGGCTTTTTATATCTATTCTTTATATTTTCAAAAGTTATTTTATCATCTTAACACAGTTTTTCAAATTCTTATTTTGTGTAATTTATTGTTAATAAATCTAGTATTTTTTTGACAATATCTTTTAAAATAGAATTTTCACTTATTTATTTTTAAATATTTTATTAAAGTCTTTATAACTCTTAGTTTAATTACCAAGATAATTCAGATATCTCCCTAATATTATAATGCACTATTTTTAATTAAACTAATTTACTTAATCTATTAATTGCTACATTTTTATCCACCATTAAATCTATTTAAAACTTATTGATTTTATCTCTTGCTGAGTTCATTTTTATAAATATTTATGAAAATTATATAAATAATAATTTTAATTTAAATATATAAAAACAATAAATTCTATTACCCTAATATTTATACTTAATCTATTAAACTCTAATTCCATGTTCATTCATCTTTTCTTAAGATTTTCATATATTTAATTTCTTATAATTCTGATCTTTGCTTATAATTATTAAATTTATATGATGATTCGAGAAGTTATAGAATTTTTTGAATAATAGAATATTTGCTTTAATAAATGATTTATATAAATTTTTTATTAAATTAATATCACTAATTTTCAATACAATTATTGATTTGTTTTATTAATATTATATTTCTAGATTATTAATAACTAAGCTAATATTATTATTAATTCATCTTAAATCTTTCTAATGTTTTTAAAAAATGTGATAATCAAATGATATAAAGCAAAAATATGTCAAGAGTAAAAAAAAATTTTCACTTTTATTAATTTATTAAAAAGAGTTTAATATAATTTGGTTTTAATTTTTTTTCAACTATTGATAATTTATTATTTAATTTTTTTCATATCATGATACAATCCTATAATATAATAAGAATGAAATTATTATACCAAAATAAATAATATATATCTAGTATTAAATGATTGCCTAAATACATCATATCAAAAATATGAAATGCAATTAGATTCAAATTTTTTGCTCGTTTTATTAAATGAAACAATATAATGTAAATTTTTTTTCACAAAATTCAAATTAAAAAATGATTTAAAATGATAAATTTATTATAAGCCTTTGTATAAATAAAAATTTTTGCGAAACCTATTAATTAATAAGCGATAAATGATATATAAATATCAAAAATAATCTCGTTAAAAAGTAATTTTCTAGAGTATATCATAAAATATATTTGATATTATGCTAAAAATTAATAACTAAATTTTTAAAAGAATAAAAAATAGTTGTTTCTTGCTTAACAAAATTCAAGCCATCCATTTTTATCAAGTTTGGATAAGATTAGATAACCTTAGCATTGGATTCAAACGATAATTGATAAACAATTAAGTTTTGATGATCTCCTCGAATTCTTTATTTAATTCAAATGCTAAGTCAACTATTTTTGATTTTCAAAATTATATAGAATTTAACTTAGTTAAAACTATGCAACATTTAAGACATGTAAGCTTTCCTACTTTGATAAAGATTTTAATAATATTGATAGAGCTAAATAAGTTCATAATGAAAGTTCTTGATACATAATGATAATATATTATCAAGAAAATAATTCAATCGATAGAAAAAATTGAGGAGTATATCAATTTATAAAAATTGCTTAGCTGTTAATATAAGATTGTATATTTAATTAGACAAGTAAAAAGTATAAATTTTAAAAGTAACAGAAAAAATAAAAAAAAATTTGAATTGAAACGATAAATTTTTAGAGTAGTCTAGTAGTGATGAGATATGATAATAAAAAAAAAAAGTTTTTATTTTAAACCTATTTTTCGCACGAAATATAATTTAAATTTGAACTAAAATAAAAGATGCAAAAGTAATAAGTTGAATAAGTGGAGGAAGATGAATTTGAGGATGCAATTACTTATACATCTTTAGAAAAGTTAGCAATTCCAGGGTTTGGAGCAGTAGATATTCAAAGATTAAAAGATGCAGGATTTACAACATGTGAATCAATAGCATACACAGCAAAAAAGAATTTAATGAATATAAAAGGAATGACAGATGCTAAGATTGAAAAATTAGTTGAGGCTGTAGCTAAATTAGTAGTGAACTAATTTAAACCAGCTACAGATGTTTTAAAATAAAGAGAAAGAATAGTACATNATACAATCCTATAATATAATAAGAATGAAATTATTATACCAAAATAAATAATATATATCTAGTATTAAATGATTGCCTAAATACATCATATCAAAAATATGAAATGCAATTAGATTCAAATTTTTTGCTCGTTTTATTAAATGAAACAATATAATGTAAATTTTTTTTCACAAAATTCAAATTAAAAAATGATTTAAAATGATAAATTTATTATAAGCCTTTGTATAAATAAAAATTTTTGCGAAACCTATTAATTAATAAGCGATAAATGATATATAAATATCAAAAATAATCTCGTTAAAAAGTAATTTTCTAGAGTATATCATAAAATATATTTGATATTATGCTAAAAATTAATAACTAAATTTTTAAAAGAATAAAAAATAGTTGTTTCTTGCTTAACAAAATTCAAGCCATCCATTTTTATCAAGTTTGGATAAGATTAGATAACCTTAGCATTGGATTCAAACGATAATTGATAAACAATTAAGTTTTGATGATCTCCTCGAATTCTTTATTTAATTCAAATGCTAAGTCAACTATTTTTGATTTTCAAAATTATATAGAATTTAACTTAGTTAAAACTATGCAACATTTAAGACATGTAAGCTTTCCTACTTTGATAAAGATTTTAATAATATTGATAGAGCTAAATAAGTTCATAATGAAAGTTCTTGATACATAATGATAATATATTATCAAGAAAATAATTCAATCGATAGAAAAAATTGAGGAGTATATCAATTTATAAAAATTGCTTAGCTGTTAATATAAGATTGTATATTTAATTAGACAAGTAAAAAGTATAAATTTTAAAAGTAACAGAAAAAATAAAAAAAAATTTGAATTGAAACGATAAATTTTTAGAGTAGTCTAGTAGTGATGAGATATGATAATAAAAAAAAAAAGTTTTTATTTTAAACCTATTTTTCGCACGAAATATAATTTAAATTTGAACTAAAATAAAAGATGCAAAAGTAATAAGTTGAATAAGTGGAGGAAGATGAATTTGAGGATGCAATTACTTATACATCTTTAGAAAAGTTAGCAATTCCAGGGTTTGGAGCAGTAGATATTCAAAGATTAAAAGATGCAGGATTTACAACATGTGAATCAATAGCATACACAGCAAAAAAGAATTTAATGAATATAAAAGGAATGACAGATGCTAAGATTGAAAAATTAGTTGAGGCTGTAGCTAAATTAGTAGTGAACTAATTTAAACCAGCTACAGATGTTTTAAAATAAAGAGAAAGAATAGTACATATTTCAACAGGGAGTACAAAATTTGATAAGTTACTTAGAGGAGGTATAGAAACAGGTGGGATTACAGAGATATTTGGTGAATTTAGAACAGGAAAGTCACAGATTTGTCATACATTAGCAGTAACATGCTAAATGAATGATGCAAAAGGAAGACCAGGTGGAAAATGTTTATATATTGATACAGAGGGTACATTTAGACCAGAAAGATTGAGTGAGATAGCAAAGAGATTTGAATTGGGAATAGAAGAGGTCTTAGAAAATGTTTCTTTTGCTAGGGCTTATAATGTTGATGAATAAATGAAGTTACTAGTACAGGCATGCAATTTGATGTCATCAGATAAATATGCATTATTAATAGTGGATAGTGCAACTGCCTTATATAGAACTGATTATTTGGGTAGAGGAGAATTATCAGCTAGATAAAATCACTTAGGAAAGTTTCTAAGAAATTTATAGAGATTAGCAGATGAAGTTTAAATTTTAATTAAGTATTTAGTTCAATATTGCAGTGGTAATAACTAACCAAGTGATGAGTTAAGTTGAAGGTACAATGATGGCCATGGGTGATATGAAGAAACCAATAGGTGGCAATATCATAGCACATGCATCTACAACTAGACTTTATTTAAGAAAAGGAAGAGGAGAGAATAGAATTGTAAAAATTTATGATTCTCCGTGTTTACCTGAATCAGAAGAGTAATACACTATTTCACCTGGAGGAATTGATGATTGTGCTGATTGAAGCTATATTTTATAATATAATTTTGTAACTAATAAATTAAATTCTTCTAAGGATCTTACAAGAATTGCAAAAATAAGTAATATATTTTTGGAATCATGGTTAAATACATCTTTATTATTATTTATTAAATTTATTAATAAGCTAATCTTGAATAATTCATAGGATCTTTAAATAATTCTCCAGTTGATGATTGACATCTCTATTTTGATAATGTTATCATTATTGGATCCTGATGTAATTATTTAAGTATACATTCAATAATTAAAAAAGTCATCATTGTCTAATTATTATATAGTTCTAAAAACATTTGAAAATTTCTATTTGAATTCATCAAATGGCTATTAATCATCACTAATTTTACTTGATTATTCAGAACATATTTTAGCATTTGTTCACGTTATGGATTATGAGAACTCAAACGATCAAAAAAAGTTGAAAATGATTCAATCCTTGTAGTTCTCTCCACAGAAGACAGTTAAGACATTAAATATTTTAAAATTATTAGCTAATATTTTATTTTACTTATATTATGTGTATTTTGTAATTTGTTAAATAATGTATTTTTAATAGTAATAATGATTAATAAAAGAGTACATTTAGATGCATGATTAAAAGTATATTAAAACATATATCATTCATTTTTTAATGAAGTAGTTATTGCTTATGCTAACTTAACTAATTCACTCACATAAGTTGAAGTCAATGAACTTCTACTGACATAAGAAGATTCAATTTTATTTCTGAGAGCTACAATTTCATTCAATTAAACAACATCAGCTAAACTACGTCCTTATCTTTTTTTGTACTATTCAGATGAAGTACGAAAAGAGTCATATTTAAATGAATCAGAAGATGGTTTAGTATATGATTCAGTTTCAATACTGTATTTGATTTAAGGGGGTGATTAAACAAATTTGAATGGGGATTGTTAAGAAATAGATGGAGATTAAAGTGATTCTCTCCATTTATGTCCACTATTAAAAGATTTAGTACGTGGTCCTAAAGTATCATTAATTCTGAATGTAAATATAATGAATAGTACTTTTATTAAAGACCTTATGCTTTATAAGGGGAATATGTTGGTTCACTTCTTTATGGTTGAGTAGCAACTACATTGGATAAACGAGAATAAGAGAAGTCTCTAATTCTAGCCTATAGATTTTCAAATGAAGGGACTTATGAACGGATATCGTTTCTAAATTGATAAATGATAGAGTTTACTTGTTTGAGTTGAATTTGTTAGCACTTTGAGGAGCTTCGCGTTTTAAGAACATAATTTATTAAACGTTAAAAATTAAATTATCATCATGTATATTGTCATTAAGATTCTAACTTATTAACTGTCGTATGGGTGGCTTTTCTATATGAATAGGTGAGAATTACTAATTTAATTCTTCTAAAGCAATCAATTATTTGATACGTCTTGGCAATTGGAGATATTATTTACGTTTCCATTCTCTAGTTTCAGTATAATAATTGTCTAGTTTTATTTCACAAGCTGATTGTAAAGATGAAGCACAAGAATCATCTGCATTATCTGGTGGATCTTAATTGTAATGAGTTCTGTTGAATCTGTGAGTAAGAACTTTTCTACCAAAATTCTTACGGAAATCCATTTCAGAATCAATTACATTTTAAATATATTTTGGATGCTTCTCAATCATTACTCCCTTAGGTTTATTGTATAAGTAATCATACAATTATATATCAGCATGAGTTAATATTCCATCTTAATTTCTACGATCTGTTTTTGCAGCCTTATGAAATAAAGTGAAGTCTTTTCTTTTTGTTTGAATGCTCAATCGAACCATCTTATTAATGTTCTATTCATGTTATTCAGCTCTTGTTTACAATTCCTAAAGATAGAGTTAAGCATTATTTTCAAGAACTGTTTTTAAATACGATCTTGGAGGAATACTTTGAATTACCTATTATTGTAATTTACAAACAGGTTCAACATTGTCATAATTCAATCGATATTACTTTAAACTTTTTGTTTTAGGTATCAATTTATCTTAATAACCCATTGAGTTTTCTCTATGATTTGCTATATCTAATATTGTTTGTACAATAGTTAGAGTTTGAGCATTACCTTATCGTATTTCTTCATTATGAGGTTTCTTTATTGCTACTTTTTCTTTGATTAAATTACGAACTCTTACAATTTTACTTTTTAGATAATTTTTTCTTTGTTCAGTTTACTATCTTATTTTTAGAGTCATTCTATGTTTAGGTTACAATTCTTGCTCTGCATTAAGTCTTGGGTAGTTAAGTGTTTGTATTAATCTCTATAAATTTAAGTCACCTTTCAAGTAATGAGCAAAATGTTGTTCAAATAGCTATCCATGATTTCGTGTTTCGAATGGTTTAGTTGTCACTAAAGGATCAACATGTTTTCTTGATTATATATGAAGTGTATTTAATTTACGATGGATATTTTTAGAGTGATCGAATTCACATGTTGTAGAAAAACTCATTAATAATTTTTAATAATGCAATTTAAAGAAGAATTGATAAAAGTAATAATCAATTTGATTGAAGAGCTATTTGAATGCAAAGTAAATTCTATTATGCAAGAAGTATAATATTTTCACTAAATTAAGGTTAATGAGAAACTAACTCGTATGCATTAAGATATAGAAAATATGTAGGATGTTTTGGTTAAACACTTTTCTTAACAAATTGCCCATTCTAGAGCAGAATCTTTAAGTGAAACAATTGATACTGCTGAAGAAGATCAATTTAAGAAATCAATCAATGCAGAATTGGATACTTTGAACATACGTATTTAATAATTAGAATACACAAATCATATCATACTTGATACTCAAAGTGTCTATAAAACTAATTTTAAGGAACTTGAACGCAAAATATAACCTTTGTAGGAATAAATTAATAAATCAATTGAAGAAATGAAAAAGGACTTAAAGGGTACATTCTATCTATGAAATTAGATAAGCAGACATTTTAATGGACTGTCTTGAATGATTAAATTGAACGAGTAGAAAAATATGTCTAAAAACTTAAACAAGCAGATATGTTATTCTAATAACAACAATAATTGTAATCACAAAACAATAAGAAACAAAAATGAATTTATTTTAATTAATATCTAGTAATTTAAACATCATTCTATGTTATTATTGTTCATATAAGTGAAGATAGTGGAAATAGTACTTTTTTTTGGTAATTATAGATTATCCACCAGAGTTTAAGGATTTTGAGGATCAATATATGCTGATACAATACTTGTGAAATCATTTTGATCGACAATTCTTTAATTCAATTTATCTGGATCATATTTTCTAAAATATCAATTATGTATTTACATATATTTGACTAATTGTGGTGCAATTGAATTTAATAAACTAATTGTTGTATTAGTAGATGATGTTTATGGTCTATTAGAATTAGATTAAAATTATGAACTTAGATTCATATTTGATTTTTGTAATTTTAATTTGTCAATAAAATCCATTACATAAACTCTAACTTTTTTCCATAAAAAGAAGGCTCTTTTTTTAGAATAATAATTTTTAGGTTTTTTGATACAATATTTGATGAATGGATATCGTATAATTAGATTAACAATATATTCTAGATGTTATTATTTTAATCCTGACAAATACTCTTTAATTATTTTGATAGCTATGAAAGAACAATAGAGTAAATTAAGAGTTGAACATGAGATTGATAAAAAGTATACTAACCAATTGTAAGGATTTTTATGTTAACTGTAGGAGCAAATCAAAGTGATAATAGCTAATTATGAAGATATTTTGTCTATGAAATTGTATTACTTTTCAATATATGGTTAATGTTAACTTAACAATTCTAAGTATATTAATAATACCAATATAGCAAATAGAAACATTTGTCTGATGTCTTAAATAAGTAGTGTCTCTAGTAGATAAAAGATTGATTTAACAAAGAAACATAGGAATTCCCAGTAATAATATTTATCTTTATATTCCACATATAAATATCCATATGGTATTCTTAACTTGCAAGTCCATAACTTATTTTTATTCTTATAAAGCTTAACAATATAAAAAATTGGAGATATGAGACCAACAATCATTAATGTGGGTATAATGAATATTTCTATATAGAAGTAATACTCTTCAGAATAGCAAATGTATGATGTGGCTGCTTATATGTAATATTATCCTGATGCTTTAATACAAAATACCAATTACAATAACCCTTCTATTATATCTCCTTAAAAGTAAAAGTTTACTTAGATCACACATGTAATAAAGATGGTTCTAGTTGAATTTTCTAATTAGTTACACATTTACAATATAGAGTAAATCAAAACAAATGAAAATACAAAAAGTAATGAAACAAATAAATTCCAAAATTATCTCAGATATACAATTTCTATTTCAATATTAGAATGCAATAGAAAACATTCTATTGAATATTCTAAAGTAGATAATGGATTTCCTATCAATTATGTTATAAATATTATTGGAGTTGGAAAATCAAATTCAATTATTTAAATTATTGAAATCAATTGAAAATAACTTGAAACCAATTTAATTAAAATTTCAGTTTAATCAATAATAGTTGTTGATCTTGTTCCAAAGAATATTCCCATCATTCTCAAATAATATGCAGATAATTGTGATCTAACTAATCTTAAACTTCCCCTAACTGATATCAATAAAGCAATCAAAATCCATGAAAATGATAAAAATATCTTTAATAAGTTAAATGCATCATTCTAACATAAAGAACAATCTCCACTCCAATCTCTTGTATAAGAAGCATTCCATTTTTCAGCATAATAATCACAATCATTACATAATGCTCCTATATAACCTTATTTACATGTAAAATCCTCTGATCCACCCATACATTAAGATTAAGATGTTCCACAATATTCTATTTAATCAGTTAAGTTGTTAGGTCTCCAATAACCTTATTTTACAATTATTTATGACCCTCCAGGACATTATTCAATTTAATTTATACATTGTAAACATGATTTATAATTTTATAGACTATATGTTCCATATGGACATTTTAAACAAGTTTAATTACTCCACTCTTCTCCTAATTCACATTCAATCATATGTAAGTTTATTGATAATTTTAATGTATCATTGTAAAAATATAATTATGAAAATTCTATTTACAATTCTATTACTTCATCCTTTGGAATATTTTAGTATTAAACATATTATATTCTATATTAACATTTGTATTAATCTAACAAATATATTTTAGATTTAATGCTCAAATAATTCATAACTTTACATATTTTATTCATCCCATCATCTAATATAGTAATAATGAATTCTTTTGTTTATCCACTCTTTAATTTATCATAATAAATTGTAGATTTTCTTTTGATTAAATCATCTAATAAGTATATTATATTATCCACAGAAACATAAACAGGTCCAATAACATAAGTGAAAATGTCAGGCTCAACTATTTAATTTGATATTAAATAAATAGATTTATTCGTTTTCATTCTACAATTTTCATATTCGTTTTATTCAATATAATGAGTAGCTTTTCCACTTTAATTTAAGTAAATTACTCCACCATCTTTTGAATCTAAATCAATAAATTAGTTTTTAAAGATTTAAATGGATGAATTCAAAATTAAAAATGCTGATCCTTAGGCAGCTGTTATATTTTAAAATTTATTCTCAAAAGCAATTAAATTAGCTATAGAATTTATATATATGTAACCTAATTAAGATTTTGAATTTTTAAATATGCATTTTTAAATATCACTTTAATTGCTATTTAAAATTTTAATTACTCCATCACAAAATTAACAATTTATTTCTGATAATTCAATGCCATTTAACATTATTTTAATGTTGTTTTCAATCATTATAACTTATCTATTATTTTAAATAATATCAAAAAGTTGACTCTGTTTCATCATGAAATTGGATTTTTCAATAACAATTAAAGAAATTAAAAAATTCTGAATTTGAAAAATTTTTATTAAATTAAGTTCGATTTATGAATTTTTGACTTAAAGGAAACTGCATTCTTCACAATAAGCCATAGTAAATTTTTTAATAATGACATTTACAATATTGAATAATTTTGCAAATTCTAATGATGTACAATTATTAACTGCTAAATTGGTAATTTAAATTAAGGAAGATTATTGTAAGTCAAATAGAATTGAATCAGAAAAATGCGTTAAGTTGACCTAATCAATTATTAGCTCTTATATTTAATTTGATTTTGAGATTGTTCCTTGATTTTATTAAAAGTTTCCATTATATAGTGATAATGTACCATTAACAGAGAAAAAAGGATAATCTGATTTAGTAGATTAAATTGTGAAATAATTTATAATTACATTACTGAGATTATAGGTATTAATCATTATACATCCTTGAAGAACCTACAAAGTAATTTTTTTGATAAGGATATTTTATGAGTTTACATAAAATAGTACTGTTGATTGGATATTAATTAGAGTAGTATTTAAGATTGATATATAATGACTATCAGCAAGGATGAGTTAAGAGTCAGATATTATGGATTCAAATCGATTCCCAATAATTTATATTTAATTTTTACTTTGAATTCGCATCAAAATACTTTAAGAAAGTGTTACATTAATAACAGTTGTATAAAGTGTTCCAATAGCATTTATAGCTGTAGAGAGTGTAAAGTAAGAGTTTAAAATTGTAATTTCTTAAGAAATATCTGTATCAATCAAAATACTTTAAATTACAAATGAATTATTAAAAGTGATTCTACGAAGTTTAGTAATTTTGGCTATTGTTGAATTGATAAAACTGACATGATCAAATTTAATATTTCTTAATTGACTTTCTAATTCTACAAGAGAACTTTGATAAAAAGTTGAGTCAGATATAATCAGTCCATCGACATCTATTGGAGATTCAAAGACTGTGTTATATTAGAAGGCCATCTTAGTCATTATAGTCTATCTAATCTATATTGAAGTTGCATTGATATGGCAATTTCTTATTAGAGTAACATTGTTTAGGTGAATGTTGTTTGATATCGAAAGAACTTTAGTTTGAGTGTCAATAGTGATATTTTGAAATTCAACAAGTCCAAAACCATTCAAAAAAATATTCTGACTTAGAAATAATTCAGTTCCTATGATTTTAAGTTTTCCTCCTAAGGATGTCATGTTGATTAATTTTTCATTATTTACATTAAGAGTACAATTGTAATTTGGTATTGTGATGGATTTATCAAGTTATAAAGTTAAGCCATTTTAATCTTAACAAATCAATAATCCTATTGCTATATTAATATTTATGAGGAGAAACAATCTTTACATCAAATAATAATTAGTGATTAAAATATTTCAATATACATCAAAATCATTAAACATCAATCCTAATTTTACTAGACATATAAGTATGGCAACCATTAAAAATACAATAAAAATTATAGAAATTAAGAATCGCGAAGCACAGTATCAAAATAAATCAATAAAAAGTCTGCTATTCTTAATAATTTATTAAAATTTATTTATCTTTTATTAATCAAAAATTCATCATCCTCATTATACATATGGAAAAGCTTAGGTAAATTCTCGACTCTATTTGATAGAGGAACTCTCATTACTTATTTGAACGGTCTAACAGTCGAAACTGTATAAATAGATGGTACTGTGTATGGAGTTCTAACAACGGGTTGAATATACTATTAACCTATTGGACTTTATATTGAATATTATTAATCTATCGGTGTAACTAATCTAATTGGACTTTGATCATGTTTATTATTATTATCAACATTATTACCATTATCAGTATAATTATATATTTAATATACTTCTGATTCATCAACTATGCTAGACACTCTTCTTATAGCATTCTCTTACCATTCATTCTCTGTATAATTATTTGGTTCTGCATTATTAAAATTTATAGTAAATAATCTATTCAAATGAAACTTAGCTTATTATAATTAGAATTAATCTATTTTTATTGGATTATTTTAATAGGTTAATAATGGTTCATGATATCCTTGATCAGGTTCAACAAAATAGAGGATAGCTTCTTTCATGCATGTTTAAGAATCTTTAAGTTTTTCTAATTTGGAAATAAGATTTCTCCATTCAACTATTAGATCTTATTAATAATTTTAATCAGCTTTTTTAAGAAGATCTTAGAAAATAGAATCAATAAATGAATGAAGATCTTGACGTAATTATAGAATATCTTGTCTTTAATGAATAGCAATTTCATTTGCTCTTTTTGCATAACCACGATAAACTTGAGTAAGAGTACTTTGAATAGTTTCAACTAGATAAGAATATATAATTATATGATACTAGATTTGGCATGTTGAGTAGGATGAGTTTATAAACACATTTAACAAAGAGGTAGTAAACAAGATGTTTTTTTACAGAAATGGGTGATAAATTAAGGATGATAGACACATTTAGTTTAAGGTGGTGATGTGAATGCATAATCAGGTGATATTGATACAGGTTATTAGTGATGGTTAATAGGTTATAGTTATTATTAGCTCATAAATTATATATATAATTATAGTTATTAAATCAATTAACAAAGCTGAAGAGAATTCATATTACTTTTATTATTTAAAGAATTATGAGTATAAAGTAGATAAAATAATTGAAAAAATATTATTGAAGATTAACTTTTTATACTTATACTTATAATTATACAAAAATAGAACTTCAAATTACAGAAATGCAATATTAACTAAGACATATTTAAAGTAGATAGAATGGATATGGATCCTAAAAAATAAATTAACAATATGGTATCTGCTAATTTTATAGATCAAATATGATCAATAAATTAGAATATATAATGAAAAAACATAAAAAGTATTATCTCTATTAACTCTATGTCTAACAAGAATATACTATAAAAGGGACATAAAGATGCTGTTTAAGATGTTACTTTTGATTTCAATAACAAAATGATTATTAGTGTTAGATCGGGTGCCACTTTTAGATTTTATTAATGATTAAATATTTTAGTAGCAATATATGTATTATATTTCAACATTTCTCACTTAATTCAAAATTTAACTCACATCCACTTTTCTTATTAAAAATATAAATTATTTAAGCCTCCTTTCAATTCTTTATTTCAATCATTAAAATTAGATGAATTAAGTCTAATAAACCTTTAAAAGATTCGACATTTTTGGTTAAGAAATACGACTCTTAGCCACCGGTTAATCAGCTTTTAGAACCAATATTGGTGCATTTATGACCTTAGTACTTTTTACCATACTTGCCTACTCTTGTAATTCTTTTATTTTAGAAATGAATAAAGGAAAAAATGCTATTCTGAATTCTAAAGATGCTGTTATATCAGGTGAAGAAGTAATAAACTTGATTAAATGTTAGGGCTATACTTTTAATTCTTCTGAACTTATCTTTGCTGTTGGATTATTAGACAATATGGGATAACCCATTCCTAATGACAATAATAAAGTCTTCTCAATTAGTTTTTATTATTGTAATAAGTCATTGACAGAAACTGAATGTATATTTATCCCAGGAACTATTTGTGGTAACAGAATTTAGGAAGTCTCACTTGTAAAAATATTTCATAAATATAGCAATTAAATATACCAAAAGGATATGAAAATATTACTTACTGTATGGATGAAGAATATATTAAACAAAATCCAGAAATAAGAATTCAAGGTTCTACCAGATAAGATAATTTCACCTTATTGGGAGCATTAGTTTAAAGATGTTAAAATAGCACTGATTATAACAGTAAATTCCTTTTTTTAATTTTAGATTGTGCATCCAATGATGATATTGATTAATATATAAAAAATGCCAACCTTTACTACTCTTATTCATTTCATTAATTTAATAAGGAATTAGATGATTCTCCTTATGAAAAAGCATAAAGTATAGATGTTACGCCCATGTATTACAAAGTGCGAAAATATATTAAAATATATTTTTAATACTCTTAAAGTTAATTAGAGTATAATCCCTTTTATTTCTTTCCTTCTTATGAAAAACATGATGGTTTTGAATATTAAAATACAGCTATTGATTCTGCTTTAAATTTTGAAGATGACAGTAGTTTTGCTTAACTTGAAATTAATTTAGATGCTAAAAAAAGAATTCATTTCATTACCTATCAAACTTTAATGGATGTAGCTGCAAAAATTGGTGGTTTCTTTACTATTATTAGAGTTATTTTTGAAATTGCACTATTTCCTATCTAATCTATTCTTTATAGACTCTATTTAATAAATTGTTTAACTCATCAATAAAATAGTATCAATTCTAATAATTCTGATACTCCTAAAAATAATACGAAAAATTACTTAAACTTCTGTAGATTAATTAAATCAAGTAAAGCAAGATTGTTTTATCTTAACTAATCTCTTGTGATTGATAAATTTTTGGACATAACAGAAATACTTATTAATCCCTTAAGGTTTACACGTTAAGTAGAAGATTTGTATGGTTCTATTAAGAGATTTGATTTAGTAAGTGCTCGGCAAAATAACCTTAATATTAATTAGCAAATTGATGAATTGGTGGCTAATAATAATGAATTTGTTGATCTTAAAAGCATGAGTCCAAGAACTATAAATTAAGAAATCAAATTCGGAAGTCTAACAAATTTTAAAGTTCCTCAACTTTAGATTAATTGAATCTTTTTTTATATTGTATTCTAATATCAAGATATCTATATTTATTAATATTTATGAATTAGCATATTTATGTATATATAATAAATTCATTTTAATTATTGATTGAATAATTCTTATGCAAGATAGACCCCATAATCTATTTCTGATTTTATTAATTATATTTTTGTTTATTCTTACCATATTCTCTTTAAAAATTTATTAATTTGTATCACATTTATTGAGTAAATCTCCTTAATCTAATCAAGTTGTCTTATTGTTGTTTCAAAGTAAATTATTTATATATTAGTATGTGATTCAATTTTAATTTAATTATATCTAAATTATTATCTTAATCCATTTATAATAATATATTGAAACTTTATTTTTTATCAATCATCTACTTTTTAGTAATATTTCAGAATTCCAAAAAGTCCTTTATTTCTAGAATTCTGACTTTTTAAAAATAAGGAAACCTTTTATATTATTATAGTTAATTGGTGGTTTTGATTAAGATTTTTATTTATTCTATATCTAATTTATATTATTGAATCTAAGTAACAATTGAATTTAATGTATTCTAAATTCTATTATATTTTGAAGTGATTATTAAAGCAGCATTCCTAATTAATCTATGAAATCCTATTGTTTTGATTAATCTCTCTTTTCTAGCGGCATTTTTGAATAATTGAATTTAAATTGATTTACTTTCTTAATCAAAAATCTTCTTAAATTAATTATCTTTATTTCTTCATATTTTTATAAGGATATAAATAAATTCAATAATAAAACAAAAAAACCATATATCATAAATCCTCCTCATCATTAAATGATAATGAACCAAGTCTCTACTCTTTACTTTTAAGAGGAAATTAAGTTTAAGCAAATCCTTTAAAACCTTATTTCTTCTATTTGATGCTACCAAATATAACTTTGCTTTCTTGACTCATCAATAATTCTTATTGTTTTTATTGTTTATCAGCCTCTACTTTATCTAACTAATCCTTTTCTTATTAATGTTTCATTTCAGCAATTTCTTATCTTGCATCTTTATAAAAATGAGGAGCTATTTCAAAAAGCCAATGGGGATCAAGTTCTGTAATATTGTGCATTGTTAATTTTTAATCTTAAACATATTTAGAAATATAATACTTTGTTCAATCAATTCATGATATATAACCCATTCTGGATATGAAACAGTTAAAACAGAAGCAGGATGTAAATAAACTAATTATTTTGTGTAAATATTTCTGTAAACGCCTTCCCTAGCTGTGTTTTCTCTTTGAGCTACTTAAGAAAAAAAACCAGAAACAAAACATCTCTATACAGCTTCCACATCTTAAATAGAACTCTTAATTTATCTATTCTTTCTTCTCTTTTAAATTTGTTTGTATATTTTTCCAGCTGATTCTAATTTATGTTTTGATACTCTATATGTATCACACCAATTTCCTTTATTACCAATATTCATATATCGAACAAATATATTATGAAGAGATAAAACATCTCCTTCTTTACATCCCAATGCTTTTTTAGCTTTCAACATTTATAATGGTGTAGCATCACTGCTAAAGATACCTCCTTGTATACTCAGTATACTGGCAATTTTAAGGATTTCATCTGAACATTAATATTCATCTAAGAAACTGTTTTCAACACAAACAGCTAATTTAGTTTCTAATGGATAATCAACAATAGAATTTCCTAATTCTGTTAATGAAAAGTTATCATCAATTAATTTTAAGCTCATTAAAGTATTAATGGAATGTATTAATTATTCATTGGAGATAGGAGTTAAGAAGGTATTACTACATTAAAGATGATTTGGTGTTAATGAGAAAGACTATAAAATAATGAATTAATTTGTACTCTAATTTATAAAATGAGTTCTGTAAGATTAGATCTTAATATTTCAGGAGGGAATGTTTTAGGTAATTAAGAATAATCTTCTTTCGTACATAATCTATAACATATTCCATCTCTAGTTCTTCCAGCTCTACCTGCTCTTTAAGCACCAGATTATTAAGAAATAGGTAAGACATTTAATTAATCCAAATCTTAATTTATAAATGTATAGATACTTCTTTTATAATCATAAACTTTAACTTTTTGATAACATGAATCTATGACATAAACAATTCCATCTATAGTAACACTGCTTTCTGCAACATTGGTTGATACTATAATTTTTCTACTTGAATGTTATTTAAACACTAGTAATTATTTATCAATTCCCAAATTAGCATGTAATGGTAATACAACACAATTAGTCTTATAATATGACCATAAATGTATAAAAGCAAGTATTTCTTCAACAGAGGTTAGAAATACAAGAATATCTCCTTCAGACATTTTTTTATGAATGTGATATGCTAATTCAACAGCAGAAATGACATAATTCTTGCATGGTTCAAGTAAATACATAATCTAAATAATATTTATGATTAGAATTACATCAACATCATAATTTCTACCTCTGATAGCAATGATTTTACTATTTGGGAAGAAGTTTGATAATAAATGAACTTGCATAGTAGCAGATGAAACTATAACTTTTAATTCAGATCTTTTTTTTTAAATCTTTTTAATGAGACATAACAATAGATCTGTATTTAATGTACGTTCATGTATATCATCTAACATTACAACTGAATATCCTTCAATCAATGGATTTCCCATTATAATTTGAATTAATGTTCCATCAGTCACATATTCAATTTTTGTATTTTCACTAACCTTTTAATCAAATCTGACTCTATATCCAATATCTTAACCTAATTCAGTTCCATTTTCATCAGATACTCTCTAAGCTATACTAATTGCTGCCATCTTTCTTGGTAATGATACTAATACTCTCTCTTCTCCACCATATCCTGCTTCTATTAAATATTATGGTATCTCTTATATTATTTATTATTATTTTACATGTTGTTTTCCCTGAACCAGTTTCTGCTAATATAATCAATGTACTATTTGTATCAATTCCATATAATATTTATTCTTTGTATGCTCTTATTGGTAAATTTTATGGATGACATTTTCTTGATTAAATAAGCATTATTAAAATAAATAAACATTATTTTAATTAAATATATGCAATATTAAAATATATTATTAAAATAAATAAGCATTACTAAAATAAACAATCATTATTCAGGAACTACACTGAATATTTTAAGTTCTCCATCATATTCTCCAACTATAAACTTTTATGTAACCATATTTTCATTAGTAATTTCTATCTTTTTCATTTATATAAATTTCTAATTCAAAATTACATTTATTGGATACAATTTGTTTTCTATTTCAGTATAAATCTCTACTGAATTACTTAATCCAAAAATAAATAATTTATCACTTTCATAACTCTTTATTATTTCTAAACAAATCACTTTTTCTCCCTCATATATTGGTCCTATTATTTCCAATTTCTAACTCAATACATATATTGATGTTGAAATATCTTCATCCATTTTTAGAATCACTCTATCTAAATCAATTATCATTTATGTGCATTTCTTATTAAATTTATATGGAATTTCAGTTATTATAGTACCATTAAATAAATATAATTAATTAGTTCTTACTCCTATTAAGTAATTACTACCAACCTTAATTACATTCTCAATTGATTATTCCAAATTATAATGTTAAATATATTTAAATTATCCTATCTCATTCTATTGGAATATTCTAATCAATCCATCCTTACAAAATGTATATAATAATCCATCTTCTAAATTTGTATATACTATGTCTTTCATTGATATATCAAATATTATCTATGGAATCTATTAATGAAACACATTATTAAATATTAATAAATTCTTAAATGATTCATCATTTTTTTAAAATTGAATCATCAGAGAACATTCATCATTTTTATGTTCTTATATGAATGCACAAATAAATTATTTATCCAAATGACTTATTGTGACTTTCTTCTCATCATCTACTATTAATATTCCATTCCTTTTAAAAGGTATTTAATAAAAATCAATTGAATTTGATTTTAAAATACCTAAAAATTAAAAATTATATCCAACTATTTAAATTAGATTATCTATATTTTTCTTTTACTCTAAATTCAATACTTAAATTCTTTTTTTTACTTATATCTCATTAACTTTAACTTTCTTTATCTTATTAAATCCATCACCTTTTTATTTTATCTAATCTCCTCTTTCTTTCTCTTCATCTTATATAAATTCTCTTCTTTTAAATGTATTTTCTCTATCTCCTCCTCTTCCTCTTCCTCTTCCTCTCCCTCTTTAACGATATTATTTCTAATCATCTTCATTATTATTTTCTTGATATTTTTCTAATCTCTCAGAATTTACATTATTTATTTCTCCTTATACACCATATTTATTTTTATTTTCCTATTCATTTAAATTCTTATCAAATCTCTATTTTCTTCTTTTATCTTCATTTCTTTCCTATTATTCTCCAAATCTTTTTTCACCTTTTTAATCATTTTAATTCTTTTATTATTAACTTTCAATTCTTTAACTGTTATCTTTCTTTTAGTAATCTTTTTCTAATTCATCATCTTATTCTCTATCTTATATGCCTCTTCCTCTACCTCTCTCTCTTACATTTCTTCTCTCAAATTGAAAGTCATTATTCTTCTTCAAATTCAGTTTCCCCTTATCATCTCTTATTAAATTAACTTTCTCAATATTTTATGTGTCATGCGAGTATTGACATTCCTCTCCCTCTCTGCAATTCCCTTTAATAAAATATCGGCATGGAGTATCGGATTTAGCATTCATATATTTGATTAAAAATTTAATTATAAATATTTATCATATTATCAATAATTACAACTTATATTTTAATCATCCTGTTTTCCATCTATAATATTATTATTTGCTTAACCACTTTAATCACAGATAATACCAAACCCTCTCTATTTATAAATATTATTATTTAGTTGTTTTCTAATTCTTAATATATACTTTATTCTTATTTTTAGATTCATTCAAAAATATTACTCTTCGTATTATGAAAATAGTATTAACTAAATGACTTTTGCTTTGTATCATTTGATTATCACATTCTTTAAAAGATATTAGAAAGATTTAAGATAATTAATATATAATATTAGCTTAGTTATTAATAATCTAGAAATATAAAATTAATAAAACGAATCAATAATGGTATTGAAAAATTGTGATAATAATTTAATAAACAATTTATATAAATCATTTATTAAAGCAAATATTCTATTATTCAAAAGAGGTTCTATAACTTCTCGATTCATCATATAAATTTAATAATTATAAGCAATAATCAGAATTATAAGAAATTAAATATATGAAAATCTTAAAAAAAGATGAATGAACATGGAACTTAGAGTTTAATATATTAAGTATAAATATAAGAATAGTAGAATTTATTGTTTTTATATATTTAAATTAAAATTATTATTTATATAATTTTCATAAATATTTATAAAAATGAACTCAGCAAGAGATAAAATCAATAAGTTTCAATAAGATTTAATGGTGGATAAAAATGTAGCAATTAATACATTAAGTAATTAGTTTAATTGAAAATAGGTCATTATAATATTAAGGAGATATCTGAATTATCTTGGTAATTAAACTAAGAGTTATAAAGATTTTAATAAGAAATTTAATAATAAATAAGTGAAAATTCTATTTTAAAAGATATTGTCAAAAAAATACTAGATTTATTAACAACTAATTACACAAATTAAGAATTTGAAAAACTGTGTTAAGGTGATAAAATAACTTTTGAAAATATAAAGAATAGATATAAAAAGCCATAAAAACTTGATGAAAAACCTAATGAAAAACTTAATGAAAAACCTAATGAAAAACTTAATGAAAAACTTAATTTTGAAAAACCTAATGAAAAACTTAATGAAAAACTTAATGAAAAACCTGATGAAAAATTGTAGCAGAAATATGATGAATTGTTTTAAAATTATAAAGGACTATTCTCTAGAAATTTAAAATTTTATGAAGATCACAAAGCTATAATTGAGGCACAATAATGTTATATTAATAGTTTAAAAAATGAATAAGAAAAATTCAGAAAGTAAGTATTCGATTATTAAAATTGTATATCTGATATATTAAATACTCAAAGTTATGAAATAAATATATATCCAGGATATGAAAATTTATGCAACTAAATCAATGATTACTTAAAAAAAATTAAAGTTTAATCTTAAGATATAAAAACTTCAGTAGATAATATTTAGAAAATATAAAAATAAACCAATGAAGATTAAAAAAAACTCGAAGAAGATATATCTAACATAATTAACTTAATAAATGAAGTACAAAAAATTTCAAAATAATGTAGTAATATAATGTAAAATAATATCTTATAAAATGATGAAAAAATGGAAATGGAATATAAAAAAATTTCAGCTTTCATTTAATTAAATTCAAAAGTATTTGAAAGATTCCAAATTCTTTTAAACCATTTACTACGAAATTCAAAAGAACTTGAAGCAAAGAATAAAAGTTTATCTGAACAGTTAATGAAAAGTAAAAATGAAGTCTTATAAGAAAAATCAAAATATTTATAAACTTTATAAAACTTTTAATAGAATTATAATGGTTCCAAAAATCAGAATTAAGGTAAAATTAATATTTATTAAAATTATAGCAATATCAATAAAAATACCAACATATTATAACCTTTTTAAAGAATTTAGCGGATTTGTTCTTACTTTATTTGAATAACTACCTTAAATTAAATAATCAAATGTATTTAAGGACTAATTAATAAATTATTATAATAATATCAATCCTGCTCCAAAAGATATTACAGAAATTTAGGCAAAAATTGCAATATTTTAAAAATTGCTTGAAAATTTATAAAATCAAATTACTCTTTAGAATAATATAACTTAACCATTAAATAATTCAATTTAATTTGTAAAAAAATACTTAAAACTTCCAGATTTAGATAAACTCACAGAAAATGATATATTTGTTGCTATTTGAATAAAATATTTAAAATTAAATGAAATACAATTTAAATTTAAAGCTTCTTTTGTTGTAAAGATTGGTTCATATAAAATAAAAATTTAGAGTTTTTTCTTATATTTATATAGTTAATTTCTCTACTAAAAAAAGATTTATAATTTTCTAAAACAATAAATTTTGATATTATATATTTATATAGATTAATTTTAGGAAAATAAGAAAATATTTGAAAGAAACTAAGCAATTAATCAAGATTACTCTAAATATAAAAAGATGATATTAATATATAGCTAAAAAATTTGAATGAAGAAAGAAATGATTAGAAACTAGTAAATTTAAGGATTATAATTATAGATATAATTTTGTTAAATTAATATAAAATGAATATGATTAGAGTGTTAAATTTAGTAATTGAGTTAATTATGGAATGAAAGGTAGGAGAATAATTAATAATAATTATATAGATAAGAATTATTAAAATTATAATAACATAATAATATTAGAATGATAGTATTAGATATAATAAATAAAAAATATAAAAATATAATGATATCTGAGAATGAGAGTACACGAGTGTTATTAGTGATAGTATAGAATCCTTAATCAATAATTTTGGCTCATTCTTTATTCTATAGATATTTTTAAAATTATGGGGAAGTGAACAAGATATTAATATTTGAGAAAGGAAAGTTATGGAAATGTTTTATAGAGATGGGAAGTGTATAATAGGCAAAGATATCATAGTAATAATTGAATGGTTGTTAATTGTACGAATAAACAATAATGAATGTGTAAATAGTAGTAATTAATAAATAGTTACTTTTCTACATTGTAGAGTGTGACATTTTTGAATAATAATTCTGGAGGTGTGGATTATCAGGCAATGAAATAAAGAAATTCAACAAAGAGTGTGAATGTATATGAATAAGAGTACAATTATCCTAAGACATAGAGTCAACCATTAATAAATCATTAAGATGGGAGATCAAGTGTAGTTAGTTTTGGAAATGAGAGAACAAGAGGTAGTTTGAATGACAAATAAGATTATTAAGATTATAAAAATGAATGGGAATCTTCTATAATATAAACATCTTTAGAATTTATAGATGATACTGATTGTCCAAACAATAAAAAATGTTCATCATATAAATCAATATAATTGGATGATAATAATGAAAATGATCCAATTGATGAAGATATAATGCATGCATTTTCATCTGAAAAGAATACCTATTTAAATTCTTATATGTTTTCTATTCCTGAAGTAGAAGATAAAATAAAGAATTAAGATATTGATCCTTATACATATGTATCACCACAATTCTTAAGAGAGAATTAACCATCTAAAGTTGTTTATATGAGAGGGTTGATGAATCAGAATATTACTGCTTTAAATATATTTAATTTACTATCTAATTTTGGGAATGTCTTATTAATTATTCATATTTAAAATAAAACTTCAGCTTTAGTATAATTTGAGAAATTATCACATGCTTAAAATGCACTTGATCACCTTAATAATTAAATGTATTTTGGATATAAATTAAAGATCTTTTATTCAAATTATTAAGAGATTTAATTTCCTTTACCATTCTAATCTCCATAAACTTAAGTTTTTATGCCAATTCCATCATAATTTAGATTTAGTGATGGTAAATCAATATCTTTTAATCCACCAAGTTAAATTTTACATTTAAGTAATATAAAAGGGAAAATGTGTGAAGATGAATAATATATTAAAGATTTATTCAAAGGAATTGGTCATGTATAAGCAATTAAATATATACATATTGATAAGTAAATAAACAATTATAATATTAATGATAGATAAAAACATATGGCATTAGTAAGATTATCATCTTTAGAAGAAGCATTGAATGGAGCATCTTTACTTCATGGAAAAGAAGTAATGGGTAGAAAAATCAATGTTTCATTTACCAAAAGTAAATTATGCTGAAATTTAATAAAAGTCAGCTTTTGCTCAAGTATTATGACTTTCTAAAACAATATAATTATTTAATTATCTTTAATTTTATATTTCATGCTTTTGCAACAGATTATGTGAAAAGATCTTCATTCTTTTTTTCAATCTCTGGTTCAAATTAACACAATTACAAGCTTCTTTGAAATTGTCCAATTCTCTTTATAATTCTAGAATGTAAATATGTTTTAGAAGCATGAATATGGTAATGTAAATATTATCTATTTATTAATCAATATTTTCATTACCTAAATCCTTATAAAAATGTAGATAATTATTCTATATTTTTACTAAAATGTTATGCTTTAAATAATGTCATTGTTATAACTTATGAATTTGGATCTACTTTGATATTAGATACTTCTGGAAATGCTGATTTCAAAATAGATGATTAATAATTAGATCTAGATATAGGTGGTGCCATCTTCACATTTTTCTTTGCATCAATAATCTCTGTAATTATTAAATTTGCTAATGTTCTATCTACATTATCCTAAAATGATATTTCATAGAATATGTTTAATGCATCTTTATCAGGTATTGCATATACAACTTCATTTTCTCTACTTTAATATTTAAATTTATTAGCCCCTTCTCCTTTATTAATTTAATCAAATGCCTATTCAAAAGCAACTGCATAAAAGTTTCTTCTTATTTATGAAAAATCTCTTGTGACTTTCTCAAATAATTTCTAATTCTCTCCTCTTATTTACTATCTTAATTCTTATATTTCAGCTTTCTCTGCTTCAGTTGCATTCTTTGGAATCTTAGGTTCTTCTTTTGCTGATTATGCATCAAATGAAAATGTTAAATTAAATCCATTTTCTGTCTCCTCTCTAGTATAATCTATTTCTTATATATATTTTATTACCCTTATAATATTTTCCTATCATGTAATTACCTGCAATACTAAAAATCTCATTAAAATTAAAACATTAAAATGATAAAAACAATTTACCATCTTCCATATATTCCAATTTTGTGCATGAATAATTATAATCTTTTGCTACTACGATTCTTTTTTATTTATTCCTACACTCTTTATAATCAATTACATAATCAATTCCATTATCTATGTCTTAAGTAACTTGTTCTATGGATCAATTAACATCATTTTTTTTATTTTTTATATTTATTAAATACTAATTTTAATTGTTTTATAATATATCAAGATAACATTTATTATATACAATCATTTTTAATCATATTATATAATATCTTTTCCTTTTTCTTTCACATAAATTCTTAATCTTTCTAACATTATTGATGCTCTTGACATTATAAAAATGATTTTCTATAACCTGTTGTTATTTCTATCTAATTTATTATTAATTTTCTCAAACAACTATCTGTTCCTTTCCCATTTTCCTATCATGATATCGATATCATTTTTTAAATCTTGATTGCTAATATTATCGATAAAACCAAAAATTATTGATATTAATTCTTTATTTCCTTCTTCTTTAAAGTTTTCTTAAACTATCAATTCTAAGCTTACAGTGGCCAATTTATAAACAAGTTCCTTTTATTTTTCAAAGTAATCTTCATTTGATTAATTCAATATCTCTAAATTATTTAAAATTCATACCTTGGATGGAAAATGCTATATAAAAATCTTCTTATATCGATATTCTTCTATCAATAATTAATTCTTAAATATTTTATGATTCTACTGATTATTAACTTTCCAATTTAGCTAATAACTATTCTAATTATTAATTGGATTAATTATAATGCTATTTATATTCAGTCAATTTTTCATTAAGTTATTTATTAATTATTAATTTATATTATAAAATTTTTACATTTATTTTATTATTTTTTCAAATAAATTTATTATCACCTTAAAAGTAATTTGATTTTTATCTAATTATTATATCAATAGTTATATATTTTAATTTTTATCTTTATTTATATCAAAATCTTATACAATTTTTTATTTTAAATTTTCTTGTTTATCTTCAGTATTTTTAATATTTACTATGAATTAGTTAATAAAATTCAAAATTTGCTGAAAATTTTAATCCTCAATTTCATCTAATTAAATAACTTAATTTTCTTCGTTTTAAGATGAATATTATTTAGAATTTTATATAATTTGCTTTATATTTTTTATTGTTTCATCTCTTAAACTATTTAAACTGTTAATTTGCTCTTTATATTGTTAAACTTCTTAAATTTTGAAAGATTCATTTTCCAAAATTTATAATTAATATTAAAATATAGTTTAATGTAATTGATTTTAATTTTCTATTAACTATTTATGTAATTTGTTATTTGAATTTTGAATTTCATTATTTCTTGTAAATTATTTTTATAATAATTCTATGTTTTTTTCTAAGCATTATTATAATGAAGCAATTTGTTCATTATAAGAGATTTTCTCTTAATTATATGTTGTTCTTAGTTTCTTAAAATATGTTATAATGTTTTTATTTCATCTTAAAATGTTTACTTCAATTAAGAATATTCTTAGTATGCCCAACAGATTAGAGAGCAAATTTTATCGTAGGACATCCTGTTAGCTTATTAACAAATAAATAATTATAATACTTGCAATGAAGTTTTCTAAATCATAATTTTCTTAAAGAAAAGCAGCTTTTAACTTTTTCATGCTGTCATCTTATTTCTCATTAGCTTGATTATTTGTATCATTTTATATAATTTATAGTTCAATTATTAACTATGAATACTCAAATACTTTATTTCTTAACACATCTTGTTCATTATTGAGTTTAACTATTTAATTTTATAGAGTTTCTACAATAGTTTCATGGTCAACATAAAATCTCAATTAATTCTAGAATAATTTTTAATAATTAGTTAACGATTCATCATATTTTTCATATCTTATATTTATCTCATTTTAGAGATTTAGTTTTTCAATTTTAAAAACCATTAATTATAAATTTAAGTATTCTAATCTATTTTCTAGTTAGGCAATAAAACACTTTAACTTTTAAAATATCTTATTGGTTGAGTTTAAGAACAACATAATCTTTATTCCATCTTTATTCATTCTGTTATCATTAGATAGACGGTTATATATAATGCTTATAGCATCTATGACATTTGTTAGCAATCCTGTTATTTCACTTATTTGTTTTTATTCAATTTCTCCTTAATCTTGATCGATTTTGTTATTTTATTGACAAATATCCTCTATTTCATTATTTATTTCTCTCGTTTTCTATATAATATTATCAACGTAGCTAATAATATTATTACATTATTAAACATCTCTTGAATCATATGGTACTGTACTATCTTCTATCTTATATTATTCAAATGTACACTTTTAAGAATCAAATTTTTAGTTTCTTAAATCCTCTTATTCATTTTTAATATTATTGGTATAACTGTATTGAGCTTAAATTTAAACTTTATGGTCCTATTAAAATAAAATTTATTTAGAATGATACATTTGGATTTTTATTAATTTGATGTTTATTAAAATAGAATTTAATTCTATTCTTTATATTTTCAAAAGTTATTTAATCATCTTAAAATAGTTTTTCCAATTCCTAAATCGTATAATTTATATCTATTAAGTCTAATAGTTTTTTTGCAACATTTTTTAACTTTAAATATTCATCTCTTTGTTGTTAAAGCACTTTTGAAATTATTTATAACTCTGAGTTTAATTTCCAAGAAATTTCAGATATTTATGAATTATAACTACCTATTTTTGAAAAACTATTAATTTAATGTCTTTGTATTTTCATATTAAATAATTATAATAATGATAAATATGAATATGAAAATAAATATATAAAAAACAAAAAAAATTCTGTTACTCAATATTTAATCTATTAAAGTCAAAGTTTTATTTTCATTTATCTTGTTGAAGATTTTGATAGATTTACATTCTTATAATTCTGATTATTGATTATTGTTAATAAAGTGATTGAATTTATCTGATGAATCAAGAAGTTTTATATTTTTTATAAAATTAAATACTTGCTTTGATAAGCTATTTATATCAATTCTTTTTCAAATTAAAATCACTAATTTTCAATAATATTTTTATAATAATTGAAATATTTTAGTATTGTATTAATTTTAGGAAATTATTAGTATCTAAATTAATGTAAAATATTGATTATTTCATAATACACTGATTTTTTGAATAATTAATATTATTAGTATGCCAAAAAAAAAAGAGAGCGACGTTCTTAACTTTAAAAATTTAGATTATTATATTCTGATGGTTTTTGATAAAATAAATAAATTATGGATTTACTTAATAAATTTTGATTAAGAAATGTATATTGTAATTTAATTAAGAATGTTATTAAAAATACATTTACATTTAATTTTGATGTTGTTTTCTGTAATACGATCCTTATTTATAGTTTCCTTTTAAGCAAAGCATTTTTCGATCGATTTGAAAGTATATAAATGGTAGGAATACTACTATTCTTAAATTATTGATATGGCAAGTTAGTAATATGAATGATTTAAGTAAAAGTAAGATGATAATGTTAGATTTATATGATATATTAAGAGTGATGTAATAATTAGAAGGTGAATTGTTTAAGATTTTATAAAAATGGATGTGATGTGGATAAATGGATTAGGCTATTTTTAAAGATTATTTAATAAGATGTAGGAGAATAATAAGAATATTAATGAAAAGAGTTAATTTTGTATTAGATAAAGATTATAATAGGAAATAATAAATAATAAATAATAAAGGAGTATAAATGAGCAATGGTAGTTTGTGAAAATAAAAGTAGTGTTTTTTATAGGTCGTAATGATTTAGTGAATTCAAAATAGATGGGCTCAGTAAATAATATAGAGTTAGAAGCAAGAATAGTAAAAATATTTGGATAATTTCGATCATTCTTTTTAAAAGGAGAGAAGTATTAAAATCAATAATTATAGAGATGAGATTTGGGTTTTTGGAGAGAATTAATATGGATAATTGGGTTTAGGAATGATTTGTGATGTACAAAAGAAACCATTAAAATTAGAATAGAATTATAAGTTGATATCATGTTCAGAGAGTTATGGATATGGTTATGATGATGATGATAGATTATATTGTTGGGGAGATACAAAGTTTAATTGTTTATAATAATAGTAGAAAGGTAAATGTTTAGGAGTGAGAGGGGTAAGTTAATTGAATGCTTAGAATGAACGTTTTTATTATATATCAGAAGGTAATTTATATGGATAAGGATTTACAAATATATTGGGAATTAGAATGAATAAAGTTTCAATAGGAAATGCAGTATTGATAATGAATAAGGTGAAGAAAATAGCATGTTCAAACACACATGCATTAATATTGGATGAAAAGAATTAAGTTTATTCTTGGGGGAATGGTAAGAATGGGGAATTAGGATTATAAATGAGTGATTATTCTTACAATACATTAGTTTAATGTCCAACAAGAATAATTTAATTACAAGATATTTCAGATGTTTAATGTGGCATTAGTTATAGTTTAGTATTAAATTATGAAGGAGTAATGTATGAATGGGGAAATGGATTGAAATCTATGAGTTTTGAAGATGCATTGAAAATTAAGTAAGTATATGTATCTAATAATTATTGTAATATACGTAAAATAGAAGTATCATTAAAATAAGCAGCATGTGTTGATTAAGTTGGTCGTTTATATTAATGGAATCATTCAAATGCCATACCATCATATGTTAATACAGAAATCAGATGTGAATAATTTATTTGTGGAGATAATATTGTTTTATTTATTGCTAATTAATAAGCGAATCAAGTATCTCAACATTTTAAATAATAAATTAAAGATAAAGTTTTAAAATATAAATAATATGTCGAACTCAAAAATAATAAAATTAGAAATATCTATTATGATGATAATAAAAAAACAAAGTGTCTTTAAGAAATTAATTCTAGAATTTTAGAATAATAAGTTAAGTAAATGAAACCTGAAGATTTCTTATTTACAAGATTGTAAAGAAAACAACCTATGTATATTTAATAAATAAAAAGAAGAAGCACTATTTAATTTCCTGATACTTCTACAGAAACAAATAAATCTATAAACAAAAAGAGATCTAGTACAATCAGATTAGAATAATCTTAATAATTAATCCCTACTCTCATTTAAACAAATAAACCACATGATAAAATTAAATAATCATAAAAAGAAATTAAAGATATTAAAGATTAATGGTAACTCTTTAGAAAACTTTCTTTAGATTCTAATTCAGCTCCACTATTTAAAACTAAGATACCTTTACATATACTCAATACTAAATTATATTAAGCTATTGAAATTGATAAAGTTTCAGATCTCATTCTAGAATCAGAAAGATTAAATCCATTATATATACCTTATTCTTCTCATATTATTAGATCCTAATCCATTTCATAATCAAATAAATAATAATAATAATAATAATAATAATAATAATAATCAAATACATAAAGATAATCACGTTCAATTACTAAATCTCAAACTCTTACTGAATAAACATCAATTATTAAATCATAATAAAATACATAGTAAAATTAATCTCTCCATACTTAGAATTAAAATGAATTTATTCAAGATCCTAATATCATGAAATATGAGTATGTCAAAAGAATTCATAATGGATTTCATGAAAAATTACTAATGGATAATCTAATGACTAAAGAACAATGTTTCTTACCTATCAAATGGAAACGATTAAAAGATGATACTAAAATATATTAAACCAAATATCAAAAAATGCAAGAAAGATTACTCCAAAAATAAAGAGAAGCAAAATAATTGATCAAAATAAATGACGCATGATATATATATATACATTTAGCTGTTATAATTAAAATTTACTAATGTCAGAGTATACAGTCAGAGATTGGTAACAAAACTCAAGCATACAAGAAACACCTCATATTGAATTAAGTTACGATTTCTATCATTCAGAAATTACAAACTTAAAAGCACAAGTTGATTAATTTCAAAAATACATCTCTAAACTAGAAGAATAATTCAAAGATAAAAATAGAAGACTACAAGTTTAATTAGATGAATAGATCTTAAATAATAGATAAATGAAACAATAAATATTGACTTATGAATAATAATTGTAATAAAGTGCATTCAGATAAAAAATACTTTTCTCGGGTTAGTTAGAAACTTTGATCAATGAGTTAGATTAACTAACTTAATTGATGAATCAAAAGAGCGAAAGAATAGTATCATTAGAATATGAAAATTAAGCATTATTGAATTAAATTTACGAATTAGAAACATCGATTGAATAATAACAATTTTAGTATGATCATTTTGATCAATAGAATTATTTAATGTTAAGTTAAGTAGATCAATTAAAATAAGAGAAGAATGAATTAGTAATAAAGCTGAATGATTCCTAGATTATGATTCAAAAATTATCAGTTGAATTATAATGTAAGTCATCATAATTATTGGAAAACAATAAATAAAACTAATTATAAGAATAAATAAGAGAAGAAATTACTAAGGCTTAAATGACTCATCAAGAATAGTTCATAAAATTGTTATAATAAGAAATTATTGAATTAAAGGAATAATTAAAAAATAAATGACTATTATCAAATTATAGTAGTATTACATGAACAATTCATAAATGACCAAATTGATGGAGGCTGAATATATCTCTTGCGGTTTTATACATCTTCAAATTGGCATAATAAAGATTCCGAGTAATCAAGCTTCTGTTATAATTTTATGGCCTATCTCTTAGCATATTCACAAAACTATTTTTCTTATTTAGATTTTTCGATTAACATTTTTAGAGAGTTTTCTTTATTATTAATTGCTTCTAGAATTATAATTTTAAAAGAGTCCTCATTAGTTTAATAATTAAGAGCAATTTATTTATTGATTAGAGCTTTCTCAAATTGTTTTTCTGCCTTCAAAATCAGTTTAGTCCAATCATTTCGAAAATCACACAATTATCTAAATTTTTTATTATGTGAATTTTTATCAAATAATTATTCATGAATACATGAAGGATTATGAATACATGTTTGTTGAATAAACTAAATCAAAAATTCTAGTTCTTTTTAAGTTTTATATTCAAAAATTTAGTATCGAGTATAATTTTTTTTGATTTGTTTTTAACAGTCATTTCTCAAAGAAATTTTCAATTGATCATAGATTTGAATTTATGGATTTTCTTGGTTATGAATAGAAGACGATGTTTATTTTGATTATTATGAATTAGTTCGTTACCCAATAAGATTAGAAATATTATTCATAAAATTTAATTAATATTAATAATGATAAAAATAGCTAAATTATTATCTAAATCTCCATAGTAATTGAAATAAAATATATAAATATCATTATTGATAGATTAATGATAGATTTTAGTACAGATTATAAATATCTCTCTATTTTTATATGATAGAAATATATTTGGGAAATGAATGTATTATGGCATTATCCATTTGTTAGACAAGGCGAATATTTCTAGAATATAGATAAGAATTTTGTGTAAAAACACTTTACTCTTCATCTTGGATTTATGAGTTGAGGAGAATTTATTATATTAATATATTTAAATAAGGAATATGGAATCACCTAATAAATTCATTCGTTTTCTCATTAAAATACATTGAGCTTATGTAAGAAGAGAGATAGAATCAAGTGTTTAATATGTTGATTTTTGTTATTTTGATAAAAAATAGAAGTTGAATTAAATATCAGTTATAGGAGGGCTGTTGCAATCAAGGTATAATAGTATACTTTGAGTGCAAATGCAGCCTGTAATTCTGTATTAACATATTATTAAGGCAATTTTCAAAATAAAAAATCTTACTGTATTGTACTCCAGGGTGGGAGTGTTCATTATATAAAAGAAAGGTTTAGATAAGATAAAAAAGGTTGTATGAGATATGATGCTAAAATGAGCGGTATTTTAGTTGGTATGATATTTTATTTGGTTAGAAGAGGGGAAATATGATAATTAATATAAATTTATTAATATATTAAAACGGATCTATGATAGAGGGTAATTTGGGTGAACTAATTTGGGGAAGTGTGGAACTGACTCTAAATGTTCTTTTATTGGATAGAATGAGGGTGCCTTAAAAAATGCCATCTTAGGGAGTATTGAGATTGTCACTCATTCGTGAGTAGAATAATTACTCAGACACCTAGGTATAATGGTGTACCTTAGTTAGGTGAGATATGTAGTAGCCTCACTACTTATCCCAGATATTTATAAATGCTTTCGTAATATTGAAGATCCACTTCAATTTATATACGGATGCTTTATGTTCTTCGATGTCCTAGTTATCTTAGAAATGATAACAAATACAGATACTATCTTGGCTGCCACATTTCTTTTACGACTACTACGTATCCTTCAAATATTCCATCAAATAATGAAGGCTGCCATGACTATTAAATTCAAGAAGTTTATCTAATAATCTCCTTCTCCTGTAATTAAGTTGTCTTAAGTATCTCCCCCATAATCCATGATTACTACTAAAGCCAACTCTCATGAAGAAGAATTAGAAGTATTAAATCCACCTAAAAAACTATCCCATCCATGTCTTTACTAATTCAATATCAGAACATCCAAAAATTCTATTGTCACTATTACTACTCATGATATAACCTAATTAGACTCTCTTCTTGATAATCAATTATGTCTTGACAAAAGAACCTTACTTAATATCAAGTTAAATCTTTGTCTTAAAGCATATAATCAAAATAATATTAAAAAACTATCCACATCTAAATTATTACTCAATCAGATTGCTTAATATTAGGCTGAGTTAATATTCACTCATTCATGAATTAGTTAAACCGTTTTTATATATTTATATTTCATATTTCAATTATTTTATATTCTATTCATATTAATATCATATATAATTATCAATATCCTATTCTTTACAGATAAATGTTTCTATCTATAGATTAATATTATAATATATAATATAATTATATCATTATATAAGTAATATATTAATTAATTAATAATTTTTATAATAATTCAATACATTTATTTATTATATGCGCATTCATAATTAATTAAATTATTTCTAATTATTAAGAAGTGCGCACTTCTTTTTTATTAATACGCATTTGTTAATTTTTTGTAAAATTTATGCGCACTCTAATGTTTACAAATACTAATTTGTATATAATTGGTTAATAATTAATTGAATCAATGAAAGTCTAATCAACCACAACTTAATAAGATGATCACTTCTTAATTTCCAACTATGATTACAAATCAACTAACATTGAAAAGAATGGAGACAAGTACATAGCTAAACCATAAACAACAAACTTTAAATTTAAGACTGATACAAGAATTCCAAAATTAGGTGTTATGCTTGTAGGATGGGGTGGAAATAATGGAACAACACTTACTGGTGGTGTATTAGCTAACAAATTTAATATTACATGGAATAGTAAAAGAGGAACTCACTAACCAAACTTTTATGGTTCACTTACATAAAGTAGTGTAATAAAGATTGGTACATGCAATACTGAAGAAGTATTTGTTCCTTTCAAAGATATATTACCTATGGTCAATCCATGTGATATAGTATTTGGAGGATGGGATATTAGTGCAATGAATTTAGCTGATGCAATGAATAGAGCATAAGTTGTTGAATATGATTTATAATAAAAATTGAGACCATATTTGGAAAAGTTGGTACCATTACCTTCTATTTATTATCCCGATTTCATAGCAGCTAATTAGAATGACAGAGCTGATAATGTAATCCCAGGAAATAATAAATTAGAACATCTCAATGTTATTAGAAAGAATATTGCTGATTTCAAATAATTAAATAATTTAGATAAAGTTATACTTTTATGGACTGCCAATACTGAAAGATTTTGTGTTGAAGATCCAAATATTCACGGAAATGCTGAAAAATTATTGAAATCTATTGAATCAAGCCATCCTGAAATTAGTGCATCAACAATATTTGCATGCGCTGCTTGTTTAGAAGGATGCTCATTTATTAATGGATCACCTTAAAATACTATTGTTCCAGGAGTTATTGAATTAGCTGAAAAAGCTGGAGTCTTTGTAGCTGGAGATGATTTCAAAACTGGATAAACTAAATTCAAAACCTGTTTAGTTGAATATTTGGTTGGTGCTGGTATCAAACCTAAAGCCATTATTTCATATAATCATCTAGGAAACAACGATGGAAAGAATTTATCATAAGAATCATGTTTCAAAAGCAAAGAAAGAAGTAAGAAGACTTGTGTTGATGATATTTTGGAATCAAATAAAGTGTTATATCCAACAGAAGAAGAATTAAATATTGATCATACAATTGTTATAAAATATTGTCCTGAAACAGGTGATAGTAAAAAGGCAATGGATGAATACATTGCTGAAATATTCTTGGGAGGAAGATAAACATTTGCAGTTTACAATGTGTGTGAAGATTCATTATTAGCTGCTCCATTGATTATGGATTTACTTTTATTATGTGAATTGTTTGAGAGAATACAATTTTCAAAGGATACTTCTGAATTCTAAAGATTTGACACAGTATTATCTTGGTTGAGTTATTTGATGAAGGCTCCTAAATCAGAGAGTGGAATTACTACAATTAATTCATTATCAAGATAAAGGGCCATGCTTGAAAATTTAGTTAAAGTATGTGCAGGATTAACAATTGATGACAATCTAAGATTGGAAGTCAGATATGGTGCTAGCAGATTTTAATAATGATTTTAACTAATTTGTTTATATAAAATTAATAATGATTAAATAAAATAATCAAGGTTAATCTTCATCAAAACTAAAATTTTCAATTTTCTTTCCTTCTTTAAATGATATTGGACTATCTGTTGCTGGTTCATCAACAAACATCTAAAATTAAATGATTAAATTACCCTATTAAAATTTGATAAATCTAAAGGTCCATTAAATTCAATTTTAATAGGAGGTTCTAATGACTTATAAGCAACCCCTATCCAATCTATATCTTTAAAAAATTAATGAGATTTAATTTAATTGACATCTAATCTCTGACTTGCCTAAGAATATTATATTTTTTATACATCATTATTAAGCAATCCTTATAATAAAGATTTACATTCTTCACTTAACCATGGTTTTAAATCTAATGGTTTTTCTAATCTATTTCTAAACATTAATGTTCGATCAACATTATAAAATGGAGCAGTTCCCGTTAGCATTTCATATAATAATGCTCCTAAAGACCACCAATCACATTATTCATCATGTCCTTATCCATCATCTTAATAGATTTCAGGTGCCAAATATTCTGGTGTACCCACTACAGAATGAGATCTAGTTTTTATAGTTGTCAGTATTTTTGATAATCCGAAATCTATCAATTTAATATGACCATCTTAACATATTAAAATATTTTCAGGCTTTAAATCTCTATACAATATATTATTTTTATGGAGATATTCTAATGCAACTATTATTTCACATATATAAAATTTAGACTATTCTTCACTAAATTTATAAGCTCTTCTTAAATGGAAAAACAGTTCTCCTCCTTAACAGAAATCCATTACTAAATATAATTTACTATTGCTTTAAAAAGCATAATGTAATTTTGTGATAAAAGGGTGTTTAATATGTTCTAATATAAATCTCTCAGTCCTTATATATTCTTCTTTTACTTTTTCTTTTGAAACTATTTTCATTGCATATTGTGTATTGTTATTTCTTTTTTTCACTAATAAGACTTTTCCGCAAGCTCCTTTTCCTAATGTTTTTAACAATTTAAAATGACTAATATCTATTTTCTACGTTAATTCCTCAACTTATACAACACTCATTTGAGTAGTAAAGTTATTTCTATAATTATCATATACTTTTTCTTAGATGCTAACTTTGTTTTGTGACTACAAAGAAATTCTATCTTCTTTGTTTTCTCTCAAACTCTCGAAACATTGACCCATCAAAAGAAAAATGATTTATATTATTAAATTATCATTTTCAGATTTCTTAGACACTAAAAATAAATTTGGAATTTATTTAAAAATATCAAGACTACTTCTAAAACATCATTCATAAAATATTTGAAAATAATATAGTATAATACAAGTATATTTAATTTATTAATAAAAATGATTTCAGGTATTATAAATACAAGAGTAAATCCATATTTTTAAAGCAATCATAGAGGTGGAAGTGCTATCAAATATGGACGATTAGAAAATAATAGTAGTTTTCAAACTCCAAAAATGATTCTTTAAAACTCTGCCGAAGAGAAATTGTTGGTACGATATAAAATAAAAATTTCAGATAAATTAATAGGAAGCAAATCATTTAAGATAAAGTCCTTCTTTTAAATTAAAAAACACAAGATTTCTGACTCCAGGAAAGACAGATGAAATAAGAAAATAATCTAATATTCAAGAAAGCTATGCTCGTAAAACAAGAATTACAGTATTGGAGTCATTCTATCATTAACTAGGAACTGATGATGACATATCAATTATAAAACATACAAAGTAACCAAAAAGAAAATTGATAAATATAACTCCATCTTCTTAAACAACGTATATGTCTAAAAAAACATAAGAACTTGAAGAGGAAAGCATAGAGGAAGCTCATTTTTAGTTTGTACAAATGTAATAGAAATATAAACAATGGTTAGAGAATTTTGAAAAGAAAAATGGAAAGCAATTTTGATAAATATAATTATTTAATTCTCAATTTAATGTTAAAGTTTTCACAAATGATGAGTAATAGAAATCTAGTAAAAATTTTAACAATTTAATAAATTAGAGTTTGAGATAATTAAAGAGAAGAAAGGAAGAAAATCGTTTTAGTTTTTCAGCTAAATTTAAACAATATAATTATAGAAAGAAGAGGAATAATAAACTATTGAAGATGAATGATGAGACTAAATAGATTATTAGTAAGAGATAGTAGATCTTAGAAAATAATATAAAAATGTAATATATAGCATTAATAACAGTAGAAGAAGAAAAATAAGAAAAGGATAAAATAGAATTGATAATATATAAAAACTAGAAAAAAATAATTGTAGATACTTAATGATGAGTTAAATTATAGAGAGGAAAAGAAAAAGTTAGAATATAAAATAAAGTTTAAGAATTAGAAGGAATGTATTGATTTTAAAAAGTTAAAATTTTTAGTTTATTACATATAAATTAATATTAAAATAAATTAATAGATATATGATAATAATTAAAATGTAAATAAACATTTATGATTGATAATAATAATATAAATCATAGAGCCATTTTTTTACCAGCAAATCCAGCAATAGTTCCTTTTTTAGCAGCAATATCATTAGCATCTAGATTACCACCTCTTCCTCTACTTCCTCCTCTAGAGAATCCTCTACCACCAAAACCACCTCTATCACCACCACGGCCTCTGCCTCCAAAACCACCTCTATCACCAAATCCACCTCTATTTCCAAATCCACCTCTATCACCTCTATTACCACCACCACTTCTTTATGATGAATTTGCAAGATCTACTCTTATAGCTCGACCTTCTACATCTGTTCCTGTTTTAGATAATCCTTTTTATGCTGATTCATTATCAAAGAATTCAACATATCCAAATCCTCTTGACTATTCTATTAATATTATTATTATACCTTTCCTTCTGCATCTTTTGCTATTCTAACTTCTTTAATCTTTCCACAATCTTCAAATACTGGATATAAAGAATCTTCTGTAGCATAAAAACTTAAATTTCCAATAAAACAAGTTGTACTCTCACCTGAACCACCTTATTAACCACCTTATTATGGTCTTTAATCTCTTGGTTTTGTCTTTTCAACTACTATTGTTCTACCCATATGTTCTGAACCACTATATTCTACTGCAGCACTTTAAGCATCTTCTGTTGAAAATCTAACAAATGCAATTCCTTTTGAATATCCATTTGGTCCTTTTAATAAATTTACACTATTTATTGTTCCGCATTCACTAAAGAATTCTTTTATATCTTATTCTGAAGCATCAAATGATAATCCTTTAACAAATACTTCATGATCTTATTATCCTTATTAAGCTTATTAACCTTATTTTTATTATTATTATTATTATTATTATTATTATTATCTTCCTTTTGGTGGTTAAGGAACATCATCTTCATCTTCATCTTCATCTTCTTATTCAATCTATTAAGTCTTTTATGGAGCCTTAGTTTATTATACTTATTTTTTAGGAGGAGGAGGTGGTACATCATCTGAATCCTCATCAGAATCATCTTATTATTTAACTGGAGCCTTAGTTTAAACAGCTGGTTTAGTTAATGGTTTTGTAGCAACAACTGCTCCTTTTTTAGGAGGAGGAGGTACATCATCTGAATCTTCATCTGAATCCTCTTATTATACTTATGGTTTAACTGAAACCTTTGTTTAAACAACTGGTTTAGCTAATGGTTTTGTAGCTACAACAGTTGCTCCTTTTTTAGGAGGAGGTGGTACATCATCAGATTCTTCATCTGAATCTTCTTATTAAACTTATGGTTTAACTGGAACCTTAGTTTATACAACAGGTTTAGTTGTAACTTGTTTTGTAGCAACAACTGCACCTTTTTTTGGTGGAGGAGGGACATCATCTGATTCCTCATCTGAATCTTCTTATTATACTTATTGTTTAACTGGAACTTTTGTTTAAACACCTGGTTTACTTACTGTTTTTACTGGAGCTGTCACTTTCTTTGGTGGGGTTGGTACATCATCTGAATCATCATCTGAATCCTATTATTTAACAGGCTTTTTTTAAACCACTCCTACTTTCTTTGGAGCTGGTGCTCCATCATCAGAATCATCATCTTCTTATACACCCTTCTTTTATACTTACTTACCTACATTTTAATTTGTGGTGTTTGGCTTTGTTGCATCGAAACTACCTTTTTTTACTGTCTATACCAATTTAACTGGCTCATCTTATTCATCTGAATCTACTTATGGTGCCTTTCCTACCACCTTTGTTACTACTTGAACTTTTTATTATTGTTTTTTTGGAGGAGCAGGAACATCACTCAATTCATCTGAATCTGACTCTTACTTTTTTATTGCAGCTCCTTAATTTGATTTTACTAATTTATTTACTCCTTATGTTCCTTTTGTGAATTTAGACATTTTTTTTTATTTATTTTAATGTGTGGAATAATTAATTAAAAAATTTACACCTATAAACTATAATTTTTATTTAAATATTCAATCCTTAATTATCCATCAATTATAACCATTCAATTTATTTTATTTATTTAAATTACATTCTCTCTTATATCATTTTATTATACTAACTTTTAATAATATTCTTTAACTTAATCAAAATTATTTCAAATTCCCTCTTCTTTTTATTTATTTCTATTCAAACTTCTGTATACACTTTTAGAGTTAAAAAAATACCATTAAAATTTTTTATACAATAAATACAAATTTTGAGATCTTTAACTAAGATTACATTAATCTACCTCTCTTAAGTTCTCATAATAATATATAATGGATTAAATATTCATTATTACTAAAAAGGATTAAATAAAATAAATAAATAATTTTTCATTTTCAATTTCTCAATTATTATTTTAAAATATATGTATATTGCCATTTTATCAAGAAAAATCGTGGTTAATTTTCTAAAATGAATAATTTCAACATTTTCAAAAACATTAATTTCATGTGATCATCTGAAAATTGCAATTCTATATGAAAATGATCAAAATAAACACATCATATATCAATTGATAATTTTTTTACAGAAAATGAAATAGAATAGAACGAATTAAGAAAAAAATTGAGGTAATAAAACAATTATTAATTGTCTCAATTAGTAAAAATGAATATAATATCTTTACAAAGCAGATCTATGTAAATAGAACAGACAGAAGCAGATTTATTTCTTGATTACTCAATTTAAAGAAAATTTTTTCAGTCTTAAAACAATAATTAAATTGATTTAAGAGAAAAATAAAAAAATTAAGAATTATTAATGTAAGTAATAATTAAAACTGAAATAAATAAATAAATAAGAATATAATTATGAATTCTAGATTAGGTATTAATAGTCAACAGAAGCTTTATAAATTAATATTCTTCTCGATTCATCAGATAATTCAAAAAATTTAAAATATGATTAATAATCAGATTTTCATATATTAAAATCTATAAAAATCTTAATGCAAATGAAACTCTGAATTTAATGGATTACTATAATTATGTGTTTTTTGATATTTATATTAAAATTTAATTTTCATAATTTTATTATAAACACACCGAATCATTTAATGAATCTAATTTATAACAAAGTCATGGAATAAAAAATTACATTAAGAGTTCAACAACCATAAAAGGAAATTTAACAAAAAAGTGATGAAAATTAAAGTTAAAAAATGTTTTGAAAAAAGTATTAGACTTGTTAGATATAAATTATACAAATGATGAATTGGTAAAATTGTTTTAAGATGATTAAATAACTTTTGAAAATATAAAAAATAGAATTAAAAAGAATTTAATGCCATAATAACCCTAAAATAATTATAATCCAATCATATTCATCTATAAATTATTAGATAAGTAATTAAATTATTCATAATATTAGTGATTTAAGAGATGAGTAGTACTATACTATTGAAAACTTACAAACTGCTTTTCTTTAAGAAAATTCAATCTTATAAAAATTAATTAAAGGTAATTATTTTTTTCTTAATTAGTTAATATTATATCCAACGATAACCTTCGCTCTCTTTTTATTTGGGCATTCTAACAATATTGTTAATTGAAGTAAAAATTGTAATCTGAAATATAAACAATAAATGATAGAATCCATATTTTAGAAAGTTATTAATAGAATATTGAATAAGAGAAAATTAACAGCTATTATAAAGAAAAAATTAATAATTTATAAAATGATTTGGAATAAAAATAACAGTTATTAAATTATTAATATAACAGAAACAAGGAAATTTAAGATTCCTATAAATAATTACAAAATTAGTTAAAAGAAAATTAAAATTAATTACAGTAAATTATTTTTTAACAATAATTATAAATTTCCGAAAATGAATCTTTAAGAATTTAAGAAGTTAAACAATATAAAAAAGAAATTAAAATTTTAAATAGCTCAAAAAAAAATTTAAAGCAAATTATATAAAATTCTAAATAATATTCATCTTAAAACTAAGAAAATTAAATTATTTAATTACATGAGATTGAGGATTAAAATTTTCAACAAATTTAAAATTTAATTAAATAATTCATAATTCAATTAAAAAATACTGAGGATAAACAAGTAATTTTAAAGTAAAAAATTGCATAAGATTTTGATATTAATAAAGATAAGAATTAAAATATATAAATATTGATAGAATAATTGGATAAAAACAACATTACTTTTAATGGAATAATAAATTTATTTGAAAAAATAATAAAATCAATGTAAAAATTTTAAACAATAAATTAATAATTAAATATATATAATAAACAACTTAGCGAAAACTTGAATGAAGAAAAATAAAAAATTAATTAATCCAATTAATAAATAGAATAGTTATTGGCTAAATCGGAAAGTTAATCATTATTAAAATTACAAAAAAAATACGAATAAATTGAAAAAGATGTCTAGAGCAACTTAGAATTAATATAATAAAGAAACTTAAAAGCAAAAGGAAATAAAGAATTAATAGAGAAAGTTTTGGTTTAATTTAATTTTAAATATTATAAAGATTAGTAAAAATAATTATATTTTAAAATATTATTGTTCTATATCAGAAATTGAGAGTTTTATTAGTTTTATTTATAATATAAGAAATGAAGAATAAAGAAAAGATATTGATTTATGATGTAAAAATGGTAAAGGATCTAGTCAAATAACATTTTATAAAAATCTGAAATTATTATGAATTTAATCAAGAAGAAAATATTTGAGGCATAAGCAAAATTATCATATATTAAGAACAAGTTTGAATAAAATTGATTGTACTAAATATGACTACAAAATGAGTAATAATGATTTTATTTTATCTTGTAATTTTATAAAACAAATAAAGTTGATATCCACATTTTTATACCATCTGTTGAATAATTGTTTTATTTGCACAAATTTAAGAAATTAACCAAATAAAAGTCTTTTTCTATGATTTAGACGGTAGAGTACATAGTTTAAAATAATTGTTATTGGTAAAGATAATATAGAAAAGGAATTGTATTAAAGGTTTTATAAAAGAGGCCTGGCAACAATAAAATTTGAAAATCATTTTGCAATAAAAATAAAAATAATTAATTTACCAAAATCTTTTATGCAGTTACTTTAGAATAGGCATTTGCATAAATAAGTAAAGGATTGAAGAGAAAAAAATTAGAATTCGATATTTATTACATAAACTTGATAAATCATCTAAAAAAATTTTTTAGATAATCTTATTGACATGAACCTAATTAAAATGAATAAGAAAAAATAAATAACGACTTGTAAAAATATTGAGTTTTCATTAAAATTAGTTTTTAATTAAATATGATAAGAATTTAAAAATTGTTTTATAACATTTATTAGATTATTTAAAAACTTATGCCAGAAAATATTAGTGTTTAATTAATAAAAATTGACAAATTCCTTGATAAATATAAAGAAATTTAAATAAATAAAAGTATTGAACGACAAAATTAAGTTTATATAAGTGAACTTATTATAATTCTTCAATTTTATTGAGGGAAAAATAATAGATTATTAGATCGAAAATCAATAAATATATAAAATACATTGAACTTGAAAAATATAATTTATAAAGGAACAATAATAATGAAACCATTTATTAATAATATATAATTTGTTCATTTCAATTCAATAATTTCATTTATTGCATATAAATAATATTTAAATTATCATAAGCTTTATTTTATCTTATTCTTCATTAACATTTAAATTAATTGATTTTTGTAAATAGTAACATTCTCAAAATTAAAATAGCTTTAAATCTCAAGTCTATGTTAGTAAAATGTTTAATAGAATTCATTTTATTCTCTGTATATAATATTTATAATTTATTTAAATAAATTAGGAATCTTATGTCAGATTTCTAAACCATTTAAAACTTGAAAGCGGCTTTTCTGAAAGAAAATTATGATTTAGAAAATTACATGAAAGGTTTATAATTATTTATTTAATAATTAGTTAATAGGCTATCCGAAAATAACTTTCGCTCTCTTTTTTGTTGGGCATATGAATAATATTACAGATTGAAGAAATCGGTGTAAGCCTAAATATAAACATTAAAAGAGATAAACAATGATTTAATAAACTAATAATAAAATATTGAATAAGATTAAAATATAAGCTTATATAAAGATCAAATAGCAACTTTATAAAAATGTTTAGAATAACAAATTCAATTATAAAACAAATAATAGACAATAATCAATGAAATTTAACATTCTAAAGATAAATTTTAAAACTAGTTGATAGAAAATTAAAATTAATTACATTAAATTCTTTTGTAATAATAACAATAAATTTTGGAGAATGAATCTTTAAAAATTTAAGAAGTTGAAAATTATAAATAAGAAATTAAAATTTTAAATAGTATAAGAGATGAAACAATAAAAAATATGAAATAAGTTATAGAAAATACAGAAGAATATTCATCTTTAAACTAAAAAAATGATGAGATTGATGATGAAAATTTTCAGCATATTTTGAATTTAATTAATTAATTCATAATAAATATCAAAAATACAGAAGATAAATAAAACAATTTAAAATAAAAAATTATATAAGATTTAAATCTAAATAAAGATAAGGATTAAAATAAAAATATTGAAATTTTGATTTAATAATTGGATTTAAACCAAAATATTTTTACTCGAATTAGAATTCTATTGGAAAAAATAATTAATTGTTTTTAAAAATTTTAAACAATAAATTAATCATTGAATATTAATAAGAAAAAACTTACTGAGAAATTGAATGAATAAAAATAGAAAGTTTAGGAAACAATTAAGTAATTTGAAAATCTACTGTTATAATTTTAAAAGAATTATTATTAAAAACCAATAGAAGAATTTAGTGAATATATGGCATAGGCTAAATAAAATGTAAGCAAATTTAAATTAGAAAATGAAAAAAAAATAAAATAAAGTAATATAATTAGCAATTTAATACAAGAGGCGAACAAGATAATATAAAATGAATAATTATGATAGAATGAGGATTAAATATGATATATGTTAACTCAAGAATTGTAAAATATATAAATAATATAAATAATAAAAAATGATGTTAATTGATTCATAGGACAAGTTTCTTAAAACATAGATAATGGAATTGATTATGTAATTGATTATAAAGAGTGTAGGAATAAATAAAAAAGAATCGTAGTAGCAAAAGATTTTAATTATTCATGCACAAAATTGGAATATATGGAAGATGGTAAATTGTTTTTATCATTTTAATGTTTTAATTTTAATGAGATTTTTAGTATTGCAGGTAATTACATGATAGAAAAATATTATAAGGGTAATAAAATATATATAAGAAATAGATTATACTAGAGTGGACAGAAAGTGGATTTAATTTAACATTTTCATTTGATGCAAAATCAGCAAAAGAAGAACCTAAGATTCCAAAGAATGCAAATGAAGCAGAGAAAGCTGAAATATAAGAATTAAGATAGTAAATAAGAGGAGAGAATTAGAAATTATTTGAGAAAGTCACAAGAGATTTTTCATAAATAAGAAGAAACTTTTATGCAGTTGTTTTTGAATAGGCATTTGATTAAATTAATAAAGGAGAAGGAGCTAATAAATTTAATATTAAAGTAGAGAAAATGAAGTTGTATATGCAATATCTGATAAAGATGCATTATACATATTCTATGAAATATCATTTTAGGATAATGTAGATAGAACATTAGCAAATTTAATAATTACAGAGATTATTAATAAATAGCAAATAAAAATGTGTATCTAGATCTAATTATAAAAAGGATATTGAAAAAAGCATTTTCAGATGTATCTAATATCACTGTTAATTAAAATTCATAAAATATATCAATTCATTCTTTAATCTATATTTTTAATAGGATTAGGCTATCAGAAATATATAAACAAATAGATAATACTTATATTACCTAATTCTCTAAATAAGAAAAACCGTCATTCATGGTGAAACAAAAATAACTAAGAAGTGCTAACTCATCTTTACTTCAGCAACAAAAGGGCTCTTTAAGGCACTAACTAAAAATTAAGATTAATATTAAGTATATATTTATTTCTTTTTATTATAAACCTAATTGAAAAAATTTTAATTTATAGAAATGAATGACATCAACTTTAAAATTATTTAAAATAATATTTGTATCAAAATTTTAATCATTCACCTATGNTTATCAATCTAAATTTAAAAGAAACATACTTCCTCTAAACGCTCTTATTCTCTTATACGTTATAAATATTATTTTATTTTTCTTTCTTCTCTTGTTGATGGTTATTCATTATTAAGAGATTGAGAATAAACTTTTGGAAGTAGAATTAATTCAGCAGGTTTTATTGTTTTCTATTATTATTCATCTTAAGAGGATTCCAAACTAGAATTATCTTGACTTTCACCTTTCTATTATTAATCACTCATTTTATTATTTTTTTATAATTTAATTATAAATTACAATTTTATTAAATAATCATAATATTGTTTCAAGTAATATAATTAACATCAATTAGAATTTTTATTAAAGGTACCTTTATCTTGAATATTCATTAATATATTTTATTATTTTATTTATTTATCTATTTCTTAAATAAAATAATTGTTAACTAAGAAAATAACTAAAAATTAAAAACAATAATCTTAAACAAAGATATTTAACAAAATTGAAATTTTATTAAGTGCCTGTTATTAATCATTCTTTTAAAAAACATATTGATTTTTAATTAGATGGACTTAATAATTTCGAAAAATGAAAGATAATTAATCCAATACAAAAAATTTCTATTATTTATAACAACAAAAAATAAGAAAATATTATTTTCTCAAAAACAGGTTTCTTTATTTAAACGAAATTTTTATTACTGAATGCCAAAAAATAGACCAAAAATTATCTTAACTTGATAAAAATGAAGAAATTTCTGAATTAATAACAAATAAAAAAAAAATAATACAAGAAAAAATCATATCAATTCGATTAATTTATCATATTCTAAGCTTGTTTATTCAAAAAAATACCATGAGAATCAAAACCAGAACCTATTAAAAAAATTTTTAAAGTAGAGTTCAATTTATAAAAACTATTTGATTATAGAAAATTTGAATTTAATCGAGGAAATTATTGTTTTAGATGCTTCAATTTAAATATTATCCAGAAGAAAAAATGATAGTAATTAGAAGAAAAATCTAGGCTAAAATTATTATAAAAAATTTTCTAATATCATGAAAAACAAAATTCAATCTATTAAAGGCTTCTTAAGAATTTCTTCTTCAAAATTCTCTTAATTCTTAATGTGAAATAGGTTAATTTTAACTTGTTATGTAAATAAAAATAAAATAGATAATGGTAGTAACTAATAATATTAATTAAGAAATAAAAGAATGAATTAAATAATAAATAATAATATTTTATTTTGTTTAATGAATAATGATTATTAACTCATGCTAGTTAAGCTGCATTAACTTTATTGCAAGTATCTTCTAATAAAGCTAAAAGTGTTTCTTCAGTTGATTCTCTAGAAAGATAATAAATAATAATAGAAACCTTTATTTTTTTTCATTATCTACTTCAGTTTTAATTCTGTTAACAACATCTTTTAACATATCAAAGATTGCTTATTCTGATTCTTATCTATTAACTTTCTCTTAAACTAACAATTAGTTTAATTTGCTTAATTCTTCATTCATTTTTCTAGATATATTAGAATCCATTTCTTCTCTTTCAGCTACTTCTGTTTTAATAGCTTCATGTAATCTTGGTAAATCAGTTTCTAAACATTAATTCAATCTCTCAATATTTTCATTTCTTGTTCTACTTTCTGTACTTAATTCACTTCTTATTAATCCTGTTTTTTCTTCAATAAATCTTATAATTTTTTATTCTCCATCTTTTCTTGATGATGTCAATCCTTCAACTGCTTAATTGAATGAATTCTCTAAATCTATATATTCCTTTTATTTTTATTCAAAATGTTATTCTCTTTATAATTTTGTTTAATCCAAAACTTTCTATAATTTCAATACACTATCTTTAATCAAGGCCACTCTTTAACTTAATTATTCATTTAATTCATTCAATCCTGATTCCAATTAATCTAATCTTGTCTCTGATTCTTCTATTCTTTTTGTCTATATATATAATTATTTTATTACTCTCTCTCCTTCTATTGTTAAATCCATTTAACTTAATTAAGAACTTATTTTTGCTACTCTCTCTCTTGATGGTGAATAATCTAATCTATTTTATTATACATTACTTCTATTGTTTGACATATCTAACTGATTATTTGAATTAAAAGATAATATTAATATAAATAAATTTATTGTTAANAAAATATTATTTTCTCAAAAACAGGTTTCTTTATTTAAACGAAATTTTTATTACTGAATGCCAAAAAATAGACCAAAAATTATCTTAACTTGATAAAAATGAAGAAATTTCTGAATTAATAACAAATAAAAAAAAAATAATACAAGAAAAAATCATATCAATTCGATTAATTTATCATATTCTAAGCTTGTTTATTCAAAAAAATACCATGAGAATCAAAACCAGAACCTATTAAAAAAATTTTTAAAGTAGAGTTCAATTTATAAAAACTATTTGATTATAGAAAATTTGAATTTAATCGAGGAAATTATTGTTTTAGATGCTTCAATTTAAATATTATCCAGAAGAAAAAATGATAGTAATTAGAAGAAAAATCTAGGCTAAAATTATTATAAAAAATTTTCTAATATCATGAAAAACAAAATTCAATCTATTAAAGGCTTCTTAAGAATTTCTTCTTCAAAATTCTCTTAATTCTTAATGTGAAATAGGTTAATTTTAACTTGTTATGTAAATAAAAATAAAATAGATAATGGTAGTAACTAATAATATTAATTAAGAAATAAAAGAATGAATTAAATAATAAATAATAATATTTTATTTTGTTTAATGAATAATGATTATTAACTCATGCTAGTTAAGCTGCATTAACTTTATTGCAAGTATCTTCTAATAAAGCTAAAAGTGTTTCTTCAGTTGATTCTCTAGAAAGATAATAAATAATAATAGAAACCTTTATTTTTTTTCATTATCTACTTCAGTTTTAATTCTGTTAACAACATCTTTTAACATATCAAAGATTGCTTATTCTGATTCTTATCTATTAACTTTCTCTTAAACTAACAATTAGTTTAATTTGCTTAATTCTTCATTCATTTTTCTAGATATATTAGAATCCATTTCTTCTCTTTCAGCTACTTCTGTTTTAATAGCTTCATGTAATCTTGGTAAATCAGTTTCTAAACATTAATTCAATCTCTCAATATTTTCATTTCTTGTTCTACTTTCTGTACTTAATTCACTTCTTATTAATCCTGTTTTTTCTTCAATAAATCTTATAATTTTTTATTCTCCATCTTTTCTTGATGATGTCAATCCTTCAACTGCTTAATTGAATGAATTCTCTAAATCTATATATTCCTTTTATTTTTATTCAAAATGTTATTCTCTTTATAATTTTGTTTAATCCAAAACTTTCTATAATTTCAATACACTATCTTTAATCAAGGCCACTCTTTAACTTAATTATTCATTTAATTCATTCAATCCTGATTCCAATTAATCTAATCTTGTCTCTGATTCTTCTATTCTTTTTGTCTATATATATAATTATTTTATTACTCTCTCTCCTTCTATTGTTAAATCCATTTAACTTAATTAAGAACTTATTTTTGCTACTCTCTCTCTTGATGGTGAATAATCTAATCTATTTTATTATACATTACTTCTATTGTTTGACATATCTAACTGATTATTTGAATTAAAAGATAATATTAATATAAATAAATTTATTGTTAAATTATTTGCTAAAATATCATAAATATTGAGTTATTTTAAGAAATCATTAAAAATTATTTTGAATATAACTTTTGAATTATGTAATTTATTTTGTATAGTTATTATTGACATTTTTATATTTGTTCTACGAGCTTATGAATTGATTCAATTTCCTTTCATTAAAATTCTACTTAAATTTATTTGTTTTTTTCATATTTTACAACACGATTTTACAAATTAAAATTTTTTATTTAAAATTCAAATTATTAATAAAGTTGAACACACCCTTATACTTTTAAGTATGAAATAAATTTAAATAAACTTGTTAAATCAATTTTAAAATTTTGTAATATCATTTATTTAACTTAAAACAATAAAAATTGTGGTAAATCTTTTTTTTTTCTTTATTAAAGTAAATTTAAGTTAGTTTTACATAGTATCTTTGAGTTTCGGAATACTTGATAAATATAAATAATTTAATTAGTAATATATAAATCAATCATATTTGGAATAACTTCGATATTTAAAGCTTTGTTTTCCTTTTAAACCTGTTTTGGTAGTGAAGGTTGTTTTTGTTGTATCAAATCTGAAAGAAAAATCTTAAGGTTTACGAATGGATTATTTATAGATTGTCTTCTATTAATGTGGTTTATTTTATGGTGAAGATTTACTACTTTGTACATTTGTTGAAGTCTTTTATTAAGAAATAACTTTATCTTATATTTTAAGATTGATATCCCTTTCTTAGAATTCTCTATTTAATTTTTTTCTACCAGTTTAGATTTATAGATTTATTGAAGGTTCTTCAAAGTAATTGAAATCAAGATGATTTCTTTAAATGAAAACAGTTTTATTAAGAGGGGAAGGTAATTATTTTTAAGTGTTAGGTTTAGTAGAGGATAAGTATGAAAGTGGTTTAATGCAGACTTATTAATAATTTTTAGGAGGAGTACTATTAGATTGAGTATTATTAGGAACACTAAATTATCTTTAAACTGTTTTTTCATAAAAATCATTAAAGAATATTCCTTTTTTTTTAATTCCATCTGATTATATTAATTCACCTTCTCCATGTTTTTTATCATTCATATAATATCCTTTATATGAGTATGTTGAACATTTATATTCTCCATATCCAGTTTTGAGACCATTTTTAAATTTTCCATGAAAATATGCTCCACTAGAATAAAAATATTCTCCATCACCTTCTGGTTTTCCATTTTTATACATTCCAATATATCTATCACCATTTGAAAATAATTCTTCACCATAACCATGTTTAAGACTATCTTTAAATTCTCCTTAATATTAATCTCCATTAATCCATTTATGTTAACCTTTTCCATTAGGTTTACCATCAATCCATTATCCAGTATACATATCACCTTTTAAACCTATCCAAGTTCCTTATCCATGTTTATTACCATTAAACCATTCCCCTTCATAATATTCTCCATTTTACCATGTAAATTTTCCTAAACCAGAAGGTTTACCATTTACATAAAGTCCTTAATAATTTGATTTAGATGGAAAAACCTCCCAACCTTAACCATGCTTACGATTATTATTGAATTCTCCTTCATAAATATGTTCTTATTCCATCAATAATACTCCTTTACCATGTTTTTGACCATTAAATACTTAACCAAAATATATTTTATTTTGTGAAGTTATGATACTAAAATTTGGTAATTATTTTAATTCGTCAAATGAATATCCTTATGTATTATTCTTATAACTTTGTATTCTTAATATTATCAAATTATCGATCATTTTATTAATTAATGTTTAAATTCAATAAACAATTCATTAATTATTAATTTGATTATTCAAATGAGTGATGAAGAATCAGAAGATGAAAACAGATCCAAATTCAAATTATCTAAAACTCATCAATTAATTAATTAACTTGAACATAAACTCTAAATTCTTGATTAAAACCATCCACCTAATCCTTTTCCAAATTCAAGAGATTCTAATCTCAAAAGTAAATAAGAATTGGAAAGAGAATTGTAATAATTTGAATCAAGAATGAGAAAACTTAATCAAACTGAAAATTCTTAATTACAATCCTCTTAAACAAAATCTATTCAAAAGCAATCACCTCAAAAATTAAATATTTCTAATCCTATTTTATAATTGTTAAATTAAAAAATAGAAAGTTTTGATGATGATAAAAATACAATGTTATAAACTAAATTAGATTATCTTAATAGAGAATAATAAATACTTGAATAAGAGTAAATCAATTTATTAAGAGAATAATAATAAACAAAATTTGAATTAGAATCCTTATTGAGAACTTTAGAGATTGAAGAATAACGTAGATTGAATGAATAGAAAATATCTATTCTTAAAGAATAAGAAGAAAAATTGCTTGATATTCAAGATTAAAGTGAAAAATTAATTTAAGAAGAAGAAGAAAAAAAAACTAATTTTTTATTGGAATTATAATAATTATCATTTGAAAAAAATTAATTACAAACATAATTATAAGTATAAACAATTTATTTCTATATAGAATTTATCCAGAGAATAAGAAATGTTCATTGGTAATAGAGATGAAATTTCAAATTAATTAAATACACTTATGCAATTACATAATTAAATACTATAAAATGATTTAAAGAAAAAAATAGTTCACCTTGAAGAAGATCCAGATCCTTCTCCTCTCTAAAATCTTTATTAAATGAATTAACAAATTTAAGAATAAATGAATTAGTAACTATCTCTAATTAGATAAGAATTGAATGAATAAAAATAAATTAATTTAGATCTTTTGTAACTTTTAAATGGAGAACAATAACAATAAACATAGAGATAAATTAATACAACTGAAATCTAATAATAATAGTAATAAGAATAACAATAATAATAGTAATAATAATCAAATTCTTAACTATAATTTTAAATGGCCGTAAATAAACCAAATTATCAAATGAACGAAGATTTAGAAAGTGAAGAAAGCATTATTATGATGCAAAAATATAATAATAACAATTAAAATGCGAATATCTAAATTTAGAAAGACTTTAATTAGCTTTTTGAAAAGCATAAGAAATAGTAATATTTTTATCTTAAATTAGACTATTTAAACCAAAATAACAAATTCATTTGAAGTAAACAAAGGTCACAGCAGAGAAAAGGAAAAAATCAGTTGATCTAACTCAATCTAAATCAAAATCTAAGTCAAAAGAAAGAGAAAACAACCTAAATAAAGATAAAGAAAAAAGAAAAACTCCATTATCATTTGAAGAATCATATAAAAGAAACATCTAAGATTAGTTGAAAAAACTAAATTTCATTGTTGAGAAATCTTTGAATAATAAGTGACAATTCATTAAATTCATACTAGAGTAATAATAGAACATATACTGATTATAAAATTTCTAAAATAAAGTTATTTGCTTCAAGTATCTTTCTAGTTAACATATAAAAATATATAATATAAATTAATATAAATGCAAAAATAAAAGAATAACTTAGTTAATCAAAAAAATGAATAAATGAAGTTGTAATTATTATAAAAATTGACGCAGTAATAATAATCTGTTATTGCAGTAGCAAAAGCATAAAATTACTATTAATTTGACAATATATTAATTAACTCGTTGATAAACCANAAAATTATTAATAAGTCTGCATTAAACCACTTTCATACTTATCCTCTACTAAACCTAACACTTAAAAATAATTACCTTCCCCTCTTAATAAAACTGTTTTCATTTAAAGAAATCATCTTGATTTCAATTACTTTGAAGAACCTTCAATAAATCTATAAATCTAAACTGGTAGAAAAAAATTAAATAGAGAATTCTAAGAAAGGGATATCAATCTTAAAATATAAGATAAAGTTATTTCTTAATAAAAGACTTCAACAAATGTACAAAGTAGTAAATCTTCACCATAAAATAAACCACATTAATAGAAGACAATCTATAAATAATCCATTCGTAAACCTTAAGATTTTTCTTTCAGATTTGATACAACAAAAACAACCTTCACTACCAAAACAGGTTTAAAAGGAAAACAAAGCTTTAAATATCGAAGTTATTCCAAATATGATTGATTTATATATTACTAATTAAATTATTTATATTTATCAAGTATTCCGAAACTCAAAGATACTATGTAAAACTAACTTAAATTTACTTTAATAAAGAAAAAAAAAAGATTTACCACAATTTTTATTGTTTTAAGTTAAATAAATGATATTACAAAATTTTAAAATTGATTTAACAAGTTTATTTAAATTTATTTCATACTTAAAAGTATAAGGGTGTGTTCAACTTTATTAATAATTTGAATTTTAAATAAAAAATTTTAATTTGTAAAATCGTGTTGTAAAATATGAAAAAAACAAATAAATTTAAGTAGAATTTTAATGAAAGGAAATTGAATCAATTCATAAGCTCGTAGAACAAATATAAAAATGTCAATAATAACTATACAAAATAAATTACATAATTCAAAAGTTATATTCAAAATAATTTTTAATGATTTCTTAAAATAACTCAATATTTATGATATTTTAGCAAATAATTTAACAATAAATTTATTTATATTAATATTATCTTTTAATTCAAATAATCAGTTAGATATGTCAAACAATAGAAGTAATGTATAATAAAATAGATTAGATTATTCACCATCAAGAGAGAGAGTAGCAAAAATAAGTTCTTAATTAAGTTAAATGGATTTAACAATAGAAGGAGAGAGAGTAATAAAATAATTATATATATAGACAAAAAGAATAGAAGAATCAGAGACAAGATTAGATTAATTGGAATCAGGATTGAATGAATTAAATGAATAATTAAGTTAAAGAGTGGCCTTGATTAAAGATAGTGTATTGAAATTATAGAAAGTTTTGGATTAAACAAAATTATAAAGAGAATAACATTTTGAATAAAAATAAAAGGAATATATAGATTTAGAGAATTCATTCAATTAAGCAGTTGAAGGATTGACATCATCAAGAAAAGATGGAGAATAAAAAATTATAAGATTTATTGAAGAAAAAACAGGATTAATAAGAAGTGAATTAAGTACAGAAAGTAGAACAAGAAATGAAAATATTGAGAGATTGAATTAATGTTTAGAAACTGATTTACCAAGATTACATGAAGCTATTAAAACAGAAGTAGCTGAAAGAGAAGAAATGGATTCTAATATATCTAGAAAAATGAATGAAGAATTAAGCAAATTAAACTAATTGTTAGTTTAAGAGAAAGTTAATAGATAAGAATCAGAATAAGCAATCTTTGATATGTTAAAAGATGTTGTTAACAGAATTAAAACTGAAGTAGATAATGAAAAAAAATAAAGGTTTCTATTATTATTTATTATCTTTCTAGAGAATCAACTGAAGAAACACTTTTAGCTTTATTAGAAGATACTTGCAATAAAGTTAATGCAGCTTAACTAGCATGAGTTAATAATCATTATTCATTAAACAAAATAAAATATTATTATTTATTATTTAATTCATTCTTTTATTTCTTAATTAATATTATTAGTTACTACCATTATCTATTTTATTTTTATTTACATAACAAGTTAAAATTAACCTATTTCACATTAAGAATTAAGAGAATTTTGAAGAAGAAATTCTTAAGAAGCCTTTAATAGATTGAATTTTGTTTTTCATGATATTAGAAAATTTTTTATAATAATTTTAGCCTAGATTTTTCTTCTAATTACTATCATTTTTTCTTCTGGATAATATTTAAATTGAAGCATCTAAAACAATAATTTCCTCGATTAAATTCAAATTTTCTATAATCAAATAGTTTTTATAAATTGAACTCTACTTTAAAAATTTTTTTAATAGGTTCTGGTTTTGATTCTCATGGTATTTTTTTGAATAAACAAGCTTAGAATATGATAAATTAATCGAATTGATATGATTTTTTCTTGTATTATTTTTTTTTTATTTGTTATTAATTCAGAAATTTCTTCATTTTTATCAAGTTAAGATAATTTTTGGTCTATTTTTTGGCATTCAGTAATAAAAATTTCGTTTAAATAAAGAAACCTGTTTTTGAGAAAATAATATTTTCTTATTTTTTGTTGTTATAAATAATAGAAATTTTTTGTATTGGATTAATTATCTTTCATTTTTCGAAATTATTAAGTCCATCTAATTAAAAATCAATATGTTTTTTAAAAGAATGATTAATAACAGGCACTTAATAAAATTTCAATTTTGTTAAATATCTTTGTTTAAGATTATTGTTTTTAATTTTTAGTTATTTTCTTAGTTAACAATTATTTTATTTAAGAAATAGATAAATAAATAAAATAATAAAATATATTAATGAATATTCAAGATAAAGGTACCTTTAATAAAAATTCTAATTGATGTTAATTATATTACTTGAAACAATATTATGATTATTTAATAAAATTGTAATTTATAATTAAATTATAAAAAAATAATAAAATGAGTGATTAATAATAGAAAGGTGAAAGTCAAGATAATTCTAGTTTGGAATCCTCTTAAGATGAATAATAATAGAAAACAATAAAACCTGCTGAATTAATTCTACTTCCAAAAGTTTATTCTCAATCTCTTAATAATGAATAACCATCAACAAGAGAAGAAAGAAAAATAAAATAATATTTATAACGTATAAGAGAATAAGAGCGTTTAGAGGAAGTATGTTTCTTTTAAATTTAGATTGATAAAGGCTGCCACTTTAAAAAAGAAGCGATTTAAAGTAAAATATCATATTAAATATTTTCAGGCAAACCCGCCATAAAAATAACAGGATAATTTAGATTTGGCAATAAATGCAGAAAATGGAGATGAAGAAGGAAGGTATAGATTATTTTGTCTAAACATTAGTTTATTGACAGCCCCAGCTATACAAATAAATCCTTAAGTATTGTAAACAGAACAATAATCTGAAATACAAACATAATAATTAAAGATGAGACTAAATCCAAAATTAAAAATAAAAGTAATCTTGAATTATAACTATAGGAAAAACATCATGTTTATATTTATTTAGCAAATTGTTAAGATCAAAGTTTAGAAGGATTTTAGTAATTAACATCTAAAGCAACTTAATTTTATTCACCTTAAAAATAACTCAAAGAATAATCAAGTTTAAATCAAATAAATTAAGATGTATTTTAAGAAACAACCATCATTATTAAAAACATAAAAAATCAATATTAATAATATATGGATTAAATCACTCATGCAAACTTAAATGATTAGAAAGACTTCTTTATCAAATATTTAGATAAAAAGTACATAGAAACTGTACTTAGAGATAGTAAAATGTAGATTTAAAGAAAATAAATAAATGATAAACAACCATTAATTGGAAAGTAGATTCCAAAAAAATATTGATACTTATGAATAAAATCAAGTATTAAAATAAATCTGTTTTCTTATTTCTATCATTTATAATAATTATCTTTTATTTAAAGTATTAACTTGAGTATTTAACTTATTTTTTGTAAATATATTTATACAAGTTCTAAGTTTTTGAGATTTAATAAATATTCATAATTAATTAAAATGATTTCTTAGATCTAATCAATGTCCCTTTTAAAATATGAAAGGTTTATTTTAGAAGATAATAATTCTGGTTTGAATAAACCCATATGCTATAATTGAATGATTATTAAATAAAAGATTTCATCTCAGGAAATATGTTTAAAATCTTACTCTCCTTTGATAAGATTATTAGAATAATAATGAAATTAAAGTAAATTAGTTATTTATAGTTACCAATTAGATGAAATCCTTTTATTTAATAAATTGATATATTAAACTTGATTTCCTTATTCTCATTATGATAATTATTTCTAACTTACCAGCAATCTACATTTTACTTATAACAACTCTATGATACTATCTTATGCAATTACTCTCATTTTGAAAGCATAACTTTTATCGTACTATCTTGGTTTATCTTGATCCATTGCATTTAAAACATCTAAATAATCTGACATTTAATTATAAATTGCAGATTATAATTTATTTTCCACTTTTTATAATAACTATTTACATTTCTCTTAATATAACTTCTATTCCATTATATTATGTAAGAAATTATTCTTAATATAACAAACTTTTATCTTAATAAACTTATAAAATCTATGCAGTTATATTTGAATAATAATAATAAAACTACAAACTTGACAATCATTAATAGCTTTTTTATTTTTATTAGATTTGATATAGCTCTATTTAACCATAAAATCTTATTATTTTTTAACTAATTCTAATGCTTAAGAATATTTCCATTCTGCTTTATCATAATCTTCTTTATTTTAATATGGAAGGAAGAAGATATGAAAAAAGCAGAAAAATTAAATATAGAAAAAAGGAAATGAATTCTTTTTCTTTCTTTATTCCATATCTAATTCTAAAGTCTTAAAAGATTGGATCATCTTTAAGTACTATTGGTTAAGATTCTATCTCTTCTTCTAAACTATTATAATATTTCCATTTTCTATGAGTAAATGTACTCTTTTTCCATAATATTTTTTCTATCTTCTCCTTTAATTCAAATTTCTTTTTCTTTTGTTACTTTATATTCTTATCTTCTTTATACTTTTCTACTTTTTCTAATAATTAATTATATCATCTCTCTTTTAAAACATTAACATTTATCTGTTAATTTGGCATATTCTAAATAACAATATTTACAAAAACTAACATGATCTTTATTCTATCTTTTTTCTTCTTCCTCCTCTTTTAAATTAATTATTTTATATACTAGCATCTTCTTTTTTTTCTCGTATTCTAATCGTTTTATTCTTATCTTTATTATTTCTTCATCATCTTCTTTTTAGATTTGCCTTATTTTATTTCTAATTTATTCTCTAACTATTTACTTTACAACTTCTTTATTTTCTCATCTACTTATTCCACTTCTGCAAGCCATGCTTCCATTTCTTCAAAATCCAATTAACTTTCAAATATTAATAGTTATATTATATATTACTCTTTCATAAAAATCTAAATTAATATATAATAATTTATTCAATCAACCATGAGTAGATTATTTTTATTAAAGTAATTTTGCATTCTATGCTATCAAACCTTATTTCTCTTATTACATATAATAGTATTCTCGATAAAACATTTAATTCTACAATTGTAATTATTTCTGTTTTATTTACTATTAATACTATTATTCTTCCTTTTACAATGCCTCAAAATTTTATTATAACATTTATAATTCCTTCTCCTAATTCTTTTCTTAACTTTAATTTTCAAATTGCAATTCTTATTTATTTAATTATTCAAGTTCATTTTCACACTATTCTAAGGCACATTGTAAATCATTAAATTTTTTATAATTCATAACCAAAAATTTTTTCATTTAATCAATGTTTTGATTCTCTGTATACAATTTAACATTAAATATTAATTATTCCAAATGATCACTTTTTATTTTTGTTATATGCGGTAATTCTTCAATATTCGATTCATCAGTTTTCAGCGTATATTTGTTTTCCTTATTTCCAACTTTATTGAACATCTAACTGTAATAATTAATTTATATTAAATAAATTCCATCATAATTATTAAATTCAAAAAATAAATATGATAATTATTGTTATTTTATTATTAGTATTAAAATTGAAATATATTTAAAATAATTAGTATTATATTTCTAACAGTTATATATATTTTTTTCAATAAAGATTTCATGATTATATAGATTTTTTTTAATTTAATTATTTTACAATTTAACAAATTTTTAAATGTGAATTTTCAATAAATTTATTCTAAAGTTCTTTTACTACTTATTGAGTAATTTTCGATTCTTTTATTTCGTAAAAGAAAATTAATGATTAATAATTTGACTTTATTTTCTATAAATAATTGAATGTTAAAATTATTAATATTGGTTAACTTATTAAAGGAAATTCGAACAAAAAATAAATTTTTTGAAGTATTTAAACAATTAAATTAACTTATAAATACAATATATTAAATTTTGTACAGATGATGTCATTTGAATAGAGGAATTATTTAATAGTCTTATTAATATGGTGTCTAATAACTTTATGCTATTGTGAAACAATTGTTTACAATAATTTTATCGGTGGACTCAGTGATTCATAAGTTGGTAAAATATTTGATAACTAATCTTAGATTGGTGGATTAGGTATTCAGGTCCATACTTAAGTAATTGTGGATCAACATAAATTTTAGGAGGATAAATATTTGGGTCATCACATTATATAGTAAAAACATTTGAGTTAAATCCACATTATTCTTTAAGATTAAGATTTTACTTTTGGAGGTGTTATATTAAATAATAATCATAGAATTGATCATTGGAATGGGCATAGATTTAGAGTATATGTAGATAATATCGAAAAGCATAATTAATAATATTACTATAGTTCAAGTTCAAATAATATTTGTGGATACTCATATTCTGATGAATCTATCCTATTGGATTTAAGTACTGATCACTCAAGCCCTACTACTTAAATCTTAATAGCAGGTGGCTTTTATTGGGGTATTTCAAATTTTGAATTATTTATTGAAGAATGTCCATTAGGTTGTGATTCTTGTGATTCTAATGGATGTTTTAATTAAATATTATTTTAGCAATATTTTGTTTAGAAAAAATTTAATGGTATCTATTTTAATGAAGGATGGTTATCTGCTAATCAAATATTTGAGAATGGTATATAATGGAATTAATTTATAACTTGTAGAGGTATTAATGATAATGTATTCTAGATTATTCTATTCACTCATCATCTTATTCTACTTTAAAAAAAATAATCACATTAGAAGCTCATGATGCTATTGGTCTTTCACTAAAAATAATAACTACAAATTTATAACATTAAATAGATTTGTTAATAGATGATGTATTAATAATTTATTCACAGATTTCTTAATAAGTAGTACTAAATTCATATACTTCATGTGATTATTATGAAATCATAAATCAAATCAAAATAAAATAGCATTTCCATAAAAATAATAAAATAAAAATAACAATTAAAGCTCGATCTTTGTCAAGAATCTCAAATTCCTATAATTGTTGTTATTTTGGAATTAGAGATTTTTAGCTATTTATTCGACCATTTTTAAATGATGATTATTGTGATGATGAAAATGTATATGCATTTGATGGATGTTTTGTTTAAATTTATGATTGCGTTGAAGGTTGTACAAACTGTGTCAAAGGCATATGTTTATAATGTTAGGAAGGTTGGGAATATTAAGAATAAACTAAGAAATGTTTAACAATTTGTGGTGATTCTTTAATTACTCATTTTGAAGAATGTGATGATGGTAATAATATTGCATATGATGGATGTTATTAATGTAAATACTCTTGTCCTTTAGAATGTTTATTGTGTTAATTTGGATCATGTTTGAAATGGAAGACATCTTATTAAGAATTTAAAAATTATTCTTATAGTGATAATTTGAATCTGAAATTACCAACAGGATAAAAAAATGAAAATCACAATTAATGCTAATATTTGTATGATTCATTGGAATGTTATAAATATATTAATAAGTAAACATAGTTATTTTTAACTTGTGATTCTTAGTATAAAATAAATGAAAAAAGATTAAAACAATATAGTAAATAAATATGTGGTGATTCTATTATTACATGTAATGAAGAGTGTGATGATGGCAACATTATATAATATGATGGATGTTATAAATGTAAATATTCATGTCCATTGTATTGTAATGAATGTAAATTTGGAATATGTAAAAAATGTTTACATAAATATTAATTATTATATGGATAGTGTTACTATATTTGTGATGGTTCTGAAAATTATTAAGTTTAAGAAAATAAAGGTTGTTATAATAATATTAATAATTTGATTGAAAATGGTCATTACTAATATGATCTTTTGAATAACATACATTCTAAATATAAAATAGTAAGTAGTTTAACATGTAATCTAGAGGATTATGGAATTTTTGGATATTTTTATAATTAATGTAAAATATCAGAAATACTGAATTGTAAGGAAACTCTTATGAATAAATGTTTAGAATGTGATAAATTTTATGGATTAGACAATAATAAATTGACATGTAGTCCAATATGTAATGATGGAATTGTAATATAATAAGAAATATGCGATGACTAGAATAATATTTAATTTGATGGATGTTATAAATGCAAATAAAGTTGTTTATTAGAATGTATAAATTGTATTGGTAATAAATGTTATTAATGTCTTGATGGTTGGTAACTTTTGGATTATAGATGTTATTAATTTTGTGGAGATGGTAAAATAGCTGAATCTTCAATGGAATAATGTGATGATGGAAATTATATTGAAGGAGATGGTTGTTTTGAATGTAAATTTGAATGTTTTCCATATTGTGAATCTTGTGCTGATAGAAATACTTGTTTACTTTGTTAACAATTCTTTGAATTACATGATGGTAAATGTAGACCTATATGTGGAGATGGTTATGTTTTAGATGGATTAGAAGAATGTGAAGATGGTAATATCATTCCTTATGATGGTTGTTATAATTGTTAATTTTAATGTGAAAAAGAATGCTAAACTTGTAATTCTATAGGAAAATGTGAATAATGTATAGAAGGATATTAAATTATTGATAAATCTTGTTAAATCAATAATGAAATTAATAATTATAATAATGATGATGAAGAAGAAATAGAATAAAGTCAATGTGGAAATGCTATTTATACAAATGATGAAGAATGTGATGATGGTAACTTATTAAATGGTGATGGATGTTCAAATTAATGTACCATTGAATTTAATTGGTTTTGTAATAACACTATTAATAAACTCAGCAATTGTGTTCCAAATACTGTCATTGTATTAAAATATCTTAATCAAACTATAGAAAATTAATATGTCTAATTAACATTCTCTAATCAAGTTAAATTAAATTAAGTCAATCTTAATTTTACTAATTAAATTAAACTATCTATTCAACCAGCAATCTAAAATAATAATTATCTTATTACTATTATACCTGTAGTTGAAATTTAAGAAAAAGTTCTACTTGATGTAATGTATATCATTTAAATTAATATCCTTGAAACTATTACAACTTAAATTAATCTTAATGTTGAAATTAATGCTAAATTAGAGGACTCATATTAAAATGAAGTTAATACCAGTATTTAAACTATTAAATTATTAACATCTAAAGTCTTAAGCAATACTTAATTGTAAACTGCTAATAATTTTTAAGCTTTAGGATTTTGGATGATGATAGGATTATCTATCAGTAGCCTTATGCTTTTATTATTTGGAGATCCTACTTAATGTATGGAAATCTTAGATACTTTGTAATTTTAATCATATCTTAAATATATAAATGTTAGCTTTCCTTAAAATCTTTTAATTTATTTTGAATCATCAGAATTTGTAACTATTTAACCAGCTTTGGTCCAATTTAAAATCATTGATTTCTTTGAATATTTTATTGGATATTAAAATCTAAAAAGTATTGGAAAGTTCTTTGAATATTAATTAAATGCAGATTTATTAATCAGCATTTATGGATAAATGACATAAATTTGCTTTTTAATAGGATTACATGTATTCCTAAAATATTATACATAAATAATATATGCTTATTGTTTTGGTTCTAAGTATATCTATTATTTAAGAGTAATAAATAACAAAATCATTATAAACATTGGAATTAAAATTTATTATCTTAATAACAAGATATTAAAATTAAAAAACTTATTTAAGATATCAGGTTTAATTTAATTATTCCATGCTAATAGCTGGGATTTAATATTTAAAGTTCTGCTTTATTTAGAATCTAATTATATTTGGTATGGATAACGATAAATTATTTCTAACATCATATCAATTGGATATTTAATAGTAATTATGATCATTTTGATTAAAAATTTTACAGGATACAAAAGAAAAGTAGTATTAAACAATTTGAGAACTGAATAACATGAGAATATTATTTTAATTAAAAAGTTAATCTTTTTAATTGTTCTAATATTAATGTAAAGTTAACCTGTCCTCTAATGTATATTATTAACATTGGTATTGTTATTTTATCTTGGATTTATAGTTATTATAAATTTCACAGCAAATAAACTTGATTTATTAATTATTATTTGGATGGAAGCACCAGTAATGCTCTTTACTTTATCATGTCTTGCTCATTGCTCAGATTTTTAAAAAAAATTAGCAATAGATTAATAAACATTTGTCGGATTTCTTTAGATTGGTCTCTTGATACTAGCTTTAATATCTCCTTTAGTCAGATGTTCATATTAATTCTATGAGAAACTTAAAGCATAATATTTAAAATTCATAAAGGTTAAAAAACGTATTAAATTCAATGTTGATCAAATTTTTTAAGTGGTTGAAATGAAAAAGTGATTGCGTTTTATGTCACTTATATATATTTAAAAAATGAAAAGTTTTTAAATAAAAATTATATAAAATTTTTTAATAATAAATATAAGTACTTTTTCAAATTATATAATTTTTTATTCAGAAAAAAAATTATTACTAAGATAATCTGTATACATCTTTTTAGAATGAATAATATAGATTTTTATTTTTTATAAGAATATCATCTAATTTATAGAAAAAAAAATAATACTGTTTATGTAAAGAAAAGTGAAAATTTATTCACTTTTTGATAACTTTAAAATAGAACTTGAGAGCTACATTAGATAAAAACTGTGTTTAATACAACATTTATTTAAGAAAGTTATTTTGTATTGAAATACAGTATATAACACTTAAATGGAATATAAAATAATGTTTAGACAGATAACTTATCATTTTTTTTTCTAATTATTTTAAGGATTCTAGAGTGCTTCTTAAATCACTTTTTATGCTTAAGGGTTATTTTGCTAATTTTGATTCTAAGGTTTAGCTTTGTTTTAGTCAAATCCATTCATTCCTGTCCTCATCTTTTATTTCATCAATTTTCAATAATTTAATTAATTAAAGAATTAAACAAATAAAAAAGTATAAAAAATAGTATTTATTGCTTAAAGAGTAATTTAAAATTCAAAAAATAAAACAATAAAATTTCATAATTCTAATTCTATATTTTTCAATTTTATTATGTTTAATATTATCTAAGTTATTTTTTTTGAAATAGTTAGATAAGATTTTTTGAAATATAGTATAACTATTTCATTTTGAAATAAACCAAATCATAATATCAATTTTTGAAGATTGTAAATGAAATCAATGCATGCTATAAATTAAAGATCCATCAAATTATGGATTGATTATAAATTTATATTGAAACTATAGTGATCATCATTATACCTATTATTTTCTATTTTTAAAATTAAGGTACTTAAAGTTCATAGAAAGATAAACTACTTTTGCAAAGTTTATCTAATTAACTTTATTAGACTAAAACTAGTGTTGCTTTGAAAATTGATACTTTTTAGCTAATATAAAAATATGAACAATTGAATTTTTATTTCATGAATTTGGATTGATAGATTAATAAAAATATTTGAGGATTTTCTATAATGATTGTTTTCAAAAGAAATAAAGAGAAAGATAAAATTAATAAAATTTATCATTCTATAATATGCTTCTAATATGTAATAGGTTTATGGATTATTTTATTCTAATCTTTGGAATTAAAACTTAAGTAAACAGCAGTCTTTTTTAAATGAGAAGATTTCGCCATATCATACATTAACTATGTAAATTAAATTTGTAATGATCATGTGTTTTAAGGATTCAATTTATATTAACAAATATAGACCATAAATCTTATTCACATTTATATTAAATATGATATAAATTGCTAAAATATTGACTTCATTAATAATAACAAATTCCTATATTATTCATTGATGAAGAGATATATAGGCGATCCTTGTTTGAATATTGTTAATGAAGCTTCGCAATTTCATGGAAGTTATGGATAATGAGAGAATATCGAATAGAATAAGATTATTTTCATTAAGAACATATATATCTTTATTTTCACTTCAAAATAATCTCCTTAATACTTATTACTCAAATATTATTATTTTCTCTCTTTTAAATCATTCTTTGATCATAGATTAGCATGATTATTGATAAAATAATAGTTCACAAAAATGAAATTAAATTTTTAACATTTATCTAGTGATAAGAAATCTTTAAAGATTCTTTCTTTACTTGCCTTGATTTTCTTAGTATTATTTTTGATATCAACTCTATTACTAGATAAATTAACTTACACATAAAAGATATTTTGTCTTTCATAAGTAAATTGCAATGATTATTATGTTTTTCTTGTTGAATAAATAAACTTTATTAGCAAAGTTTTGCTAACCAATTAAAAATGTTAGACATGTACTGTTATTTCTAGAAATATATTTTTGATCTTGTCCATAAATAAAAGCGGAATTCATTTTCCATTTTCAAATTTTAGTATAATTTATTGAACATTTAATGAATTAAATTTTATTTCTACTTATGTTTATTGTAGAGGAAAACTATTGCACATCAAAAATCCAGTTCTTATTATATTTATAATAGAAGAAAAACAAATAAGTCTATTAACTTGTTAATATTAGTAAAAAAAAGTTAAAAAACCTGAATGAATCAAATAAAATTAAATAAAGAATCCATCTTTGTTTAAATCGGTGTTATTCATAGATAAAATCATCTTTAATATAATAAAGAGACACAAGAACTTAATATCAATAACAGAGCATTCTTTGTATTTGATGGGGTTCAAGTATTTCAAAATTTTAGCATAAATATCTGATTTTAAAAGAAAATAGTAAATAGATTAATTAGTAAAATAATCAGATTAAAGACTTAAATTAATTAACATGAATTGTTGTGATCAAAAGTAAAAATTAATTGGTATTAAATAATAAGTTTGTTGCTAATTTGAATCTATAAAATTAAATAAAACGAAAAGCTAATATTAAAATTCAATATTAATTTTCTTTGCTTTTAGTTTAATTTGAAAGAAAGCATAAAAAATTGGATTGAAATAATTATAAAAGGAATTAATTTTCTCAATCATTATAAAAGTGAATAGAAAAATGAATTTAAAATATCATATTTAAATAATTTTTTTAAGTTAAAATTGGTTTTTGCCCAAAAAACCAAAGAAATTCTAAAAAAGGGCTGCCACAAAGTCTTCGAAGAGTAAAATGGAAGGTAATCGCCAATTTTTTTGAATCCTTTGATCATATCAAGCGTCATTCCATTCTCTATTTAAAATGAAGAAGATGAAGTTTACGGTTAGAAACAAGATCTGAATGAGATTTTGTCTTCATCAAATAATCAATATTCAATTTCATAATTAAGATATAAGATTTTTGAAAGATTATGATTTATTTAAAAATGTTGATACCCAAAAGCACTTAAAAGAATACTTCAATAAGTAATCTTTAATAAAAAGTCAAAGAACTAAAATTAAGAACATTATTTATATAATGAAAAAATGGCAAGACAAAATCTAATTTTAAAATTTATTAACGAATTAGATAATCACTTTTCTTAATGGAAAAACTTTAGCATCGTTCTCAAGATATAATTCATTTTGATTCTATTATTTGATAATATATGACAAGAAATTTCTAAATTAGATGAACATAATGGTATTTATCTTATTGAAATGCTTTTCTCCTGATAGAATTAAATTAGAATCTTGTAGTTTACTTAATTTTATATTTTTATGGGATGTTAAAACTAGATAAGTATCATAAATGAGCATAGCCATTATATCTATCTAATTTAGATTTTTGTTGTCTTCAAAACAAAAAACAGCTTGCAATTAAGAAAGCTTATCATTATATGATTATGAAGAGAGAATAATAGATTTAACCCATAAATGATATTTATTCATGTTCAATTATATTTCTCACCTTCTATTATAGATCAAGATCTTGTTAGCATGAATATCATTCCTCAGATCTCTACCTATTCTAAATGTTCTCTTTGGCTATCCTACATTTCTCTCTTGTAATGCCACTCTCGTCTATCTTTGTGGAGAAAGACTCAGTTTGGATAAGTTCCCCTAAACTTCAACAAAAATATGCCCCTAAAAAATTTTATAAAATAAAAAATTGGGTTAATTAAAGTATTGATTGGTTTTAGTAATTTCAGAAAATAAAAAATAAAAAAAATAAGAGCTAATGTGGGTGAATCAACTGTCGATTTGTGAAACAAATTTCTTAGAGAATGACGCAAATTGGAATTCAATTTTTTTTTTTTTTAATTAATTATTTAAATTTTTTGTTTTATCATCACAATCAAAGCAAAACATATTGTAAATAATTAAAATTTAAAAAATTGATTTAAAAAAAAAATTGAAAAAGTAAAGGGCATTTAAATTGAAGGATAACTTATACTAAATGGAAAACCAAAGGGGGCACTCATATAAACAAAGTGAATATTTTTTTTTTTGTAAAAATATTAAAAAAAAAAGTAAAATTCACAATTTATAAGGGACACATTTAGAATTTTTTGTAAATTGCCGAATGTGTTCAAATTTTTGAACCTATCGAAAATAATACAATATCGGCCCCAGAACAGAATATTTTTTTTAAGTTCGAAATTAATTTTAGAAAAAGAAAAAAAAAAAGTACGAAGCTTTTTTTCTTTTTATCTTAATGAAAATATAAAGCTTCTATTAAGGACATGTTGATAATAAAATAATTTAATTCACGTTATTATATAAAACAATAATTTTATTACATTGATTTTTCTTAATTAATTTTAAATTTTTTATTAAGAGATTTAAAGAGAATTCATTAAATCAAATCAAAATAGAAGATTATTCTAAATAATCTTTAAAATCTATTCAATAAAAATTTTGTTCTATTATATTTATCAATCAAATGCATCATCTGCATTAAAATTGTTTTGATGAATGTTGGAATAAGTTATATAAAAATCAATTATTAAGATGTAGATCTTATGGAATATAAACTGTTAGCGTCGAAAAAAATTTATTTCACTTTATTCACTATTAAAATAGATAGGCGTAAAAATTAGGATTATAAAAGTTTTATTAAATTTGAGTAAAAATCTAAGTTTTTATAATTAAGATAAATCAAACTGATAAATTAAATCTTTAAAATAAAAAAATTATCCATCTTTTTTAGATTACAATCCTCATCTTACAGTTAATTTAGTAAATTTAAATTATCAAAAAAAATCATCAAGATATATCTAGTAAGAATATCATTTCTTAATTCACTGCTATTGTGTTGAAGAAAGGAGATTGTTTTTAAAAATTGGTTGTTCTTCAAATGTCAGAAAGAGAATTTATGTGAAAATACTAATTGAAATTATATAAATTTATTTGAAACAGAAAAACTCAAACAATTAGAATCATAAGCAAAAAGATGAAATTATTGCACTCATAAATAAAAAACAATAAAATAAGGTTAATTTATTATATAAAATTCAAGCTTCCCCTTGCATAATTTATTTATTATTAAAAAGATCCCATTTTATTACATCCCATTTACCTACTTTTTTGCCTTCACAATATTCACCACTAAAAGCTACTTAATTTTATAATTTAAAGTCCTAAGAAAACTCAACCCAACTCCCATTCTTTTTTGAAACTCCTTCATAGACTTCATAGCATCCTCCTCCACTAAATAATTTTTATTCTTTTATACCTAACATCCTTACAAAAAGTATTAAACTGCCATCTTCCAATCTTTTAACCTTTTTCATCATATTAACCAACCTAAAGTATTTCCTTAGTATATCCATACTAATCCCATAATTCAATCCAATTTCCAATTTTAATTGAACCTCTTACTTAATCATCATAAAGACCTCCACCACTAATATATAGCATTATATTTACATTGGTTCAGTTTACCAATCTAATAGAACACTAAAAGTATCCCATTTACCTTACTTTTACCCTCTTAAATTATATTTTCCTTTGTAAATAATTTAAATTTTTTCGTAAAACCCTTCATGTACATCAGTCCAATCTCCAATTTTTTTAGAACCATTTTCTTATTCTTGATATTATCCTCCACCACTAAAATAATTTATTAAAATTTGATTTTTACATAATTTTTCCTTTATATATTATGTCCCATTTACCTTTCTTTTATCCCTTTTCATTATATTGACCACTAAAAATGAGTTTTCTACTATCGTTACATCCATCCCTTATTTCTATCCATTATCCAACCTTTATAGAACATCCCTCTTATTCATCATACCATCCACCTCCGCTAAAATATGTATTCAATATTTATTTTACAATTAATTATATTTAGAATAAAAGTGTTCTCCTTTCTCCATAAGTTCCCATCTACCTTTTTTCCCCCCTTTTGTATTATATTCACCACAATAAGTAACTTAAAAGTTATCTGTAAATCCCTCACTCAGAACAATCCACTTACCAGACTTTATTATACCACCTTCTTCTAACTTAACATAAAGTCCTCCACCACTAATATTATTATTAAATTTATTTACATTTTTTCTCCTTCTTACTTTATCTCCCATTTACCTATTTTCTACCCTAACTCATTATAATCGCTTATAAAAGTAACTAAAGATTATTTTGAAGAGTTAATTGACAATTCAATCCATTTCCCAAATCTTTATCCCTTTTAATTATATTATCCTCCACCACTTATATATTATTTAATATTACATTTCTTTGCCTTTATAAATATACTTCCAATTTCCTACTCGATTATCATTAGAGTATTCTCCAAACTCATATCCTATTGATTCACTATCAATATATTCATAAATTATTACCTCCAATAATTCTAAAATATTTCCTTCCATTGTCCTGTTTTTTTTCCATCATTTTTGTATTCTCCTCCAAGACCTTCTACAAATTCATTCTTTAATTTAGCTCTCCATTTACCAATTTTTTAACCTTAATTACCATATTGTCCAACCCATTCAAAAAATTTAATTTATTCTAAATTTGTTAAGATTTCGTATGGCTAATAATTTAATAAATCACTAATTAAATATATATAAATAAATACGTTCTCATAATTGCGCCATCTTTAATATAAACAACTTCTTTTTCTTTATAAATTATATCGAATTTTGTATTAATGTATCTTTTATAATGTATATCATAGATATAGCTTCTAATCTCTTTTATTTCTTACTTTTATTTCTCTTTCTATTCATTAGGTATTATTTATTATAATTAAATACTTTAAAAATTTACATTAAATTCTTATTTCATTATTTAAACTATCTCCTTCATTTCATTTTTACATCTATCATTAAATGACTTTATTTCTACTTCTAACCAATTTTTAGCTTAATCTAATTTCTAGAAATAAGTTTATTTCTTAATTTCCCAATCAACTAAAATACTTCCATTTGATATTAAAACTAATCTTTATAAATCAGCTAATGAAGACTCTAAAGGATTAGTATTCTCCTTTACTAGATTAATATAAGTTAGATCTTCTTTTTCAATCATATCAAAAATATTTTTAATTAACTCTTTTAATTCTTCCAATAAGTTTTTCATTTGATTTTCAGCTTCAGAAATAAAACACTTAAAACTTTAACGTAATTAATTAATTTCTGTTCTATCTTCTAATTTGTGTTCTTAAAGCTTCTATTTGCAAAGTTCATAAAACTATAAATAAGTTTAAATATATTTAAGATCCACATTGTGTTCATCTAAACATCTTACACAAAGCTTTCTTTAGCATTAGTGTGGAACTGTGCAAATTGAAGTTAACCCAGTCTCGTTATGGAAGACACAATAAATCACTTTTTATTATTACATATTATTTTCTATTAATTTTTAAACATATTTTAAGAATTTAATTAAAGTGTTATTATTGTTATTTTTTCGTCGTTTATTTTGATTCTTGTTAAAGCCTCAGGGTCCAATCAAGTCAAAGGAGACATCATTCACACTTGTCTATACAAAAGGTCTTGATCATAAATAGTGGTATCTAAAACTAATCTTTTTATGACTCAAACTCTATGGTTTCTCTTTATTTTTAATATATTTAAAATTAACCATTGTTATAATATATTTTATATTAATTTTTTTTTCTATTCTTAAAGAATAATAATTATTTAAAATAAAATAGAAATACTTTGAATTTAGTTTGATATCATTTGCATATAACCTTTGAGGAATCTACAAATGCATAAGATATTATTTAAATAGTTTAAAATGAGAAATTTGCAATACTCATTATGTTATTAACATTTATCTAAAATTAAAATGAATTTATGTTACACTGCTTGAAATAGATTTGTTCCTTCAATTCAGCAAGTCCGCTTTAACAATTTGGGTTTGACAAATCTACTTGAAAAGTATTGTAAAAATATTCTTAATCTATAAACAATAATAGTTCTAATATAAGGAATCAGTTCTAAACAAATAGATATAAAATTTGGAGATGCTGTTGCAATCTTAATGAAAATGTGGACATTAAAAATAATTATAAAATATTATTGGAAAAGAAAACTTTTCAAGATTTTTTTACATCATTTAAATGGAAAATCCAAATAAAATGTGAATCTCATTTTTTTTTAAAGAATTGAGAACCAAGAATTAAGTTAATCGAAGTTTAAACATTTTTTAAGTTATAGAGCTTTAGAATGAATAAACTCATATTTTGGCCTTATATAATACATGCTATGAATTAATTAGGTTTGGTCATTCAAAAATGTAGTTTATGAAATTTTCTTATTGTTTTTGTTTCAGATCTTTGAGTATGATGATTAGATTAATCTGAAAATCTGTTCATAATTCTAATTTTGATTATCAATCTTAAATTTCAGTTTGAAATCAAGGGTTAAATTATATAGTTCTAAGCTTTCAAGTAACATAAAAATGATTACAGACTTGTTTTATTGTTTATTTGATTAATTTTGTCTATTTATCATCCTATCTTGATTAGTATTTCTATCAATTTTCTTTTTTGAAGAATAAATAATCAATTTATATATGAAAATTAATTACTTACATAAATTTCCTCTCATATTTTGTCTGAAATGATTTGATGAAATATTAGAATATAACTTGAAAGTCAAACTGAGCATATATTGTTATATATCTAGGAATAAAAACTAAAATTTGATACTCCTTACCGGATATAAATGTAAAAATATTGAAATAAAAATTGATAAGACAATTTTTGAAAATTAATATTTTTTTGTCATCTATTATGTATATTTTCTTTCTTAAATTGTTTGGGCAAGTATTTGAAAAATATTTTAAAATTATTTAAGGCAAACTTAATTTACATGAATAGTTGATTAATTGATTGGAGTATTCATATTTATCTAATATTTTAACAGAGCAATAAAAATATTTAAAGTAATAAAATCTTTGCCAAATAAATAATTTAATTACTTTTCTTTTGTAAATTAATTTTTTAATAAGCCCTTAACAATGATGATAGAAGCTAGTCCTTCTAGAAAAAGAAAGATAATATCAAGAAATGAGTTTTATTTATAAAAATTTATGATCATTTTAAGATTCTCTATATAATAGTGAAATATTAATATCTATCTCCTTAAATCCCAATTTGAATAACATTTTTAATCTAAATCCATCTCTTTCTATTATCCAAACTATATGTTATATTTGATCATAAAAATAACCCGCAAATAACAATCTATCCTAATATCAGCGTAAGTTCCTATTTTATTCTTAATCTTTAAACAATGACGAATAAAGATCATCATCTGTTTTGAATTCAATATAATTTATTTTATTTAGATAATATTTATAAATTGATTTTAAATATTAATAAGAACTATTATAATAATAAAATTCAATAATTACTATTATTTTTCTTGCAACAAGAATCAAAATGACAATATTTCAATTTTACTATTGAACTATTATTCCTCATTTACATAATAATTTCATTCTGTCAATCTAATGTTATTTCTTTAAAGAAATATATTCATTCATTTATTTTTGTACACAATAATTGTGATATTCTAATATTTTTTAAAATCTTTGAATTTTTCTATACATGATTAACATATATTTTGAATTTTAAACAAAAAATCATTGGTTGACCTCAAATCAAGCTTTATAAATTAATTTAATTTATTGACCTATAAATATTTAAAATAAGATGTAGACTTTAATTATAGAATATTCAATTATATTTTAAAAAATAGATTGACTTATCTTAATATTAATATAGCCGAAATAACAAAGGCTAGTAAAAATGCATTCTTAATAAAATTGAGTTCAAAACTAGTCCAATATATACTAATGAAGTTTGTGGAACCAAATTATCAAATAAGTAACTATTTTCTTTTAGAAATTAATTTGGCTCAAATCATTAATACACTATTATGTTATTTTGAATAGAATAATAATTTTATATTAATCAAAAAATTTGATGTAAAACTAATAAATTTTATAATCTTAACCTAAAATAAAATGTTGATAATTTTTGATCATTGTTTTCTACTATCATTTAGGAGTTTTTATTTTTTTTAATTTCTTCTAAATAAAAAGGTTTGGAGTCCTTTCATTTTTAATAAACCGATATTTTTTGCCACCAATAGTGCAATCTTTCCTAACTTTTTGGACATTTCAAGACAAACCTATTTAATCTTGAATATATATGAAAAAATTTGCTAATTCTTTAAATGAGGATCCACTTCCCTTGATCCTGGGCCCCTAAGTTATTCCATAATGAAATAAAATGGGTTTTGTTGAAAATTTTCTTCAGTTTTGATTTCTTCCATCGCAAAATATTCGAATCTTCCAAATAATTCTAATAGATGAAATTTGAATTTAATCTTGCTAAATTTGATTCTTGGGATATGGAATCAGTTTTTGTTTACAAAGATAATGTAGTTATTGAAAAAATTATTCATTCTCCTTGGAATGTACTAACCAGTGTTTAATATCATATTTTCCAGACATTATGGAATAGAAATCGTATTCATTTAAGTTATAATAAGGTACTAATTCAGTAAAATTTTCATTTTAAGATAATTTAAAAGATTCAAATGAAGATAAAGAAATAATTTATTTCTAAAATTAGAATCTTGGCAATAAAAGATCTAAGTTTATAAATTAAAAATCTTTGTGTAGAATTTTTAGGGTCTGATTTTTAATAGACACAGTAAAAATTTTTATTGTTTAGGTTTCATAAAGATAAGGAGGAACCTAGAATATAATAGAAGAATTAAATACTTTTATTTTGGATAGTCAAAACGATAGATGAAGTTGGAAGTACAATTAACTTAAGATTAATAAATTAAGTACAAAAAGGATGTTAGCAAATTTTACATTAAATTAGAGAATAAATAAAGGATGCTTCCTAGAAACCTGAGGTGTTAGCAAATTAGGAATAAATAAATTATTTGTAATGGATTGGAGAATATGGCCCAAACAATAAGAAATAAGGATATTGGAGAGCATTGTGGAAAGGGCAGCATATACCAGGAGTTGGTAGAGAGTATTCGATTGATGGAAAAAAAGTAGGAATATGGAAGGATTTATTTAAGAATTATTGGACGTAAGCTATTATTTATAATTTTTTAGTGAGGCTTAAGTGTATGAGATTGGAAAATACAAGAATGATATGAGATAGGGTTCTTGGTAGTAGTTTTATAATTATAAAAAAATGTAATATGATAGTTATTAATTGAATTAGAGGAGAAGGAGAATATAATTACCTTAGATTGAAATGGTTAGAATTATAGGAATGTTTTTTTATAATACTTAAGTCATTTATGATGGCGAATATAATATTAAAGGTCGGAAGATCGGTAGATGGAATATCATAGCTTGGGAATAATTAATATCATAATTTTTAATTGTGGAGGATCTTATGGTGAAGGAGAGGATGAGTTTAAAATTGGGAGATGGGTAGAATTGTGGGAGGATTTCGAATATACTATCAAGTTATTTATCAAGGCGAATATAACAAGAAAGGGATAAAGCTAGACCGATGGGATATATTATTCGATAGATAATAAATGTAAATATTTTTAAGTATTGGTGATCATCTGATAGTGGTGGAGGATCATATGCAAGGAGAGTGGAACGTTATTTCAAGATTGGAATGTGTATAGATTTGTGGAAAGGTTTTAGAGATAAAGCTTAAATCATTTATGAAGGTGAGTGTAATATGAAAGGTATGAAGATAGGAAGATAGAATATTAGTAAGAATATCAATAAAGGTAAATACTTTAAAATTATAGGATGATACTTGCTAGTGGTGTTGGGTAATATGGTAAGGGAGATGTAGTTAATTTCCATAAATTGGCTAATATAATATCAATGTATAGAGAAAAATGAAAAATGTGGGGAAAAAAAATATTATAATTCAATATTTTATAACAAAGATCCATATGCTAATCAATTTAATGTAAAATAAATGGTATCAGTGTTGTTTTCAGATTGAATCATTTTCTTAATTATTTAACCTGAAAACTTATTATACGAAATTATTTTTGGTTAGCTAGAAGATTCAGATTTCAAATAGAATGTACTGCAGTCGAAATTACTGAGCTAATCTATTCTTTATTTCAATTTTGTGGGCTAAATTTAATTCATTAAGAATTTATCTTTTTAAATTTGTTTCACATGATGTTGTCTAAATATTTAATGGTTGATTGTATTATAATTTTAAACAATTTTTTTTGTAGTTGAGATAAAACACAAAATCCATATTATGTATTTCACATTTGACATTAAAGAATAGTGTTCAATCCAAGAAAGTCGGCCTATTGACTTAAAGTAAAAATACAGTAAAAAGAAATTTATAATTTTAATAATTTTAAAAATTGATATAAATTGAGGTTCCTTTTTTATGAATCTTTTATGTGAATGTAGAAAAAAATGATATTTACAAACCATGCTATTTTTTTCATCTATTCTCTTTAAATCAATTTCATTCTTAAAATAAATTTTAGTTTATATAACCTAAACTAAAATTTATTATAATATGTTTCCTCAAAACAATTAAATTAATAAAAATAATCAGGACCCAAAAAAATATAGATATAAGATTATTTCCCAAAATATTAAAATTAATTAGCTCTTTCTAATATTTGAGAATATAATTCATAATTAGTTTAAGAGAAGAGTGAAGAAGATCATTAAGTACCTTTAATTAATTACTGAGATATTATCTTCATAAGAAGGAAGCATAACAACTAAATATGCTTCCATTTTAAGATACAAATATCATAAATAAACATTCTTATCAAATTTAATCATCTATTTTTGAATAAATATCTCTTCTCAATAAAGAAATTCCGTTTTTTTATCCTATTAAGTGTGATATTCAGCAAATAACTTCAAATGTAACTATAAATTTTAAAACTATTTCAAGTTTAATTCTTTCCCCGTTCAAAAATCTCCTCTCAAATTAATTTAAATGTTTTGATTTATTTATTATCAATTATTTTCTATATTGACACCTTTTAATGTCGTCTAGATGATTTTATCTTTTAATTCTTCCAAAACTGGCTGAAAAATTTTCAATTTGATTAAGTTTCTCAAGATTAAAATACTTTAGATTTTTTCAATAATTTAAATTGGATAACAGACACTCTTGAAATTCAATGATAATAATATATTGTTAAGAAAATTAAATTACTATATATGTATCAGATTAAAGATAAATATTCAATCATGTGATAAAAAATAAGAAGTCAATTCAATCAAAGTTAAAGGATATTATAATATTTATTTAAGTAGAATCTAATTATAATTTATCGTTTAAATTATTTAAAAAAAAAGGTGGAGCAAGGGGAGGATGATAAAATTGAAATTTGGAAAGTGAATTGATTTGAATGATTATTTTGAATTGATTTTTTAAACTTACAGAGACTAAAAATAATTTAAAAACTCAAGCAGATAAGATTATTATGGTGAGATAGAATAAATTTCAGATATATTTTTATAATTAATGATTGTTATGTTTAAACATATAAAGAAAACAAAAATTTTGGTTCAATTTATAAATTATATCTGATATAACAAGTTTTATTTAAGGAAGCGTATCACTCTCCAAAACTCCTCTTTTTTAAAAAATATAACAGCTTAAATTTAGAAAATTGTCACAAAATAAATACAAAATCTAAATAATATAATAATCCCTTAAAATTATCTAATAAACCTATAAGTGATTTTAAAATTTTCGTTTGATCTTCAGCACAGATTTTCCAACGATCTATCAATTAATTCAATATTGAGATCCATCTTTATTTTTGGGAGTTTAGGTATCTCAACAATTTTTATCTCTTACAATATGATACAATTTATTTAATACCTTTAATGAATTTCATCTATTTCTAAGTATGTCTCCAGTTCTTTCTAGATTCTCTCAACTTAACATCCTCTTCATCAAATTTTCCACCTCCACTAACACATTATCACCTCTACTTAAATAAAATTTACATGAACTTATTTTTACCATCATCATTTTATCATAAAAAATCCCATCGGCCTACTTTCCTGCCTTTTAGATTATACTCACCTTTATAAGTGATTAACTTAGGTGCCTAACAAAGCATTTATTCTAATTTATGTGTTTCGATTACTTAAAGTTTAGAATAAATTATTGTAAAAAGGATATATCTTGACAATTTTGATGAAAAAAATCCAAACTTTGTTGTAAAAAATAATGATCATAATTTCAGGATTGGGATGAATCAAATAATTTTTATTAGCTTAATATCATCTTAATATAACACTGGAACTTTAAGTTTAATAAATTAGTAAAAATTATTGATGTAATTTTAATTGAGATTTTGTGATTTCAGAAGATGGGAAATATGAGAATATTTAATTAAGAATCCTGAAATAATTTGATTAGCTGATAATTCATCAATATCATTGATTGAATTATTCCATATTCTTAATCTTTTACTTAATCAAGTCGATAAGCTCTGAATATTATTTTCAAATTTATCATAATCCTCTAAGTTTCTAATATCAAATTATAATCAGGCATAAAATTTATAGAATATACATAAAGATTCTATAAAAAAGAAAAATTTTTTTTACGATTACTAAATTTAGAAGACCAGCCATCTCTTCCAAAAAACAGGTAGAATAAGATTATTTGAGCAATCTAAAGCACATTGTAGTTTACATTATAAATTTTAATAACTATCTAATACCATTTGTTAACAAGTGAAATTTTTTTTAGTTATAAAAAAATGTTTTCTCTCTTAAATTGTTTTTCACAAAAAAATGTTATTTTAAACAAAGAATTTTAATTTAGACTCCTCAAAAAGCAAACCATGAATTATCTATGTTGGGCAATAGAAAGATATAAATTAAGGTTATCAGATAAAATAGACATATGTTCAATACAAAATTTATTCTCTTTTGTGAAGTAATTTGAAAATGATGATAATGGATAGAGAATTACAATCATATGAAACTTAAATATACCATACAGTAATTAGCAAACTGCATTCATAAAAAACTAGAATTATAAATTTATTGACGATATACTTAATGATTTTTGTTGAATTCTAAGAAATAAATCATAATCACACAAGGAAAGATTTAGGTTTAAATAATGCATAATGGATATTAATTAATATCATATATTTAAAAGGAATATATTAAATTAAAGCTAAAATATTGAAATTCAAGATATTATTGAATTACTATTTGAGTTTCAAAATAATCATTTCATTTGTCCAACAAGAAACTTCCTTTTTGCTTAAATAATATCTTTAAATCTATGCCTAATTGATTGTCAAATTATCCGTTGATAATTAAAGCTTTTTATGATTAAAATACTGGCTATTGAGATATAAGGAGGATATTAATATTCGAGGTAACTAAGTATATATAATAAATACGATTATCTTGAGGAGGATTGTTTTAAAATAGTGAAGTATTAAATTATGATTAACATTCTTTATAACTGTAATCCAAACTTTCCAATTATTATTCTGTTCTAACATCCCATATACGGATAGATTTATCATCGCTACAAGATGCTAATTTAGTACCATCGAAAGAGAAGCAGACCTATCGGACATAATAACCATGGCCATCCAAAATAGCTTTTTGCTATCCTGTATTAGTATCCCATATACGGATAGACCTATCATCACTTCCAGAAGCTAATGTAAATCCATCAAAAGAGAAGCAGACGGATCTGACATAATCATCATGACCATCCAATTTAGCTTTTTATTATCTTGTCTTAACATCCCATAAACGGATAGACTTATCATCACTACCTGATGCTAAAACAGTTGCACAAGGAGAAAAACATACTGATAAGACAATTCCATCATGTCCATTGAACAAGGCTATTTATTATCTTGTCTTAAAATCCCATAAACGGATAGTGTTATCGTCACTACCAGATGCTAAATTAGTATGATCAGGAGAGAAACATAATGTTCGAACAGTATCACTATGACCATCAAACTTAGCTTTTATTTTTCTGGTCTTAATATCCCATAAACGAATAGAGCAATCTTTATCTTCATAATCATCTTCATCTCTTGATGTTCCACCACCAGATGCTAATGTAGTGCCATCAAGAGTGAAGCATATCGAGTAGACTTTATCCCTATGACCATCCAATTTGGCTTTTTATTATCCTGTCTGAACATCCCATAAACGTATAGACTTATCTGCACTACTAGATGCTAATATCATGCCATCAGGAGAAAAACAAACATAATTGACTTCATTACTGTGACCATTGAATTCAGCCTTTTACTATCCTGTCTTAACATCCCATAAACGGATTGATTTATCAGCTCCACCAGATGCCAATATAGTAGAACAAGGAGAGAAGGATACTGACATGACAGTTCCATCATGTCCATCTAATTACGCTTTTTCTAATTCTGTCTTCCAATCCCATAAATGGATAGAATTATCGCCACTACCAGATGCTAATACAGCACCATCAGGTGAGAAGCATACTGACCAAACATCACTAGTATGACCATCCAATCTGGCTTTTTATACTCTTGTCTTTACATCCCATAAGCGGATAGAATTATCACAACAACCAGATGCTAATATAGTACCATCAGGTGAGAAGCATACTGACCAAACATCACTAGCATGACTATCCAATCTAGCTTTTTATTATCCTTTCTTCACATCCCATAAACGGATAGAATTATCTCCACTACCAGATGCTAATACAGTACCATCAGGTGAGAAGCATAATGACCAGACTTTACAAGTATGACCATCCAATTTGACTTTTTATTATCCTTTTTTTATATCCCATAAACGGATAGAATTATCGCCACTACCAGATGCTAATACAGCACCATCAGGCGAGAAGCATACTGACCAGACATTACAAGTATGACCATCCAATCTGGCTTTTTATACTCTTGTCTTTACATCCCATAAGAGGATAGAGGTATCTCCACTGCCAGATGCTAATGTAGTTCCATCAGGAGAGAAACATACTGATCGAATATAAATTGCATGCCCTTCCAATTTTGCTTTTTACTACCTTGTTTTAACATCCCATAAGCGAATAGATTTATCGAAACTACAAGATGCTAATGTAGTACCATCAGGAGAGAAGCATATTGAGTAGACTTCATCGCTATGACCATTTAATTCAGCTTGTTATTGTCCTGTCTTAATATCCCATAAACAGACAGAATTATCGCCACTACCAGATGCCAATGTTGTATAATCAGGAGAGAAACATACTGAGTAGACTGTTTTCTAATGGCCTTCTATTTTATGTAGTTCATGGATTCTAAGGCTTTTCCATTTACAATTAAATAAGTAAGCACCATTCAAATTTAATCCACTTATATTTACATTATCGAATTCAGATCCGCTCAAATTGCATCTTACAAAATTACCTCCAGTTAAACAGGTATTCTAAATCTTGATATTTCCAAAAAATTGATTTGTGAGATCAACCTTCATTTAAACTAATAAGTTTAATGAATTTGATCCACATTATATCAATTAACTATCTATGGATGAGAGGTGAACTAAAAATTTTAAAAATTATATAATCTTTTCTTCATTTTTTATTTTTTTGATTAGGTCTTATCTAACTTTTAAGTTCATTTTAGTTAAATAGTCATTTTTATTAAAGTCATGATCTTTAATTGATTTTATAATATTTGTAATTTTTTTCATGTTATTTTTTGCTGCATTTAACTTTTCTTCTTCATCCGCAAACTATAAATGTATTGATTATTAAATTTATTATTCATAATCTTTCTTATTTTCATTATCTGAAGTAAGTTCTAAATAGTTTGAAATTTTTTCTTTTTTAAACATTTCAATTATCAAACTGTATATTTATTCATCAATATCTTTTGCTGAAGCAAAAACCTCGAACAAATCTTCTTTTTATTTCATTTTTGTTTAGTAAAACTATTTTTTAATTTCTATTATTTTGTTTTAAACTTTATACTTCAAATAAAAAAAATATCTTCTGTCAAAATATTAAGATCAAGACAGAACTTTGTAAAGGATTTGGTTTTGCTTTTTATTGAGATAGAATCAGCAAATTTAATGTTAAATAAACCTTTGTATGGGTTGATTTTTAAAGAATATAGAATGCATCATTGCTGCAAATTTACATTGATGAGTTAAAAAAGCGTAGAAAAATAGATTTTAGCTCAGTTTAATAAATATTTAATACCAAAGTCAAAAAAAAAGACTGAAAAATAAGGTTTATATGTCAGGGAAAAAAAATTTTATTTTCTCTGACAAAGTTTGAGAAATTGTAATTTGATAAAAGTTTCAAGTTTATCATAGGAAGGCTTAATTAAATGCATATGCATAATCAAATTTACATTTAAGAAAGCAAAAAACATGAAAAATAACTAGATTTATGTATCAATTTTGGATTAGATTAGATATAGAAACATTTTACTTCAAAATGCTTTCATGTTTTTTTTTTTCGTATTCTTCTCCTTACCAAGCTTTCACTTTATTTGGGAAGTTTATTGAATAATTGATTAGTAAATAAATTCTTAATTAGATAAGAATTTATTTAATGAAAGAAGACTTTTATATACGATAGAAAGTATATGAATTGAAAAGGGCCTAATCCTAAAGGTAAAGAAATAATGTATAAAATATATATAATTGGGTCACCTATTAATTTTAGATATGACTATATTGATCAAATACATGGGAAGACTTTTTAAAAGAATTAATAAAAGTGATTTAAAACAAATACCTAATCAAAATATAACAGAATATATTAAGAAAAATAATAGAAAAAGAAAAATTTCTATTAATAGTAGATTTTAATACACATTTTAAAAAAAGTTAATCAACTGTAAGATAAAGAAATAAAATAAAAGATATAAAAAACACAACCAGAAAATAAATATCAATAATTGATTGTGTAAGAATGGAATGATTAATAAAGAAATAATAGAGATAACTTAAGTAGATAAAGTAACTGTTGATGGGTATGCTAGTTTAAAAGAAGAATACTTCAGGAAGAATTCTTACATCAACAAAAAATGTTTAACAATCAGATGATTCATTCACAATCTAACAAAGAACTTATTACTAAATTAAAATTATCAGACAAGGAAAGATCACCAGAATGAACTCTCAAACATAACAAATCCTCAATAGATTCAAGATAATAAATTTTTTTTAGATTATTTTAAATATCTATTTAATATTAATAATGAAGAAAAAGGAGGCATCACTATTTGTTTTGATGATGATCTTATAACTTTCTGTTTGTTAATGGACTGGAATAGTAGGTTATTATTGTGAGGATTAAAAATTTATAAATGAAATAAATGTTGGAGGCTTTAATGCCCCTGCATAATCAAAAAGGGCATAATTTATAGATTGTATGATTCCATCTACCAGCTATATAATTCTCTCTTCAGAATAGAAAATTTTACAAAGCGAAAGTGAAGTAGAATTGATTTCAGGAGATTATATATCCGTGGATTTATTTTTTTAAGGTACTTGGTCAAATGGGATAATAACTATAAAAATAGGAGGATTTAATTATCAATTTTAGTATTCTTCGCCTAATTAATATCCATAATAGGATGGATTTTGTGATAATATCTAAAATGATGTGAAAACAATAAAAATTGAAATTACTTCGTCAGAAAAGAATTTAGTCGAATTTAATACAAACCAAAACGATGAGGGAAAAGTTTCGATAAGGAACTTTTACATATCAAGATTTAAATGTTATTCCTTATGCAAAACTTGCAATGGCGCAAATTATGACTAGTGTTTAAGCTGTTATAATGGATCACCTGTGAATAATATTTGTCAGTAATGTCCAGACAATTCGTATTTAATGTAAAATGTATGCAAACCAACTTGCAATTTTTATTATCGTTCAAATTATGATAGAACATGCACAGAGTTTTAATGTAATATTTTTTAATAATGAAAGCAAGCCCTATTTTTTTTGAAAAGCATTTTCCAAATGAAGAGAGATATTCTCTCTAAATTCCACTTATGATTAATGATTCAGATTTTGATAAAGCAAATTTCGGAATATTACTAGGGATATTTACTAAAAATTATAGCAGTTAGCGATTTGTAGATTTATCTTCATATTAATAAGGAATCTGCTTTATAGGAATAAGGATGATTCTATCATTTTTTAATGATATACCTGTTGGAGGAGGAATAGAGTTTAAAATTAATAATACTTATTATGGATCAATATAAAATACTAATGAAGGTAAGAAATTTCACAGAACCAAATTATATCAAGAAGATTAATTTATTTGCCCTAGTTTATGGACTAATTGTTAAAGATCTACAATATTTTTGTTTGTTGATATCCCAAAATATTCATTTGTATTTACAGCTCTTGGAAATTACAAGTAAATATTAAATAGATAAATTCATTTAGAACTTCAGATGCAGGATGGAGTATAAGTGAATTTGAGGTATCTTCTGGGTATTGCCAATCTAATTGTAAGTTTTGTGAGATACCTTATGTCTGCTAAATTTGTAATGACGGATTATTCATATCAAGTGAAGGTAACTGTGTTCCATGTAAAGAATATTTTGAAACAATAAATTCAAACTATTGTGATTCTTATGATTAGGAAACTCAATGTATTAATATGTATTAGTTATTTAGATTCCAAATTTTTAATAAAAAATGAATATTTTAGTTAGATTAATGATCCATTATAAACTTCGAGATATATTTTAGTTTCATAAAATGGTGTAAATTTTTTAAAAGGATCATCTATCTTTTATTCATTTTGGAAAGGAAAGTATATTTTTGGAGGTTAATTTGTTTGGAGTTCAGCATAGTTTAAAATAACTCATGAAATTAAAAATCCGCATCATAGAGTAACTATAGGATTTTATATTTTATATGGTAAGAATTTTCCATCAGATGGTAAATTTATTTACACTTTTGAATAAAATTAAGCAATAATAAAATCTATGGAAAGTGCTGATATAAGTAATGATGATGAAACAAAATCAGAGAGAATGAAATTTATAGAAATCCATTCTTCTAATACATTAACTTTGTATTGGGAATGTTCAGGTAATAACAACAATCCTTAAAATGCATATTGTGGATTATATGGATATAATGTTGTTGTTCATTATTGCTAACCTAATTGTTTATAATGTCTTGATTATAATTCTTGTATCTTGTGGGATAGCTCGATTGAATTAGAATATCGTACAGAAAAAGCATGTTCAGCTGAGAAATATTATAACAAGTAGGAATAAAAATGTTTATCTTGTCCTTCATCATGTCTTACTTGTATATCTGCGGAAAATTGTTTGAGTTGTGTATCAACGTATAGTCTTATTAGAAAAGGATGTAGTTGTTTAATGAATTAATATGAAGCAAATAGTTAATGTTATGAATGTCCTATTGGGTGTAATTAATGTCTGAATGATACTTATTGTTTAGAATGTTTGATAGAAAATAACAGATAATTGCAAAATGGATAATGTGTTTGTTTAGATGGTTATTACTCTATAAGTTCTAATCCAGTTTGTTAAAAATGCAAAAGTTAACAAACATGCTAATGCACTTCAGGTACTAGTTATGATGAATCTTCAAATTCTTGTATGGCATGTCATTCATCTTGTCTAACTTGTTTTAATAAAAAAATTAATGGTTGCTTATCTTGTGATCTAACAAAAAATAGAATATTAAAAGGGTTATAATGTTGGTGTAAACCCGGATATTATGAATAAAATAATAGTTGTTTAAGTAAGATATAAATTAACTTTAGGCTGTCCCATAACAGAAAATTAAGCATTAACACAATGTTTTAAATTATGTTTAAATAATTCTTTTATTTGGCATTCAGTAACTTGTTAATCATGTGATCCTGGATTTAAGCTTGTTCATGGTGAATGTATGCCTGTTTGTGGAGATTTTTAAAGAGTTGGATATGAAGAATGTGAAGATGGAAACTATGATTTATTTTAAACATTAATGAATTAAAATTGATATGATTTATCATGATCCAAGATGCAACTCTTCATGTTAAGAATACAGTACACTTTAAATATTCCGTTGATTTACTTATATTAAAGGACATGGTTGCTTATCATGTTTAGCTGGATTTAATACAATTGACAATGTTTGTTATTCTATTTGTGGTGATAAATTATTGATAGCTGAAGAATAATATGATGATGATAATTTAATATTTTAAGATGGCTGTCATCAATAATATAATTTCGGTTGTTAGATATCCTGTCTAAATTGTTATAAAGGTGTTTGCTATACATGTCATAAAGGATTTTTGTTTTTTAAGAATCAATGTTTTCAAAAATTGTCAACTTGATGAATATTTTTAAACCCTAGAAAAGATGTAGATTAAGAAGCAATAGAGAAGGAATGTTTCCAAATATTGTGGAATTTAATCTCAATTACATGGATCTTAATTTTATATTTTTAGAAAGAAATCAAAAATGCATTTCAAAACAGATTTCAGCTTTCTCTCTGAAATTCACATTTGAAATATGCAAGTTAAAAAACATTAAATAAATTTTTTACAAATCCATTTTTACATCCATTAAATATTTTTAATTCTTTGTAGACACAAAGTGTATAAATTGTCTACCAACTTCTATTGATTTAAAATCATAATTTCTGCTTCCGTCATCAATATCTTATAAAGGAGGGCTAAGAAAAAATAAAAAATCATTAATTAATTCCTTTCATTTAAGATATAAGTTAGTATTATTTATTCTATGTTATTATTTATAATAATATTCAAGATCATATCAGATTTAATCAATATTCTTATACTAAAAGGGATAAGTACTGACATTCTATGTATTGTTATAAAAGTAATTCATTTCTTTTTAGTTAATAATTAAGGAAAAATAAGATGATAAAGAAGTTTGGAGTAAAGTTAATTATTATTAATTATTTAACTCATCTAGTAAGCAAATCTTAAAGTGATTTAGTTTCTGATGTGCTAATCTCTACCTACTAAACATAAAAATAGGTTTTATTATATCAAAGTAAAGTTATCAAAGTCGCTTAACTATTATCCGAAAAATTGTGTATTTATAATTAGATAGAATAACGGAGATTATTTTTAGTATGATTAAAAAATTAACAGATAATGAAAATTTAAGAAACCAAGATACAACTAATAGACAGAAAGCAAAATTAAAGACTCTTCTATAATTCTAAAATATCATGATGAAGAAGGGGCTCTCATTAAGATCATATGCTATTTAATGATTATAAAATCTGCAGAGGTGGGTTTAAGTTGGCTTATTGTTTAAAGAATACTTTCCAAAAAGTCAGAAGTATCAGTAAGGATTGGGAATAAATATATGATAAAGATTTATTCTTTTAATCTCACATAGATTACTCATAGATTCCTTACTATATAAGCTGATATGAAAATATGAAAAACAAAGATTTTGATTTTATTCTTGTAAAATTGTATATGCCTTGATCTAAACTAAAAAAGTAAAGCAAAATTCAGGTAGATCAAACCTTTTTGAAATATAGAATTTAAAATTTGCTAAAACTACAAGAATATTGTCAAATCTGGATAAGCATTTAATAAAGTATTAAAAATTGAGAATATTCCTTATGAAATATGAAGAGGTGAGAAAATAAATTTAAATGCCCTTATAAATATTAATGAAAACTATAGTAACTACAAATACATTAATCAAAACCTTTGTAATTAAATTTACAAAAGTAGCAAATTAGCCTAATCATTTTTCTAAATACATTATTATTAAAATCAATTTTAGCAATCTTCTAAAACTACAATAGTTAGTCACTTAAACAACCTCAAGTTTGATGAGATTCTTCGCCTATTTTGTTTTTTAATTCTTATTATAGTAATAGTGACCTCAATAATAAATATCAAATCAAATATTACCAATCAGTAACATAAAATAGGATAGCATCTTTTTACTATAATGATAAATTGTTAATTAATTGTAAAATCAGAAATACTAAAATAATGCAAGTCAATTTAGTTTTCATGAATTGAAATAAGAATCAGAGGCAACCATGTAAATTTTATAAATTTCTATCATCACTAATTTTCTTAATATATTAT